CCATGACGCAGCGACAGCAGGTCACTGCGGGAACCGAAAGACGCTCGAGTTAGTTCAACGCGACTTTGTCTGGCCTGGAATGAGAAAGTACCGTGGAGCAGTACGTGCACACTTGCCCAGTTTGCCAGATGGTGAAGCATGCGAGGCACGCACCATACGGTCTCTTGACTCCGATTGAGGCCGCAGACAAGCCTTTCGGCGACTGGTCCATCGACTTTGTGACCGGATTACCAGATTCTCAAGGGTTTAACGCAGTCATGGTCTGCATCGATCGACTGACTCGAGTTGCACATTTCATTCCGACGACAAAGTCTGTCACGGCGGAGGAATCGGCTCAGTTGTTCCTGGAAAATGTCGTGAAGCTGCACGGCGTTCCGGTTCGTGTCTTGTCTGATCACGGACCTCAGTTCATTGCAAAGTTCTGGAAGAAGCTATGGAAGGCGATGGACATCGACCTCTCCTACTCTAGCGCGTATCATCCACAAGGAAACGGTCTTGTGGAACGGGTGAATCAAGCGCTGGAGTCATACCTGCGAGCGTACGTCAGTGAAGCCGAGGACTGGGCAAGACTCCTTTGGTTGTGCGAGTTCACGTACAACAACACGGTGCACGCGGCGATCCAGTGCAGTCCGTTCATGGCCATGTACGGGTTTCAGCCGGAAATGGATGAGATTAACTTCAAGTCGCCGAAGGCACCTCAAACGGCAGCTGATCGCGTGGAGGAACTCAAGGCACTGCGTTTCTCGTTGAGAGCGAATATTCACCGAGCAAACATGTCCGCAGCCAAGTTCTATGATCGACACCACAAGGCAGCACCTCCGATCACGGTGGGCAGCCTAGTCACAGTTCTGCGTCGCAGTCAGACGGCCGAACAACCGTATGCCAAGTTGGCGTACGTACGCGATGGTCCCTTCAAGGTCGTGAAGCAGATCAATGAGCGTGCCTTTGAGCTGGATCTAGGTGAAGCATCCAGCAAGTCCCGCACCTTCCATGTATCTGTCTTGGAATTGTTTGTCGCTGATGACGTTGAAGGTCGGATTCGGCGAGTCCTGCCTCCTGTCAAGGACTGGGACGGCACAGTTCGACATCGAGTCGAGGCGGTGATTGATTCGACTCGTCACAGCGAGATTATGTACTATCGCATCCGAAGGGTGGGCACCACTGCTCGTGAAGACACCTGGGAGCCGGCCAAAGACGTGTGGGCTCGCTTCCCCAGGGCCGTTCGTTTATTCCATCTGGCCGAACCTTCTCTGCCACAGCCTACGCGAGAGGAATTCGATATCCGTTTCACGAGTGGATCGTCGTCGGTCCAGCCGAATCCTGTTCAACCCACGGCTAGTCGCACGCCCGCTGCTCCAGCTGGCCAAGCTCCACCTCAAGCTAGTGCGTCACCCGTTGCTACGCGCTCAGTGGCAACCCCATCCGCAGTTGCTGCACGTTCCGTAGCAACCCCGCCCACAGCTGCTGCAAGTCCCGCAGCAAGTCCACTTGTCAAGTCGGCATCGGCGTTGCCGACGTCGCGTCCTGGGTCCACACCGGTGGGCCCTTCACACTCTTCTCCGCGGGGAGGACCGGGAGGGGGTAGAGTGTCAGGACCCGCAGGCTCTGCGGTCCCGACTGGGTCGTTCTTTGCTAAGAAGACTCGGCGTTGATGTCTTTGTATTGTTTGTTTGCATGCATTTGGAATTGCAGTTCAGTCTGCAAAGTGAAATAAAACACTTTACAACAACATTGCCTGGCTAACCCTACCAAGGTCTTACAAAATCGCACTGTGTGATATGTGTGCATTCTGTTTTGTATTTTGCTTGCAGTGGAGGGTGTGGGCGGTATTTTGTGCTGATTGTGGCATTTCTGCGATTTTTTGGTGCTGGTTTTGCATTTTCTGTTCATCACCGAGTGGTACCACATGCACACCACAAAATTGCTCCATTCAACAACAAACCTTTACAACACATGATTAGACAGTACAAAACCAAAAACCGGAGTCGTGCGGGCCGCGACCCTCGGAAGCAAACCGACCAACGTGTGTTCGCCGGACACTCAGTTTCGTTAGCTTGACAGCCGTAGTGCAAATATCCAATCTAACATAATCGTGGTATATGCAAATTATTACACAAGTCTGAGCAGGAGGAATGGTCAATGCGTTCACCTGTTTTCTTGGGCGTGCGGGCAAAGTTGGTACTTTGATCCGACAATTCGATCATTGCCTCCCCGCGATTGCAATCGAGATGTCCCCGCTGGCCTCGAGCGTTTGACTTGAAAGAAAGCGACTCATTCGATCCACACACTTGCCGGGTCTTCCATTGGTAGTAGCAAAGTTGGCACTCCAGGAGTCGTTGGAACAAGTTAAGCACAATATCACAATGTATTGTATTTTCTACAAAAGCCAAAACACAATGAATGCATCAAATCATCACAAACTTGAGCAACAGATTGACACGCAGGTTCGAGGCGAGATCGTTTGCGCCGATGACTCTCCGCTTGAGGTTTCGTTTGAGGATATCAGTCGTCAGTCGTCTAACTTTTTTTTTTTTTTCTTTGTCGTTTCGCTTCACGTTTCTGATCTTTCTCCGTTTTCTTCCTTGAGTGATCTCTTCCCCCGCGACTTCCATGTACTGAGCTTCTTGACCAGATCTTGCATGAGTTTGTTTCCCCCCCCCCTACCCTTTCAACCGTTTCCCCTTTCTTATTTTCTGAGCCATTGCTATTCTCGGTCTTCAGTTTTCATTTTTTTTTTTTTTTTTTTTGTTGGTACGTTTGTCAAATTTGCCGCTTCACTCCCATTTTGGTCTCTTCCTCTCTCTCCCTCTGTCCCTCTCTCCCTCCCTCTGCCACCGCGCTGCTCTCTCTTCACTCCATCCACACCCACCCTCGTCCCCCACCCCCTTCATCCCCTCTCCTCGTCTGCCCATTGCCAGCAGCCACTTCTCTCCACAGTTTTGGTCCCATGCCACCCCCTTTCTGCCGCTTCCTCCTCCTCCTCCCTTCTCCTCCTTCCTTCCTCTCCTCCCTCCCTCTTGCCCTCATTCTCATCCTCCTTGTCCCTTCCTGCTTCTCCCTCCCTCATCTCCAAACTCCTTCCTTTTCCCCCACTTTTTCCCTCTTCCAACTCGGGCGTTCTTTCTTTTCTTGTTGCAACGTGATGCTTTTTTTTAAACAGCCGGTTTTTTTATTATTTCTTTTTTCTTTTTCTTTTCTTCGACTTTGAGTCTTTTTTCGTCTCGCAGCAAACGCCACGACTCGCTCGAGTTCATCACCATTACAATGACGACAGACAGTGTGCGGTTGCTCAAGCGTGATGAGAGAGAGCGAGTCGCACCTTTTTTCCTTTTTTTTTTTTTTTTTCATCCGTCGGCGGTTTCAATGTGCAAGCCACATGCCCCCTTGCTTCCCCTTCGTCCCTTTTTCCCTGCTTCTGTGCGAATGGGATGCGCACACACTCATTCACATTGAACAAGCACCCCCTGAGTCATGTTGCATTCACCATGTAAAGGTGAGTGCAAAAAAACAATCCAAAAACAACAAAGATTGCTGAAGTTGATAATTTGCCGCTCCGTTTGATTTGATCTAAAAAGCCGCGCTTTTGTGCTCGACTGCTTCGTCATTCAGAGTCACGACCATCCATCCCTACATTCATCACTACAATCGTCATCAGCAGTGTCGTAATTATCATCAGCATTGTCAGTGATTCAGCCGCCGGTCTGCGTTTTGTGACAGAACCACAAAGTCCCGTTATTCTGCCACCCACACCCACTCACTCACACACACAAACATTCACCATGCCCCGCACCCCATCTGGTCTGATTGCTCCTTTTCATATCGCTCTTCATATCTCCACGTTCTCGTTCTCGTTTGTGCTCTATTTGTTTTGCTGGGGATTCAACAACAAACGCAGCTCATCTTTGTTGCATTTGTTTGTTTTCGGTTGTTAATTTGGAGAAGCACGTAATTTATTGTCTTTTGGAGGATGAACACTTGAAGAGCACCAAACCAACGTCCATTGGGAGGCAGAGATCAGTCGAGTGTGGATGGACGACGAAGCGAAAGGGATGGAGAACAAGCGAGGGGCAGCGGGAACAAGAGCTTGGTTCGTCTTGATTTTAAAAAGTGACCTAGGCAACACCACTCCTTTCTCTCACCCACGCGTCCAATTCATCATCATCATCATCATCATTCATTGCTTTTTACTGTAGAGGGAAACAACAAAAGTGGCGACTGATAAATTTCAGTCCTTTTCGTTCTATCATTTTGCAATTGTGAGTGTTGGCTGAAACGGTGTGCGCATCAACGACGAGCGCTCTCGCCGTCTTCGCACTCTCGCACTCGACCATTCCAACTCTCTTCAATTGAAGCCATAAGCGAATCAGCAATCTTGCGACGACCCAAAACGTGACTTAGTGGAGCGAGTGGCTGGCGTGGCGATTTCTGGCTGTCGGCGAAAGCGTTTCGTGCGCATTTTGTGCCTCCTTCTTCCATCGTTCAGTCTCTCCACTCCCGTCGCTCGCAAGAGCGAGAGAGCAATGCATCCGAGTTGACAGCGAAATGGGGACGAAGCGCAACGACCGACAGGCAAAGGGAGAGCGAACGGAAGGAAGGCAGGAAAAAAAAAAGTTCGCCATTTTTCAAATAAAAATAAAAAAACTCACCCCACATTGTGGCCCTTTTTGTTTGGAGCGGCTGCAAAAACACGACACTCTCAAACTCACACGAGGCATTGCCAGTGCCAGACGAGTGCGTATGACTGAGTTTGAGCGTCAGAGCTGGACAAAGCGGAGAAAGAGCACTTTGAGCGTTGTCTGGCACCAAAAAAAAAAAAAAAAAGAAAAAAAAAGAAAAAAAAAAAAAAAGAAAAAGGGAAGAACGTGTTGGGCAAAGTCCGACTTTGGAACAGCAACGACAACGACGACGACAAACGCAGTTGGAATGGAAGAACATTAGCAATGTGTCACTCGAGCATCCAAACATGAACAACAAGAAAAAGTGGAGAACAGGAAGAAAAAAAAGGAAATAAAAGTGAAAGAAGGAAAGGAAAATCAGACGCAGCTCGTTTTGGTTTGAAAGGCTTGGTTACAAGCGATTGACAAAGTGAAAGTTTTGTGCACAGGTGGATATGATTGCAGTCAAAACAATAAGAACACAACAAGCACCAAGAGAGAGAGAGAGAGAGAGAGCGATTTCACAGCTGAGCGAGCTCAGAGCTCACCCAATGTTAGCAGCAGTAGTCTGTGCTCGTGTTTTTAAGTGGTGTGTGCGTTGGAAGACATGTTTGCATTGCATCCACCACCATCAACAAAAAAAAACCAGTGTGCACGCTTCATACACACACATGCACACTCCCTCTCTGAATCAGAAGGAGAAGGAAGCAGAGTGACAGCTTGAGAATGACAAAAAGCCGGCAACTTGGTTTGCTCTTGTCGACAAATATGTCGTGCGGCTACCTTTCCACCTCGGCTTCTACCTCCACTCTCTCTCTCTCTTTCGGTTCTATTGTTGCAATTTTGATTCTGAAACCTTTGTACAACTCTTGCCTCCCGAGTTCTCATCCCCTCATTGTTCATATCGCTCTCATTGTCTTGATTACTCACTCTCTTTGTCATCATCATCCTCCTTTTGTGGTTTGTGTCTGACAGGCAACGTAGAGACAAAGACAAAGATCATCCAACCATCGTTTCGTGCTCCTCCTCGCCGTCGAGTTTTTGTGATTAGTCCCCCCAGCCAAAAAAACAACCCCCTCCCTCCCCGTGTTCTTCCAACCATGATGGACAACTCGGAAGCCGCGCTCCTCCACGCCGATCTGCAGTCGGTGATGGGTGGATTGACGTTTGACGTCCCGTCGTCTTCTATGCCCTCCAACACATCCGCAGCTGCCTTCCCAATGTTTCCCGGCGGCATGGCTGCACCCGGTCTGCCGATGGCTGGGTTTGGCGGAATGCCGCCGTCCGTGGGCTTTGGCCGCTTTGGCGCCATGCCCTTCGCTGGCCAACCAAACAACGACGCAATGTTCTCCATGATGATGATGTCCATGATGGAAGACGGCACTGGTGGCATTGCGCCGTCCACCTCGGCCACAAGCCATCTCGCCCAGCACCCGCTGCTCGGTGCGCCGTCACAGCCTCAGGCCGTCCATTCCGCGCACGCACTTGCAGCGGCTCGTGCTGCGGCCGCAGCAGCAGCAGGGCTGACATCGATCGACCAATTCGAGCCCAGTGCTTTCAACTTTATGAACCTTGGCACGACCACCACTCTGCCAACGGCCAACGAGTACTCTGGGCACGACAACGCTGGCGGCAACACCACCACCAGCAAGACCGCTGCCGCTGCAGCAGCCAAGAGCAAGAGCACGAGCACACGCACCACAGACGACTTGACAGCAAAGTACAACTTTGCCTTTGACCCGTTCTCCAAGATGGACGGCGCTGTCGGGCTGTACGCCGCTCAGGCGTCGCCCGTTGGCAGCTACAATAGCAGCGTGGCAAGTAGCAGCGGCATGCACCACCGCCCAAACAGCATCAAGATGGAGGACGTGTGTGCCGCCTCTCCGCCGGTCGGCCAGTCCCTCGATGAGATCATGTCCACCATCCAGAGCTTGAACGACGACCCCATTACCAACATGAGCACCGCAGGCAGCAGTATTCGCGGGGAACACAGCGGCATGCTCGACGACTGTCTGAGCGAGCCCCTGTCGCCGACTGGCGACTTCCCAGACGATGATCTTGCTGCGACCCGCCGTAACGCACACATCCAGGCAGAGCAAAAGCGAAGGAACAACATCAAAGCCGGCTTTGACGAGCTGCAAGTCATGATTCCTGCTTGCCAAAAGTCGCCCGCAAGTCGGCAGTCCAAGGCGACTGTGCTGCACAAGGCCGTCGACTACATTCATCATCTTGTTAAGGAAAAGGTGGCGTTCGTGGACGAAATCAACCGCCTGCGCAAGGAGGTTGCGGCGCTCAAGCTCATCATCAAAAAGTACCAGCAACTCGGCTTTATCAGCGAGACGGACATGAAGGCGTTGATGGGTTCTGGCAGCTCTGCGGTTGCCTCCGCTGGCACTGTCGCTGTGGGCTCGTCTTCCGGTGCAGTTGCCCCGTCAGCAGCCGGCGTTGCTGCGGCATCAAGCTCGGCAGGCGTGGGCTCGTCGTACGCCGACCAGGTCAAGTTCTTTATCTTTTGCAACGTGGTGGACTTGTTGTGGGAGTCGTTTAGCGCCAAGGTCTCGCTCGACTCGCCCGAGGAGTTTGCCTCGTCCATCATGGCCTGGTTTGACGAGTTCGCCCGGCCCGACAGCTTGCGGGAAAGCTTCCTCTCGTCGCTGCGCAACATGGGCACGCGATTCTTGACGGAGGAGTCGATGCAAAAAGTGCGGCGCTGGTCTGGCGGCCTGTCTGCATGCACCGAGCGCATTACCTGCGGTCTCGAGCATTCGAACTTGCCGATGGCCCAAAAGCTCGGCGAAACCATTAGTGGGATTGCGTCGCTATTTAGCTACGGTGGTACCAAGGCTGTTACTTCTGCCCCAGTTGTGACTGACTCACCAAGATCCCAATCTTAAGGTTTCCCTGCTTTGTGTTTTGCTTTTTGGTTTGTTTCTTTTGGGCGTTGCTTTCTGTTTCTAGCTCTCTCTCTGTTTCTCTCCCCTCTCTCCCTCTCCCAGTTGTTCTCTGCCCTGGTCATTGTCCTTGTGGCAAGGAAGTGGTTTCCCCCTCCTTCCACTCCTCCCCTCATTTATGTGCGACATGCAAGCGTGTTTTTCTGCATTTTGTGTGATGATTGATGCTGCACTTTTTTTTTTCCATTTGTTGATAAACTCTTTTAATATTGCAAATTCATTGTAGCATGTACATCATCATTATGACGAAGCAGTCCTTATTCTTTGCAACACTACTCAGACAGACAAGGAAAAATGGGTGCTGGAGCGCGTCGCAGGAAGCTCAAGTCGGTTGATCCGTTCAACACGAAATCCAACCGCGCACTGACACAAGACGAGATTGAAGCGTAAGCAGAGTTTTGCCAGCATTATTTCCCCACCTTGTGGATACCATTGAGAGTGCCTGAAGACCAACTTGAATCCACCTTATTGCAGAAAGACCAAAGTCAACCTGTCGAGGAAGGCCGAGACTGCCATTCCGCGGTCGGTCAAGCGCATCATGGCAATGAACGACGAGATCAAGCGAACCGGAACATACAATGGTCAGTCGCGACGGTTGGAAGTGAGAGGCGGGGGTCTGGATTGGTTCCATGTGGTTTGCGCATGGGAGACGCTGATGTCGGTTCACCGCCACTCACCTCGTCATGATTACCCACTGTCATGCGTGCTTGTAACTGCCAACGACTGCGTTGCATCGGGTTAGGCCGGCACGTTATGGACGAAGGCGACTTGCCATCGCGAAGCAAGAGCGACTCGCCAAATCGGTCGCACAAGCCGCCAGCGGCGACAGCCACACGAACGCCCTCCTCCAACAGGACAGAGCCGCAAGTAGCCAAGCAAAATGCATCCCTGCGCAACATGAAGCGAATGGTGGGTACTTGATCACGAGGATTGCGCGCGCGCGTGCAAACATGTTTGGTAAAGTGATTGGCGCTGAACTGTTGTTCCCATTCTACTTGTCTAATCCAGGATGGAGAGTCGATGAGTGACTTTTCAAGGCGAGTAGACGCGGCTGCCCAACCGCAACTGAGCAGGTCTATGCTGTCATCGCACAAGACGCGCGAAAAGAGGAAAGAGTATGTTCACTATATTCCAGTTTGGTTTTTTTGTTTTTTTGTTTTCCTGTTTGTTTTGACCACGCCGACTCTTTGGACACAGACATCTTGAAAAGCGCCGAGCAAAGGCAATGGGGCACGACATGGAGATGGACCACCAAGGTCGCCCAATCCGCGAATTCTCGTCCATGAAGGACAATGTCAAATTCGGCGAGGTTGTCATGCAACCACCACGCTTGACGGCCAAGCCCAAAACGAAAGTAGAGGTACGGCTACCGTTATTTTTGGCTGGAGTACACATTTCTTTGCCAACTTGGACAACGGGGGGGGGGTCGAAGGTTTGTCGCTCGATTCGCTCATTTTCCAATTCTGGGTCTCCTGTTGTTGCCCCCTCATTGCCGTTCAGGTCAAGAAGCAGCCCCTCCTGCTGGAGCAAATTTTGTCACGAAAGGCTCACGCTGGTGACGATGCAACGGTGACTGCACAGCCGACCAAGCGCAAGGACATGACTCCTGCGGCGAAAGCCCGTCTCGATGCTGAACGCGAGCGAGCAATTGCACTTTATCGCCAAATGCGGAAAGGAGGGAACACGTACGTTGCCCCGTCGCTTCCTAGTTTATCGATGGGATGAGAGTGGGGTACTCAACCAACCCTAAATAAAACCAAATGAAGTGAATTGTAATGATACATTGTGAATTGAACGAAACACTACATGTACAAACATCGACAACAAAATTATGATCAAATTGATTCGCTTCCTTTTCTTCAAGACGGACGGGAGTGGTACACTTGACGGACGAGGCGGGGCAGCGCTTGATCGAGCCAATCGGCAATCGCCGGATTGGTCAATCTCTCGGCCCACGAATGCAAGTCGCAACGACGCTGCGCTCCATCCGCAACCACAAGCAAAATCACCACCAGGAACGCAAGAAGCAAGCCCAGGCGCAGCACCGAGCCCAACAGCCCGATGAAGCGCGAACAAGCAGAGGCAGGCGCGGACGGCGAGGCATGCGCTGGGTGTGGCTGCGCTTGAACGGCATCGCGAAGCTCCTGTTGCTTGGCATGCAGGGAAAGGGCCGCTTGTGTGAGGGATTTGGTGGTATGCTCATGCGACTGCAGCAACATCTCCACATCGGCCTTCAAGTGCGCCACGCGTTGCAAATTGTCGTCCATCTGCTGGTGCTGGCCTCGCTGCTCCTCTTCCAAGGTGAGCTTCAGCTGACGGTTGTTGTCTCGCGCAAAAAGCAAGTCTTGGGCCAGACCCTCTGCTTTTTGGCTGGCGTCTTCCGCTTGAAGCTTGACCAGGACCAGTTCGCCTGCTCGTTGTTCGGCAAGAGCAAGCGCGGCGTTGAGCTCGGCACGCAACTGATGCGTCTCGGCTTCATGCTGGTGATGAGCACCGGATGGAAGGGGGTTGCTGGAAGGGATGGCGGCGGCGGCGGCGGCGGCGGCGGCGGCACGTGCCTGTAAGCTGTCGCGTTCGATCTGCAGCTCGTCCCGCTGATGTTGGGTCTGACCCAGTTGGGTTTGAAGCTGCGCAATCTCGGCCGTCCACTGATTGGACTGCTGCTGATGCTGCAGTGCCTCAGATTCCAAGCGGTGCAGCTCGGTCGACACGCGTTGCAGCTCGACTTCGCGCGCGTCCGCCGCCGATTTGCCCGCCTGAAGTTCGTCGATGGTCGTCTGCGCGCGATGCAGGCGCTCAACAAGGCCAGTTTGATCCTCTGCGCGTGATTGGTGCTGCTGGACGAGGGCATCGCGCGCTTGCAGCTCGGCAGTGAGGCGATGCAGCTCACTTTGGCGTTGGTCCGACAGGAGCTTGGCCGATTCGAGCTCGCGAATGGTTGCTCGGGCGGCCTGGAGGTCTTGGTCCAGATCGACCGTTTCGGCCTGGGCAGTCGCGAGCTGCCCTTCAATGCGGCGGACCAAGGCAGCGTGCTGAGTGCGCTCGTCCAGTTGCTTTGCCTCGTGCTCGCGGATGCCGTCTTGAGCCGAGCGCAGCTGCTGCTCGAGGGCGAGGATGCGCTGCTCCGTCTCGATGGAGGGCAGTCCACTTTGCGACACTTCCTGATCGAGCGACGGAGGGGGTGCCATTTCGCGAAGTTGCTGCAGCAGGTCGTCCTTTTCCTGCTCCAGCTTTCGGAAACTCGCCGCGTATTCGTCGAGATCAGTCTTGGCCTGGCTGAGCGAGTCCTGGAGCTCAGCCGTCTTCGCTTGCAGGTCCTTCACTTCCCGCGCATGCGCCTGCAAAAGGCGCTCGCGCTCCTGCAAGTCCGAGGCGTGCGCAGTCTGCGACTTTTCGACCGCTTCATGAGCCTGCGCGAGCTGGTCTTTCAAGACTTGCACCTCTTCGCTCAAGTCGTTCACCTTGTTCTGGTGTTTCATGGCCGCAGTTCGCTCCTGATCCAGCGTGTGCCGAAGCTGCTTTTCAGAGTCCTTCAAGGCACTGTTCCGCTGCAAAAGCTGCACCCGTTCGTGCTCGGCCGTGTGGAACTCTTGCTTCACTTTCAAGCACTCCTCAATGACGTTGCGTGCTGCGACCAGTTCCTTGCCGAGCTTTTCCACTTCCTGGGTGAGCTTTTGCTTGTCCGCCTGCAGCTGATCGACGTGCGCATCGCGCCGGTCGTTTTCTTGCTCCTCAAGCTGTTGCTTCCGGAGCTGGCTGTGGCTGACGTTTGGCTGCCAGTGCTGCGAAAGTGCCTCCCGTGTTGGCGACATGGGATTGGCCATAACGGTGGGCGACAGGTAGTGCGTGGGCTCGTCCGCGCGTGCCAGCAGGTTGACGCGAGCAGGGGTTGCCATTGCGCTGCTGCTGCCCCATGGATGGGCGTGAGGAGTGTTGTTGTTCGAGACCCCTCCATGCGCGCCTTGTGCTGCTCCTTGCGGGGTTGCGTGAACGCGTGAGCTCGCGGGAGTCATCTGGATGAGTTGGGTGCGGCCCGTGGCTGGGGTGGCGGGTGGTGGAAGCGCCGCCGCTTCAATCGCCGCATCCGGGTTGGTGGTGTCGTCGTGATGATCATCATCATGCAGCGGTTCGTACAGGGGCGACGAGACCGCTGCCATATTTTCTTGATCGTACAGATGCAGATCTTCGGCTTCCTTCTGGTCTTCACGCGTCAAAAGCTCCATAAACTCGTTGACGCCCGTCAGGAAGGAATGCTCCGAGACGCGTCCAGTGTGTGTTGGGTCGAGGCAAGAAATCAGAGAACTGACGGCTTCGGACGGAAGCTTGGCGGTCGATGTAAATTCATGAATGATCATTGCCGTCGGCACAGACTGAAGACGATCCGTCGGATGCATTTCTCGGTGCTGGGCGAGCAGCTGGTGGAAGACATCGTCGACGGATGGGCTCGGGAGGACGCTTTCTGCGAGCTCGACGCTTGCCGTCGAATCGTCCAGCGACCTGGCATCCGTCCGATGAGCGTTTGGACTTGCGAGAATCAAACGCGAGTTGCGACGCGTGGCGCGCTCCTCGTCCCACTCGACGGCTTCGCCGGGTTCGGTGATGCTTTGGTCGAGCAAGGATCGGGCAATGATAGGATGTCGAGCGGTGCCACTTTGCTGCTTCAGGCCCCAGTTCTGATCATCATCATCGTCATCATGACCGTGATCATCAACAACCTCGTCTTGGTCTGCGCCGACAGCAGCTGCAGTGGCGGCAGACGTCATCGGCTGTCCTCCGAGCTCGGCGTCCTGGAGCAGGAGGTCCGTCTCGCTCGTATCCTTGTGCATCGTTACATTGCCATCATCATCAGCGCCATCAGCATCGTCGGCTGCAGCAGTCGTAGCACTCGTCGTTGTGCGATGGCTTGAGACGCTCCAGCTGGATCGATTGAGATTCTCGTCTTCTTCCTCTTCCTCGTCCTCTTGGTCGCCGCGTTCGAGATCGTCGTCCTCGCGCAGAGGGGCGTCGGCAGACTCTTCCAGCGGCCACAAGTTGGCGCTGTTCCCAAAGCCAGCCTCGACCGCGCTCAGCATGATGGTTGAGTGCGACGTGGTCAGTGTGTCTGGCCGTTGTTGTTGGTGACTGACCGGATCAGCGGCCTCGTCGTCGTTGTTGCGTGCGGGCGTCGATGGGAAGAGTTCAAACTGCTGATTACTGCTGTGATGAGGATTGTGCACAGAGTGCAGCAGCAGCAGCGATGTGGAGCGGAGCTGTTCTGGCGTCGCAGGCAGCGAAAAATTCAACGTCGCACTGTCCGAGCTCGTCAGCTCGAGATCGACATCGCTCCAGCCCTCACTCGCCATCTCGTGTGACTGTTATTGAAGCAGGAAGATCGATGCGAATGCTGCGGAGTGTGAACGCGAGTGCGAGACCAAAAGTCAACGAAGAAGCAACGAAGACAGAAAAAAAAAAAAAAAAAAAAAGAAAAAAAAAACTGTTCTGATTTGAAACAAGTTGCACGAAACAAAGAAAAAAAGAAAAGTGAAACAAAAAGTGAAACAAACAGAAAACGATGGAACAAAGCAGAGGAAAATGATAACGCTGTTGACGAATTCAATTCAAAGTTCGTTCGATTGTGTGATGATCGAGTGAAAGGGGGAAGGGAGATGGTGGCAGTTGTGTTTCCCAACCGTTTCAGGATTGGAACAACCATCCACGACATTGAGGCAATGTTATGAAGGGCTTTGGTTGAAAAGCTTGCGTTGTGCAATGCACACCATTGACAGTCGCTTTGGCGTGAGATTGGAGCCAATGCCATTGGGCTTTCAATCGGTCGCGTATTCCATAGCGCAACGGAAACCCTCGTTCAACGTCGGCTTGAGCAACAGCCTCAAAATAATAAATACCGTGTAATCGTACTAAAGAAACAATGACAAAGACAAGCTCGATCCACATCCGTCCAATAACTTTACACTCACTGTCCGCTGAGCGTGCAGTTGGCGGGAGCTGCAGAGATGCATCGTTTGTGGCAGTCAAACCCACATTCTAATCGCCAAAAACAATTCATTGGAATCTCGTGAGTGAGAGAGCACGAACACGAAAACAACGAGTAAAAAACACAACAAAAACAGCACCATGATGCTTCCACGACTTACGACTGCACTTTTGACCTTGCCAGACAAGACCTGCCAAAAATCCACCACAAACGTTGCAAAAGGTTGGCTTTGTGTATCGATTCGGCTGGAACTGATGATGAACACCAGTCAGTGGCGCGCGAGGCGACAGATTGAGTGCTGTGCCACCATTCACAGCAGAAGGCAAGCTAGCGTCGAGGTTTAGCTCGATGTCATCCACTGGAAAAAAAATCAACGAGTGAGACGCCAAATCATTCAGAAGAACGCATCGAGCGAAAAAACACCGACAACGAACAAAAGCCCAAGCCTTACCCGAAGCACACGAGATCTCACTGTCATCAACCAGAAGGCGGCTTTCTTTCTGCTTGAGTTGAGCAATCTGGGCTCGCAGCTCTTCGGCTTGCTGTTGCATGGGAAAACAACCAAACACCACGACACAATGAGTTTGTTTTTTGTTGAAGCCCAGCCAATGTGTTCAAAAACTACACCAACGCTTCAAAACAACAAAAAACAACAGCCAGTTACCTGATCTACTCGCTTGGAGGCAGGAGTCGGCTTGCTCTGGGCGAACGACATGCGTTCTTCTTCAACCACAACAAGCGCTTCGACGGCGCGTTCCAGCTCTGACCGTACCTCCTCGACACTGCGCTTGCTTGGAAAGGCCATGGCGTGGTCCTTGTCCTTGTCCAAGTCCATGAGAATGGGTGTCGCAGGGACGGAGCGCACAGACTTTTGGCCGTCCGTGTTCTGGCGCTCCAAACGCAGTTTTTGGGCGAGCATTGCATCCTCGTTGTCAACGTCATCCAGGTCTTCGAAATCGTCATGGTTTGCCAACGACAGACCACCTGCAGCGGCGGTCGCGCCTGAACCCATGGCAGACCTGACGGCACCGGCGGCTGTTGCGGGACTGAGTCCTGTTGGGGTAGTGGCAGCGTTGGACTGCTTGTCCTGCAGTGGCTGAAAGAACATTTCCAATGTTAACGTGCCAGACACATGGTCGGATGGATGGCGCCCCCGGAGTGGCAGCGTTCGTTCGTGGATGACCTCTGGTTCCATCATGCTGCGCGGGTAAATGACCTGGCCGAGGAAGTCGTCCTTGCCGTAAGTGTCATGGTCGTACAAGATGATATGAACAAACAAGTCTTCCGAGGTGATGCGAATGGTGATGGTCTCATTCCACTGCGGATTTCGCGTTTGGTTGACAATAGCTGAGCGGTGCTCGGTCGCGCCGACCGTCAATACATAGTACGGGTCGGAAGAGCCGTTGATGTCTTGCGCGTACACATTTGTGGCACCTTTGACGGTGATGGTCAGCGTGCCAATCACAGCGGCTGGCGGCCCGAGGTTGATGAGCTTGAACTTGGGCGCAACGATGGTGTCTTTGATGATCATTTCCAGCCGCTTTTTGATCATACGCGTGACTGCACTGGGCGGAGCCAGCACTGAGAACCGCAGCTTGACATCAAAGTCGACGATGGGCTGCTGGACGAAGGAGATGCGAATCACAGCATTGTTCCGAATCTCGAGCCGCAAGCAACCCTCAAACTGGACAACCGCCACTGAAAGGATGACGTTGACAATGTAGTCGGAATGAATGACCAGTTTAGCACCGCCAGCGTACTTGAGCTGAAAGTCGACAATGAGATGTTCAGGCAGCACGGTTGCCGATGCTTCCGGCAGCGGGACGCCCAGAAGCGATGCCGAAGCCGCTTCGGCCGCGGCAGCCACCGTCCCAGAGCCTGAGACGAGCCGAGCGGATGCGATTTGTGGCAGAGCCGAGCCAAAGAGAAAGTCTCGAACTTGGAGGTTGGCAGCGATCGGGTGCCGTTTCGCCATCTCCTCGAACGCGTTGCTCAGCCCACTCACCACCTTGGACTGGATGCTCTCCACACCAACATGCACAAAGACAAGCTGGTGCAGGAAGGTATTGAGCCACGAGCACGACTCGCTCACAGAGTGGAGGCTTGGTCGCGCGCTGCCGCCGTTCGAGTAGTCGACAAACAGGTAATCGTCGTCGCTGGTTGAGCGCGCTGCCGGAGTTTCGAGTGGGTCCGCGCCAGGCATTGGCTTGGCAGGATTTGGGTTTGCACCACTACCGGCAGTTGCTGCAGCAAACGTCGCTTGCGTTGAACCAATCGTGGTGCTGGTGCTTGTGATTGTCGATGTCGTTGCCGTGGATGCTGCGCTCACAATCGTTGCCATGCTCGGTGGAATTCCGCCATCTTGGACCAGCTGGTGCAGTGTCTGAGCCTGCACTTGCTCTTGCAGCAGCTGCGACTTGGCGCCTGGCAGCTTGAGCTTGCCCCGTAGCCACGACGCCGGGCCGGTCGAAGTGGTCGAGTTCGAATTTGGCGCGAGTGCTGCTGGAAGACCCGCGAGCACCCCTGCGCTGCTTTGGACACTGGCAATGGACCCTTTGCGCGGCTGCGGCTGCTCTGTGATGGCAGAGAGCGATGCCCGTCGCCGCCTGTTCGGAGTTGGCTCTTGCGACTGAGACTGAGACTGTGACTGGGACTGAGACTGAGAGCCGGGCGGAGTGCTCGTCCCGCTCTTGGACACCTGCGTGTCGGACGAGGCTCCGGGCACGCTCAGCAGACCAGAGCCGAACACACTGCCAGCAGAAACGGCAGAAGCGACAGACACAGCGCCAGGGCTGGTTGTCGGCGGAGTGGACGTTGCCGAGAACGACAACGAGCTTGAAGTCGGCTCAGTCATCATCGCTTTGGGCAGCAGAGTCTGAGGAGGGCTCTCTGATAGTAGTGACAATGCTGGTGGTTGTGCGGGTGGCAGAGTCGGAGGGGCAGTCGACATGAGCCGCCACTGCTCGTTCAGATTGGCTGGCGGGAGGCGTCGCACCCGGTAGACGAGCGCGACAAGCAAGGCCTCGGCGACAAAGACCAAGGCAATGCCGAGCGCAAGGCCGTACTCGAACGTCATTTGAGCGAGTGAGAGAGCGCTTGGAGGCTCGGGAGCTCAGGAGGGATGTGGGAAACGGAAATGGGTGTGGAACAATTCTCAGACAAGAACAAAATACTTGGTAGAAAAAGAAAAAAATATACAGACTGAGTTGATGATGGAACAAGAGTAATCTGAGCAACACAGACAGGAGGAACACACAACAGGAACACACAACAGGAACTCACAACAGAAACACGAACAACTAACAACAGTAACTCCAGAACAGCAACATCATCATCATGCTCTCAAATGTTCGAGCAGCGCAAAGTAGTCACTACCAGCAAAATGCAAAGCACCATTGACGCGGGGAAGGCGTCTAGTCGTCACCATCGAAATCTTCGTAGTCGTGCGCGTTCATCAGATGGCGATACTTGTTGTAGTTCTCGTCGCTCAGCCAGTTACGTTCAGAACCAGGCGACGACGAGCAGCCAATCGAGCCAGGGGCGCTGACATGAGCTTTGGAGAATACATCACCACGACGTCTCAGTGGGCATTGGCCCTCGCCCCCACAAGCTGCACAAGAATGCTTGTTATCCGACTTTCTTTGAGTCTCGTCGGTGTGACTGCGCATGCTCTGTCGAGGAAGCACCTTGTAGGGGTACTCATGATGGAGCATAACGCACTTCCCACCAAAGCAAGGCTGAGAGACATTGCGAGCTGCTGGGCAGGACGTCCACTGGTGCTTGCACTTTGAGCAACGGAAAAAGCCCAGACCAACGGGTTCGGATCCAATGGGAATCGGGTCATATCGCGTGTTGCAACCTCTGCAGGGCGAGACCGGATTGATCGGGGCGCACTTTTTGTACCATAGCATGCTGCAGCCCTCGCAGCCAAACATGTAGAGTTGGTAGTGGGAGCGATCCTTGATGGCAACGTTTCTCTCCGTTAGCGGCTTTCGGCTTGCCTTTGACGACGCCACCGATGAAACCGAGCTCGGAGCGGAGGGGCCATTGGGAGGCAGGCCGTTGCGCATTGCGCCAAAGTCGACCAGCGCTCCCTGCGGCGCGTCGCCCAGATCGAAATCACCGGCAGCAGCCACTGGAGCATTGGCAGCAGCAAGAGCAGCCACTGGAGCACCGCCGCGGCGGCGTCGAGGCAAGCCTCTGCGCGGTTGAGCGGCTCCAGCCGAATCAGCCGGTCGGTTGTTGTTCTTCCTCCGGTTGGGGCCACCACCAGGCGGAGCAGCTGCAGCCACAAGAGCAACAACAGCTGGAGCAGCAGCAACCGGAGCAGCAGCTTGAGCAGCCGCAGGGGCAGCTCGAGGGCGGCGTGAGGACTGAGATTGTTGGAGTACTCCAATGGGACCAGCAAGTCGATGAGCCGGAGCAGGGTTTGCCGGCTGAGGCTGAACGGCAGGGGCAGCAGCAGGGACAGCAGCAGCAGCAGCAGCACGAGGAGCACGAGGAGCACGAGGAGCAGGAGCAACAGCAACAGCAGGAGCAGCAGGAGCAGCAGCAGCGGGGCGAGGGTTGCGGGGCTTGGGAGCAGACAGCATGTTTGGAGGATTTCAAAACAAAAAGACTGAGACGCTTTCCCAAAACGAGCACTGTGAGCGATCTGACTGTTGCCAAGCATTGGATTGGGAAGACGACGCAGAGGTAGTGGGGACGGGGAGTGTTACAGAGCATTTGAGAGAGGAAGTGGAGGTGGAGGGGGGGGGGGAAGCATGGAAGAAGGAAGGGAGAGCAAGAGAGGACGAAGCGAATTGGAAACACTGAGCGATGATGACGTGCTGATCAATCAACCGTACAGCTAATGGGCGGTCCCACGGTGACGCATGAAAATGCAGCTGAGCGTGACGTGTTCGTGGTGTGGGAAGCGAGTCATCCCAAATCTCATGCAGAGTGAGGGAAGCAGTGCCGACTCTCAACTGTGGTGGATTCGCTCAACTGTGGTTGTGCCTCGTGCGTGAGAACGGCAAATCCTGAGCCGCGCGACCAAAATGGAGAATCAACCCCCCGCTTCATAGATGAGCGTTGCTGGCTGTTGCCAGTGGACCTGATGTGAAAGAGCTCAGCAGCGGCGGGTCATGGGAGTACAGTGCATTTGGCGTACAATTTTCGCATTGGAGTAGAGTATGACCAAGTCACCAAACAACTCTCAACCGCAGGTAAACACGACAAAAAGCCAAAAAGAAGAAACACCCTCCATCGCCACTCCGTCCTCCTGACCTTCTCAGACCACGTCAACCAACCACACCTTCCAACCAGTCCTCAACTTTTGAGCTCCTCACACACACACACACACAATTGACACCCCGCTCCCTCATACTAGCAAAACCACTCCTCCCGTTTTTGCCCTAATTCCCCCCCCCCTCCTCCACCGCCATGAATTGGATTACGGGTGGATTGTCGCCGTTCGTCGCTGCGACGGGTGCGAATGCGTCGGCGTCGGGGCTCTCGAGCTCGTTCCCAAGCGCCCACCAGGCTCCGTTCGTCCGAGCACCCGGCAGTGCGAATAGTAGTGGTGGTAGTAGTGGTAGTAATGGTGCTGGCGACGCGCGAACGCAGGCCCAGCAGCAGCAGCACGACGAACTCCGACCGGGCCAGCCAGCCAACAACGACAGCTACCACTTTGACCAGCCGCTGCTGTCATCGACGGCCACGCGGACTGCCGCTGCCCACTCGGCTGGCCATGGGCGCGTTCTAGCATCGTCGCAGAATGGCAGTGATACCGGAGGCGGAGGGTCGGCTCGATTCGCGGGCGGCTCGTCATCGCACGTCATCCACTCCGTCCAGGAGCCGCCGCCGCCTGCGCCGTCGTGCTTGGTTCCAGGCACAAACATTCATGCAAGCGCATTCCCAGAGCTGAAAGCACACTTCCGAACGCCCGAAGGCAAGTACGTCTACCACGAACCAGCCGTGTACATGCTGCACTCGGGCAGATTGGTGCACCTGGCAAAGTGGTGCCCAGTTCGCACGTCCATCCTCGAGGCACGACCAAGCAGCGGCGGCAACAGTGCCAAATCCAAGAAATTTGCCTCCCCTCACATTCTCCCGCCGCTGGAACGGGCCGAGTCGCGCGATCTTGTCGATGGCAGCGGTCAAGACGAGGATGTCGCGCTGGTCGACGATCGGCCCAAATTTAAGGCCACAAGCGAGGCTACACACTCGAGCACAGCGTCGGATGATGGCCGACCAGCAGCAGATGGTGCAACCAGCCACGGCAACGACAACGGCAAAGGCAATGTCGAGCGCAGGGTCAGTGCCGGCGACGACGACTACTCTGCTGGTCCAAAATTTGGCTCGAACAGTCCGCAGCGGCAGCGGCACTCTGCCGAATCTGCAGCCAAGGGCTTCCAGCAGTCGCCACCCGCACGCACGGCAAGCGTTCCGACGCTCGGGTCGAATGCCGAGGGCGATTCAGCAACGATGCCTCCAAAGAAAAAGCAATGGTCCCTCACCAACCTTGTCAAGGGAACCGTCAAAGCGCTGACGCCGCGTTCGTCCAAGCCCGAAAAGCCCCCAGAGGGGTTCAAGTCTAGCGTGCGCCCATACCCGCTTTCTGAGGGTTGCATTGTTTACAATATTGGTCGTCACCTGTACTACCACGAGTTCCACGGCCCTCAAACCGTAACGTTGCGCTTCCCATTTTTGCTTTTCGTGTTGCCAAGCATGGAAGTGAGCGGACGAGTAGGTGCGTTATTCATTTTGGTTGCTGACTATCGAGATGCTGGGGGTTTGCCATCTCCGTTTTGCTTTTGCCCTTTGTCAGGTTGCAACATTTAGCGCACCGGTTGAGCACGATGACTTTATGGACTGCTTTCCGACCGGGCACGACTTTAATCGATTGAGTGAATCCATTCAGCTGGCAGTCTGCCTTTCCTCCGGCTCTGTTCTTGTCAAAGGTCAAGCGCCGTCAAAACCATTGTACATGAACAAGGAGGTAACACGGCTTATTCGCTTCCTTTTTTGTTGTTTGGGTTGTTGGAACTGACACCATTTTGTCATTCATTCCTACATCTTTTAGGGCATCATCACGACGACCAAAGCCACGTTTGTAAAATGGGTGCCTGGGTGCGACACCTTGATGGTCACTGCGTACGCGGACGGTCGCCTGCTCGTGTACGACATGCGGTACCCGGATCCATCCCCGGTGCCATCGGCCGGACAAGCTCCGCCGAAAGACGCTCCGGCAGTGTGAGTCCTTCAAGCAAGCCATGCACAACGACTTAACTCTTGTCGTGGCTGACTGACATTTGTTGGTTTTTGTCTGCAGAGTCGTGCCTATTTACAGGGACGACGTGTATCCCGAATATGTTGTCTCCACCAATTCTGCAGCCGTCAATCCTCGGTCGATCTGGACTGTATCCAAGAAGCCCATCACAGGTTTGTGACCTGAGAGAAACTCGCCGTGCTGCTTTTGTCCGATTGTTTTGCAAACTGATTGCGATTTGTTTGGTTTTTGTCAGAGTTTGCTTTTTCTCCCAATTTCAGGAACTTGGCAGTGGTTTCCGGGGACGGAAAACTACGCGTGTTTGATTTTCAAACCCACGAGTGCGTCTGCGGAATATTGCTCTGTTGCTTTGTTTCTTGGCCCCTCTCTCCGGTCTCACCAAGCGGGTTTCGTTTGCTTGTAGACTCCTCATGACTGGCTCGTCGTACTTTGGAGGTTTGCTCACCGTTAGCTGGAGCGACGACGGAAAGCTGCTGCTTGTAGGCCATTTGGGATTTTGCGTGTCATCGATGCATGCTTCCAAGCACGACACAACGCTCACTTGCAAACCCATTCATTTGCTTGATTTTCGTCTCCTTGCAGACTGGAGGAGAGGACGATCAAGTCTCGCTATGGTCGTTTGATCACCGCCAATTGCTCGCACGAGGCGAAGCCCACAAATCTTGGGTAAACGGTCACATGCATGGTTTCCTGTGTTGCCGTTTCAATAGGGGTTGGGGGTCGCAGTTTGTGTTCACCGTCGCGCCATTCTCATTTCTGTTTTTGCAATCCAACAATCCAGGTTTCGTGCGTCGCATTCGATGCCTTCACCAGCGACAAACAGACCTACCGCTTTGGCTCTGTCGGCCAAGACACGCGTCTGCTTCTATGGGAATTTACCATGCCAATAAATCTTCGCCAGCAGGGCACGACGGCTGGTCACAGCAAGAACGCCGAGACAAGTGTTGATGCCGCGGCCACCAAACCTACTTCGGTCGCCGTTCTCACGCCCATCGTGTCCCAAAAGATTCACTACGAGCCATTGTGCAGCCTTGTCTTCCTACGGGACCTTGTCGTCACTTCTTGTCAGGGCGGCATGACCAAGTTGTGGCTTCGTCCGCATGTTGTGGTAAGATTGGAGTCCCTTTGTTTTGGTCTTGTTTGCCCGTGGTTCTCGGATGTATCATGCGTGTTGAAGTGTACTGGAAATGTCTCATGGTGATATCTGGTATTTGCTGCAGGCCGCGTTGTCAAGACAAGCCGAAGAGGAGGACATGGTTGAGCATCCGGCCGAAACCGTCAACGGCGGCGACAAGGGCCCAATATCTGGCTGATGCATCAAGTGCAATGGATTTGAGTATCTGATGTCTGAGGGTGTCACCGAATACACGCTGCGCATTACGGCGTCCAAATGCACCAGTCATTTCATTCATTTTTTTTTTTTTCGTTCATTCGAAACGGCGAGCGTGCAGTTTGGCTATTCCGCATTTCACTTCAATCATCTACACTTTGGCTTGAGCCGTCAACAAACCAACCAACAAACAAACAAACAAACAACAAGAGCTCTGCAGCGTCGACAAGCCATGAGCGCGCTGGTGGAGACTGTTGCCTTCTCGAGCGATTCGCGAACACAGAGCGACGGCGACTCCTTCGTCACTTCCGCCGCCATTGCCCTCGAATTCCCAGCAGCTGAAACCGCCATCACTGTTGCCAACCAGAGCGGAGAACGCAGCGAGGATGTCGCATTCGCGCAATCGACCGAAGAAGGGTCGGATTTGAATTTCCCGCGCCAGTTTGAAAATCCGCCAACGGCACTTCCAGCCAACCCCGCCAGTCCCTTCCACGCCAAGACGGCCGCATTCGACACAAAGCAAGGCGTAAGTCAACATCAACCTAATATTGCTGTGTGCTTGCTTCAAAATTTCTGCTCTCGCTTCATCGCAGCGGCGACAATTGAGATTGAGCGCCAACCACAAAAAAAAAAAAACAAAAAAAAAAAAAAAAAAAAAAGCGAAACCGTTTGGCTTTGAAACACTTTTTTTTTTTTTTTTTTTTTTTTGGTTTTTTGGTGAATGTTACAGTTACTCAAGAGCTTCTCCTGACCTCAATTATGTGGCATCATTGTTCAATTTTCTCAATACAGAGTCCACTCCTGGTGTCGTCGCCACAGCGATCAGCACTGTCGGCGCTGCGTGAGCGATCGTCCAATCTGCCATTCGGAAGCGACACGATGACAGCGCATCCAATGTCGCCACCAGCATCCCCAAGAAGTCCTCTCGCAAAGACGTCTCCCACGCTGAAGGGAAAGCGGGGCAAGCAGGATCCGGCCGTGTCCGTTCTGGTGACGCGGAATTCGGTGCTTTCGCCGAGATCGGCCAACGCTGAAGCATCGACTACCATGCCCACACGTTTGGACATTTACAAGCTGTCGTCTGCTAGTGATACAGAGCCTGTTGCGCAGGACATGTGCAGGCCGAGCTCAGACTCTTCATCACCCTGCGCCGAGTGCGCAGCCATGCAAAGTCGCCTGGCAGCGGCCGAAAAGACGCGTCGCGATCAGCACAAGTTGCTTGTGACTGTGCAAGAGGATTTGATCAATGCCACCGAGGATTGCAAGGCGTTTGCTGTCGAGTACACCAAGCTGCAGACCGAAGCCACCGAGCTTTGGGAGAAGAACAGCCGGATGACTGTCGCAATCAAAGAGACGACCCAGGAGATGATTGTGCTTGCAACCGACAACCAAGACAAGGTAAGGGTCAACAAAACATGATGCATTTTGGGCTGGTGATTGGATGGTTTGAACACACTAAACGCAAGTCGTGTCCGGGTTGCAGGATGTCGCCATTTTGGAGCTCGAGACAGAGCTGCGCCACCAAGAGGCGATGGCCGAGCATTGGCGAACACAATTTGAAAAGTTTGAGGCCAGCGTCGATGCTGGATCTTCTGCAAAGCTGGCCGCGCTGCTTCAGGAAAAGTCGGAACTGGAGCGGGCCGCACAGGCTTTTATGGCCGAAAAGTTTGAGCAAGACTCGGCGCTGTTGCAGGCGACTCTTGAAACCAAGACCCTTCAGCAGCAACTGGACAAGAAGGCGCAAGAGACACTCAACCTTCTTGCCACCCTCGAAACGGAGCGTGAGCGGTTTGCAGAGCTCCTCGGCCAAGCGCAGCAGGAAGCGCGTGCAGCCAATGCCGCCGCCGAGCAGGCATTAGCATCCGCCGCCGAAGCGCGAAACATGATGGAAGAGTCCCAAAAACAGCAACTCGCACTGGAAATGGATACCACAGAGCGGGATCAGTGGCAACAGCTGATTGAAACTGCGCAACAAGAGAGTGCCAAGCATTACCAAGCCGAGGAGGCTCTCGTTGCCGCATTGAGCGACGCTCATCAACAGCTGTATGCTGCGCAGCAGTCGCACAACGAAGCGCAAGCCAAAACGGCTGCGTGGGCGCAGTGCGAGGTTGACGCGGCTCAGGCTGTGCAAGCAACGTTGCGCACTCGCATTACAGCGCTGGAAGCGGAGGTCGACGCTCTGACCAGCCGCAATGTCTCGTTGCGCGAGTTTGCAGACAGCGAGCAAGAGGCCGCAGCTGAAATGGTTGCAGAACTGGAGCAGACCATGCAAGCCGCGACCGAGGAGACCTTGGAAGCAACGCGCACGGCGGATCGACTCACCACCCAGCTTCGGACTGAGCAAAAGCAGACACAAGAGCTTTCTTCTCAGCTGTCTTCCGCGGTCTCACAACTGGAGACGGTGCAGCAGGCCATTCAAACACATGCAGCGCACGAAGCCGAACTCGTAAACTCCCTCAACGCCATGAAACAAGAGCAACACGAGCTCGAGCAAACGTACCAGAGCACCTTTGAATTGTCGCAAACTCAAGCCACTCAAATCTCAGGACTGCAAAAGGAGGTCAGTGAATCAGGATTGTTTTATTTGGAAGCAAAGCTTTTGAGACTGACGCGACATTTTGTTCGTTCCAAAATTGCAGCTCGCGACAATCCAAGCGGCGCTGGCTTCTGCTCAATCTCAAGAATCGACGCTTTCAACGCAACTGGCAGGGTTGACTGCTCATTTGACAAAGTACAAGGAGGCAGCGTCCGCAAAGGCAAGTTGTCATTCAACCACCAAAGTGAATCACACAATGTGCTAACTATCGATCGATGGTGCTCTGCTCGACAGATGCAAGTGCAGCAGGAAAACCTCAAACGAGCCGAGGAAGAGGTGGACTCGCTGGACTTGATGCTCAGCAGTGTTCGCAGTACGCTCGCCCAAAACCGGCAGCACATCCAGCATGTGCCAAAGCTGGCATCGTTGTTGGCAACACTGAATGTGGAGCCTTTGGCGGAAGCCTCGATTTAGAGACAAGAAAAGGACTTGATGATTTTGAATTTTTCGCGTTTGATTGTCGATTGCTTTTGTGCCGGGCAGCTCTTGCTTTGTAATTAGAATGATTTTTTTTGTTTGCATTGGCTTCGCAAGTTTCCAAACCCATGGCCTAATGGATTCAGGTTGACGACGGCGTTTCGCCTTCTGCTGCGTTGGGACTTTGCTTGGCGGAATTCGCAGCACCACTAGCTTGCGCACTCACCGGATGCTGCTTTGCAACGGAAGATGAATTCTTTTCGAGAGCCTTGAGAGCACGGTTGTGACGTGCTTTCAGCTCACGCTTGGCTCGTCGCATGCGATCTTGCTCGCTTTTGAGTTGCTCCTTGGTTGGGGTGCCGTGCAGGGCCAGATTGACCAACTCGCACAGTTGTTTTCGCGCTTGCTTTTGATTTTGCGCAAGCGAGCGATGCATGTGGCACTGTTTGTGATTGTGGAGCATGCGAATCGCGCCGGAATGAGTTAGAACAGGGAATGAGGTCAAACAACGTCGTATGGCTCACCACCACCACCTCCTCCTCTTTCCAAAATGCTGCATTGAACCATACTCACCCGCACAGCAATGCCGGTGGGCAGGTGCCGCAGAAACACACCGTTGGTGCTCTTGTTCACCTTTTGACCACCTTTGCCGCCACCTTTGATGAACTTCTCCTCCAAATCGGACTCGAGCAACGGCGAGCTCGTCCCAGCAAACGCACGAAGCGCTGCGTCCTGTAGAGATTCCCGCTGCACCACAGGCTCGGCGTCGGTGTGGCCGACCGATGTTCGCGTTTTGTTCATCACGTCGCCGCCGCTCCCAGGCTTCTTGCGCGCGTGCTCGAGCGCAGTGCTCGGATCCCATTCCACGTCGCCACTATCCGTGCTTGCATCTCTGTGCTCGGCCGCCGGCTCGACTGTCAGCGCCGAGCGAGGACTGCTTTGCTCGCGATTGGGCTGCGATGGCAACAGTTCGCTCGGGATGGCCAGCCCGCCCTTCTTTCTGAGTTTGTGCGCCTGCTTCTTGACAGACAGTACTGCTTGAATCAGTGCTCGCGACGGCTGCGGTCGTGCGTGCGGACCAAGCGCTTCCGGCATGACTGCAGCCGTCCCACTCTGCTGCTTGCTCGCTTTGGACGACATCATCATGGTCCGAGCGCGCATTTCCACAATGCTGGAGCGCATGGATATCCGAGCAGACAGTCGCATAACTCCTGCAACGTTCAGCGCCATCTCTCGATCGCACAGAGCTGTCAAAACTTGAGAACCTATGCAAAGCAAAACAAAAGAGTGACTGGAGCTGTCACAACGGCGGTCGTGGTATCCATTAGCGCTGGCTGACCCCCCCCCCCTTTTTTTTGTTGGCCTTGTCATTGGGATTGATTTTGTGCTTGACAGTTGACTTCTGAGAAGCTCAGTCTTTTTTTTTTTTTTTTTTTTTTTTTTTTTTTTTTGCTTTTCTTTGTTTTTCATTGTTTGTCGTCCTCGCTTTTTGTTCCCCCGACATTTTTCACGCAGACAAGTTTTCATAGTCCGATGAGGTAACCCTTCGCTTTGCGTGTGCTGGCTGATCGTGTTGCTGGCTTGGATTTTTCCCGCCAAAAATCACTAATTTTTTTTTTTTTTTTTTTTTTTTTTGTGCGATGCTTCTCGTCCAGTTCGAGTAAGTCGGCGTCATCGCCCTCTCCCCCCTCCACACGCATGCACATCACTCTCAATCATCACGTTGCTGGGTCTCGTCACACGCAGCCCTCGCTGAAGCAATGCAGATCCAGCTTTGCACTTTGATCGTGTTTTTTTGTTGTTTTTTTTCCCGCGCTTTTTTCCCAGTCGTCGTCGTTGTGCAATCGATCTCACTTCATCTGCTGGTCGCTTCCAACATCCCCCAGCCACAACGCCGTCCAAGGCGAACAGGTCATCCTCCGCCGCAACCGTGGCGTCGTCGCCGGCAGTCGCGCTGGCGTCGGGCTCGCCTGACGAGCGCGTTCATCGCGTTGTGCGCGTCTGGCACAACGGACCGAACAACCCGCTCACGATCGACTATGACGCGAGCATGCAGCTGCAGGCTGTCTTTGACCAAGCATGTGTTCACGCTGGGTTTGCCAAGACGGCGAAGGCGGTTCTGCGGCCCCTCGACTCGATTGTCGATGCGAGTGAGCTGTCTGGCTTCTTGCGCAAGAGGCTCCGCGAGCTGCCTGGCAATGATGAGTTTGCGCTGCTTCGTCCCGGAGAAGGCAAGAGCGCAACAATCAGGGGGGGGGATTTGCCGTGTTATGAGGGAACCGATTTGATCTCATTCTCTTCCCGTTGTCACCGTTTTACAGCGCTGGAGCAGGTCACCAAGCAACGTCGCGTCGAGCCAAAGCTCACCCAGGAGCTGCTGCGCACGATGGCATCCAACTACCGTGCAGCAACCGCGTTGGCTGATATGATGGACAACTCGATTGAGGCCACGCTGGACAATCCTGGCGAGCGTGTTATTACAATCACGCTCGACCGCGCCAATCGAGTAAGCAAAGCCTCTGAATGTTGATTTAGCTGTCGCTTGTTTGTGTTTCCAACCTTGCTCAAAACGATTTCTTGTTTTTTTTTTTTTTTTTTTTTTTTTTTTTGTGTGTGTTTTTCCTCGGACGTGCCCACGCAGACCCTGGTTCTCGAGGACAATGGCCGTGGCATGAATGCCAACAATGTATCCTCCATGATCACGCCGGGTATCTCGGACAATGTCGACCGAGCTGGAGGAGGCAGCAAGGGCGTCACGGACGAAGTCGTTCAGGTCAAGGGAGCGACTTCCCACATGTCCCACTACGGCGTCGGCCTCAAGGCGTCCGTGACCCATCTGGTCAAGCCGGATGTTGGCTACGTCGAAGTGGTCACCAAGACCATCGACAGCACCGTGTCGTCGATTGTCCTCAAACGACCGTCGACAAGCAGCTCTGCAGACCCGGCCGCAATGGATACCAGCGATGACTCAGACCCAACCGCTCGCGAGAAAGCGCGTGAGGCAGCGCTCAAACTGCGCGCCACCACGACATCCGTTGTCAACGTCGACCACTCGTTCCGCGACCCCAGCAAGGACGAGATCGGCAAGTCGTTCACTCGCATTTGCGTCAACAACCTCACCGACGCAGCGCTGGCCTCGGATTTTGGCCAAGAGGACGACCTCGCTGCGTTCATTCGCAGCGTCTACCACCTCTATCTGTTTGGACCCGATGGAGCAGAGTTCAATGTTGCGTCCGGCAAGCCGGTCATCTTGACAGATGTCGAACCCTCGACACAAAACAGCAAGGCTGCCGCGCACCGAATTCCACTCTGGCGCAGCCTAGTCACCCCCGCCGCTGGTTCCTCCAAGCGACAGGGCTTGGGAGAGCAGAGCTTTAGTGTGATGCTTCCATTCATGTCTGGCCGAACGGTCGCGATGGATCCGCGTGCTGCGTATTCTTACGCCGACACTGTCGATACCGTCATCTCCGTTGGCCGTGATTTGCAGGAGATCAAAACTGTCGAGCTTGATTTGCTCTCCAACTGCGCTGTTCGGACGGTTCAGATCAACTTCACCATCGAGAACTGGAATGATGACGGGCCAGTGCAAATGTCCCAAAAGGAGATTGACGACATACTCGTATCATTCCAGACTGCAATCCACTCACAAAGCATGTGTTGGACCTCCGAGTCCAACGGCGACGGGGATCTGTCGTCGGTGGAGCAGATGCCTCCCGCCAGTCGCATTCTTTCGCTTTCCGACAAGGTCGTGCGCGTGTCCCAGGAGACAGGAGACGCTCGAATTTTCACCATGCGAGTCTCCCTTGCCGACAGTGACGACACGGACTTTGTCAGTCGATATCTGCAGTTTGGAGGCATTTTGCCAGCCATCCGCATCCGCAGTATTCAAGTCACTGGGCGATACAGTGAGTGCGATCAGCGAAAAAAGTTGTCGATGTTACGATTTCTCGTTTGTGCTTGATACTAATTGCTATGTGTGCAGTGGGATTCTCGAGACAGATCGCCAACCCCAAGCCAGTGCGAATTATCTTCAACGGACGCGATCTGCAGACCGATAGCTCGTTGCAAAGCTCAGACATCGTGTTGCAGATGATGAAGTCTGCTTGCGTCATGCCCAAGTGCCCGACCCCGCTCCGTCTCGGTCTCCGGATTGCACACGGTGGTCGCACGGGCTATGCAGATGTAAGACGGTTCTTCGTTGGAAGCGTTCATTGTGTTCGTGTGGTTTACCTATAGCTCATTCCTCCCGTGTTGACAATTCGCTCTCTGCAGATGTACTTTTTGTACTTTCCATTCCGCGACAACACCGAGCAAGTGCCTGCAATCCAAGACGAGCCCTGGTCGTCGCCCGTGGTTCGAGCGGGCATGCGCTACTTTTGGCGCGGTCGTTGGCTGTTTAAAGAGGCCGCCTGCCCGCAGTGGTTGCAAGAAGCGACTTTGCGCAAGGTGCTGGTTGGCAAACGACGTGTACCGCAGCAAGCTCTTGGCCGGTGGGTCTGTCTGGTCTTCCTGTCTGGGGACTTTACGCCCGACTACACCAAGAGCACTCTGCGTCAGCAAGTCCCTTTGAACGACATCTTGCTGCAACTCGGCGCTGCCAATGCAGGAAAGGGCTCCCAGTATGGCCTCGACGCTCGCCTTGGACCCGTGAGCGTCAAGCAGGTGACGTACTTGTCGCAAGATAATACCAAGCACACCGAGGAGCCTCTGGACCTTTCCACCATGCAAAAGAAGGTTGCGACCTGGTTGATCGACATGAACTCGAGCGTCGACGACGAGGTTTTCTTTGAGCGAGAGCACTACACTGGCAGCGATTTGAAGCGTAATTTGCATGTTTACCACACGGTGACGATCTGTGCCAGCAAGTTCTCGGCCAAGGATTTCGTGAACATTGGCAAACCGAAAAAGCCAGAATTTGTGCAAGTCGTCTCGTTTTCCCACAGCGGCGCGGACGAAGCAGACATTAGCCAACCTCGGCTTCATTACAACAAGGTGCTCAACTCGAGCGGAGACACGGACGCCAACCCCGAGGTCCATCCACACGAGAAGCTGTTGACCGACATCCTCACCAACATCAAGGTGGTCACCTTGGCGGACCTGAAGCGCCTGGACGACAGCATTGCAAACGCCCTGTTTGTTCGCTCGATGGGAGACAGTGCTGATGCGTGGGAGCACATCTCAAAAGCCAAAGCGCCCGTCATGGCCACCTCGTTCGATGGGTATTTGAATGTTGGCGCGATGAGCGTGACGAACAAGGAGCTGGGTCAGACCGAGGCCATTCCTCAAGGCGTGTCGCTTAACATTTTCTTCCAGTGTGGGAATTGCGGCGCCTCCAAAGAGGGATGCAGTGTTTGCGACAGCATCCGGCTGAGCTCCACAATGCAAGAGCAGCATGTGTCTGACGCGCTCAAAGCAGCCTCCGCTAAATTCAAACAGCTGCCCAAGGATAGGATTCGAAGCATCTTTTCTGCCGAGTCCAAGAAAAAGTTCAAGATTGACAACTTGGCCATGCACAGTTTCAACACGAAGAATCTTTTCAAGCTGCCTGGGCACTACTACGTCGTGGCGATGCCGTACCAAAACAGCGAGATCCTGTCGACTGTTCAGCCGTCTTTCACAAAGATTGAGGTCGAAGGTGGGATGCCGGCGAAGGCAGAGATTGAGTTTGACAAGTTCGACCTGAAGAAGGGATTGCCGATTGGCTGCCCGCTCGAGCTGTCCGTCACACTGTTTGACGAGTATGGCAATCACACCACTCGTGGGGTGAATACGCAAGCTCGCGCAACCCTCTCGCTTGCCGTTGTTCGCAAGGACTCGGCAACTGCCCCGCTCTTTGACTTGACTTTGTCTCAGCAGCCGCTCAAGTGCGTGGATGGGAAACTTTCCGGCACCATGACCATCCAACCTTCGAGCGAGTGGCGCTCACGCAAGACCTTCCCCAAGCTGACAATCCAGGGAACACTGGCTTTCGTGTCTCCAGACCAATCGCAGCTGGTGATTGAGCCCTTCACCGTGACGCCAGCTCCGGGCCTTCCTGCATCTCTCCAAGCAACATCAAAGACTATCAGGCTGCTTGAGGAGGTGTACGACGTGAATCAACCGTTCCCGTCTCGCTTGGAGTTCACTGTGTGTGACGCGTACGGCAACGAGGTGCGCCCCAGCGAAGGCGGGCACTTTCGTGCGAGAGCGACTGGCGACGACGTTGGTCTGTCAAAGCCGTTGATCCTAAAGTCGGATTCGGACGGTGTGTTGAGCATTGACGAAGGCCAGCTCACGCTCAAGCAGGCGGACTCTGTTCTGTACATCGAGCTGGCAGATGTTGCGAACGCCGTCCCTTTGGAAGTGGTATGACGCCAGAGAGATTCGGATGTTTCTAGCTGGAGCTCAGTGATTGTGTGAGTTGCTAACTGCTTTTTTCGGCGGGTCGGATGTCTCCACTTTTCGATATATTTGACAGACGCTTCATGGATCCACTTTTCACATTGCGCTGCTCAATGACGGCGTTCCTGTGCAGATGATCAACGGAGCGGGATTTATCACCGCTCCTGTTGGCACAATCCTGTCTGACCTGCAATGCGTCCTGACCCGCAACGACGTTGCAGCCGATTCGAAGCACGTTTACCCAAGTTGGGTTCGTAACTCTGGGTATGTCACTAATGCCGATGGCATTGCCTCGCTTCCGGCAATCGAGTGTAGCAAAATACTCCAAGAGCTACAGTTTGGACTGCAGCTGGCGCTGAAAGGCGAGTCGGTCTTCAGCTTTACGGTCAAGACGACTCCTGGTCCGGTATCAAAACTCAGCGTCGGCGTCGTGAAGGGGTCTCCGCCAGTCTCGAGGGTGTCCAGCGCGCCATGCAATGTGTGCCGCAAAAAGCCAAACGAAAAGAATCGTCTTGTGGCTTGCTCGGGAGAGTGCCCGATTCACACCGCCAACTACCATCCCAAATGCGCTGGAATCGATGAGGCGAATCAGAATCTCGACAATTTGTCATGGCTGTGTCAGTCCTGCACTCAAATTGCCAACAAGAGCGAGATCTCAGTGTACCTGTCCGCGACAGATGAGTTTGGTAATGTAGTGACAGCTCCGCAATGCAGCGAGCTGCACATCCTCCCGGAGGCGCTTTCATCGGAGGACTTTGACCCGAACTTGCCCGCCCAAACGATTGCGCAAAGCGAAGCCGACGTCGCGCCAATGTCTGTTGTCACTGCTGGTCCGAGTCGAGCCAAGAGCTCGTCCAAGCCGAGCCACGGTGTCGCGGATGTTCCCGGCAACTCGGGCGCCATTGCTGCCCATGGCTTGACCGCCACGTATGCCTTTTCGCAAGCAACAGCAAGCGGAACGGCGTGCCAACTGCTCAAGCTGCGAGTCTCTGCCGAGGGTGCCGAGCAATCGTTCCGATTGCGCGTGCGCGACCCCAAGCATGGAATTTTGACATTCATTCCATTCCGACTTGTGGCGGGGGCTCCTGCAGGCTTCCGACTCGCAGACCATGACAGCAATCAACCGCTCGTCCTCGAGAACGGATCGAGCCCCGCTTTGACGGTTCATGTCGTGGACAGCAACGGCATGGTTGTCTCGAGCGTTAGCGGCGGAGTTCGCGTTGCGTTTGTGAAATGCCCGCCCATCCTGAAGCGCAGCGTGGAAGTCGATATTGCTCACGGCGTGGGGCTGTTTGCAATGCAGCAGTTGCCAGTCTTGGCCGCCATTCCGGAGCAACAGTTTATTCTCGAACTCGTCGGAGCGAAGGGCTTGGCCAATCTGCCGAAAACGACGATTCCGTGCCAGCTCGTCGGCCGTCTGCAGATGCCCACGAAAGTGACGATTCACAATGTTGAAACTACCCCTCTCCAGCACTCTGGAACCGGCCCGTTCTTTGACATTCGGCCGTTCTCTTGCGCCGTCGAGACCGAGCGCCAAGACGATCTGTCGGACGATTGGGTCGTCACAGTGACTGTCCACAAGTTCCAAGGCGCGTCTCAGCCAGTGGTCATGACCGGGACCAAGGGCCAATCCCAGCGCAACACTTTCGAATTCCCATCGACAAGAATCTCGACAACAGAGGCCGGCGGCTACATTCTCCAAGCCAAGCTCGTCAATCAAAGCACAGGCCATGAGGCGGTCTTGAGCGGCAAACCGGCGGGTGTGCAAGTCGCCGCTGGCGCTCCCCATTCTCTCCGTCTGCTCTCCTCTCCGTCAGAGTCCGTTCATGGTGGCTCGACCCTCGACGTGGTTCGCGTGTCCGTTCTGGACAAGTCTGGCAATGTGTGTGGTGCCAAACCAACCTCCGACTTTTTGAGCTCGGTCGAGCTCAAGAGCGACCAAAGCAGCCAGTCTCGGTTGACTGCTGCGATTGCCATCTCGCCGGTCGCCAGCGGTCGAGTCGACCTTGCTCCCGGATCCATTCTTCAAGCGCAAGTGGTCGGTGGCGTGGCACAATTCCAGAAAATTGATGTGATCGACGGCCCGGACGGCTCTCTGTCCGTCGCTGTTCGGCTGTTGGATTCTCGCGTCGATCCCGTGACGTTTGTTGTTCCCTTTATGAGTGGTAAGTGGCTTGGGAGCACTGCTTGGTTTTGTGATGGGGTGCTGGGTGTTTAGCTGACGATTCTGTCCTTTGACTACAGCCGCGTCTTGGAGTCAAATGTCGAGCGAGCAACAGCGCGTGTCGATGGAAGCAGCCCAGTTGAGTGAGCAACAAAATCAAATCAAGATGAGGCTTCAAGCGTTGAATGAAGAGTACGGACTGAAGCGGCAGCGCGCTGAGAGAGCCGAGAAAGAGTTTATCGCGGCGCAGCAGACCGTGGTTCGGCTCACCTCACGTCTTGCAGCACCCGGCGCCGACGGAGATCATGGCGCCCAGCTTCAAGCGTTGTTGAAGCGTGGTAGCACCGACCGCTCGTTCGCTCCGGGCCCAAAACCACGCGACTACCCGTCGGCCATGCGTCGTGTCATCGACTGTGGCCGAATTGAAGACAGTCAGATTGCAGCAGTCATCGAGACTCTGCTGGGATCTAGCATGCGCATGGGAGTGATCGATGTTCCCATGGGCTCGCCCGAGTTTGTACGCTTGACCAACGCCAATGCTGGTGACCGCGTTCTCAACCTCCAGAACCCTCGAACGGCCAATTCATTCTTCCGTCAGGGTGTCAACAATGACAGCCAACGCACCTTGAAGCTTCCTCGACCCGCTCACGCTGCTGGATTCATCGACTTTGCAGTCAACATGATTTTCTTGGAGAGGGAGACTGTCTCCGAGCGAGCCACGGTTTGGTACTTTTTGCTCCGTGACGCGATGATTTTTGAAACGCAAAAGCATCTGCGAGACTTTGCAGAGCAAATCCGGTCGACCGACAAAATGCCGAACTTGATCGCGCTTGACGGTTACCTCATGCGTGGCGATGGCACAACTCAGAAGATGAAAGTTCCCAAACGATCTCAATTTGCAGCCGTCGAAGACGCCAAGCGGTTGGCCGTCGATGCACAGGGGTCACACACGCTCGATCCACTGCTCCGTACTCTCTTGCAAGGACACATCCAGTCTCAGTACGATAACAAGAAAGTGGCTGAGGCTCAAGAGGTGCTGATTGTCAAGTCCAATGAGCGGAACGAAGCGACGATGGCTGCCAAAGCGTTGATTGAGCAGCACCAACGTACGTCGATGCAAATGCACGCCGAAAGCTGTTTTTTGTGTACTTTGTTGAAATTATCGCTCACGATGGTGTTGTCTACAGAGCTGAAGGGAGAACTCGAGGGAATTGAAGCTCGGCTGCAGCAGCTGAGTGTGCACCGCAGTCAGCTGCTTGGAACGCACGCTCCACCCGCCAAGCGTACTCACGAGGACGAGGATGACTCTGCCACCACTCGTCGAGTCAAGTCGCGCAGCGCATGAGTGTGTATTCGTGTATGTGTGTCTTTGTCTTTGCTTGTGTTTGTGTTTGTGTTTGTGTGCATGTGTGTGTGTGGGTGTGGTGCGTCTACCAATAGTGCCATTCGACTTCAACTTGCACAATAGCTCTGCATCACCTGTTCGACGTATCCGCTGTTTCCATAACATGTTTGAAAGCATGAGCTGTTTTATTGAATAAGTTCGTCACCTTCCTCAATGTGTTTCAGCGAGAGCACTTCCAGGACGCCTTGGCCTTTGGTTTCGCTTCGAATCACATCATCCAAGGGCCGGAACGCGCCAGGATCGATCAAGCAGGTCTAGCGCAAAAAAAAGAAGGAAAAAAAAAAGCAAAAAACCCACACCAAAACAAATCAGCAACAACCATCACCACCATCTTTGCTCCAATTGGCGCAAACAGAAACCTACCAGCTCCAAATCGCCCGTCCATTCTTCGCTTTCAACCGTGGACACAAGGCTGACAACGCGATCTTTGATTTTCTTCGCATCCTTGACAGGGAGCACAATCCGCACTCGCATTTGGGCGCGCTTGATCGAGATTGTTTCCTGTAGTTGCTTGATGACCTCAAGTGCCTACATTCAAACACCAATGCGCCACAGTTTGCAGCGCGTACCGATTCGATTCGATGCGCAACGAAAGGATTGTCAGCACCTCTGCATCGTATCAACGGTTTGGACAAGAGGATTGTCTCAATCCACGCACCTGTTGCTTGGTTGACTTTGTCACATTGACAGAAAAGTGCGCATCTTTCATGGCGCGCTCGATCAGCGTCACCGTAAACGGGCGCTGCGTCTCCGAATTGACACACATCTCGGTCACAATTGTGGCAATTTCTCGATACATGGCGTCCAGCTGCACCTGCCGCTCCTTTTCCGAGACTTGGAGTTCACCTTTGGTCAGAATCTGAGTCGCACAGGAGACCATACAGACCAGATGACGTGAGTGAGTGTCAAGCGCACGGGTTTTGGAGTGCTTCTTCATCCTTGTGATGACGATGATGCCAATGATAGTAACCGGACATCGAGCTCATCAGCATCATCATCATCATAGTGACGGCTTGATGGAGACGGCTCGACGGAGGGAAGGGGTTGCAGTTACCTCGTGGATGACCTTCTCCTGGTCGGCGGTTCCGAACGCGGCCTCAATCTCCTCGCGCTTGGCAGCCTGGCCCTTGGAGACGTTGAGGAAGATGGTGTGTGTTTGCAAGACCTCGTCAATGTCCTTCTCCCTGTGTGCAAGCGGTCATAGAGGTTTTTTGGATTACGTCAAAATTGACCAAGTTCGTTGCGCAACCAACCACACACACAAACACACACAGACAACGGCTGCTTACACGCCAGAACGCCAGCTCATGACCTTGTTCTTGTAGCACGCGAGCTCGTAGCGCGTGCCGCCCTTGCGCAGGCGAACAATCGCAACGTTCGTCAGGCGGATTTGGTTTGTCGGCGTGAAAATCGACATTGTCTTAGAAACTGAGCAAGTACAAAGTGCAAAAAAATACAAGAAAAAAAAAAGAACTGAGACAACGATGCAAGGAAAGTTCAGAGACTGCAAATGGCTGGAAACCAACTCAGACAAGGATGTTTTTGCAATGCCTCGCATTGATATTCGATCGTACCCCCGGCGTAGCAGTCATCAGACAGCTCCAATTCAGAGATGTTTTATTCTAGCATGTAACAGTGGAATATCGGGTGGCGAATAGACCTCGCGGGGATCGATGGAGCGAACAACTGCGGCCTGCCTGTCTGTCTGTCTGAGCTCTTGCCTTCTCAGATTCTAACGGCCAGTCCAGCCAGTTCCGTTTCGTCGTTTCTCAGTCTTCTTCTTTCTTTCTTTCTTTTATTTTTATTTTCAATGATGCGTTTCCAGTCATCGGTGCTTTGCATTGCACTTGTTGCACTTGCCATTGCTGCTGCCAATGCAGACGACCGCATTGTGAATCTGCCTGGCCTGCCCGCCAGCCTCGCCAACCTCGAGATGTACTCTGGCGCGGTCGTCGTCAACGCGACCCACCAGCGATCCCTCTTCTACATGCTCGCCATGTCCCAAGGCGACAAGAACAGCGATCCCCTGTAAAAACCATAGCCCTACAGTTTGGCTGGAAATGCATTGCAACTCGTGTCTGTCTTTTTGGTCGTGACCTTTCATTGCGCTCCTTCTGCTGCTCCTGCTGCTTGGGCTTCGCGCGTTCGTCGTGCTCTCCTCTCATTCCTCAAATCAAATCTGGGGACGTTGCTCAGCCCGAAGCGTGCAGTCTAGCGCTGGCTTTGGATTACAGGAGCACACAATCAAAAACCGCGACGGATGAGGTTTTTTTTTTTTTTTTTTTTTGGTTTTTGTTGATTTCTCAGTTTTTCAGATTTTTGTTTTTGAAAAAGCAAAAATAACAACAAAAAACGTCAGCGAACAAAAGAAAACAAAAAATATCAACGAGTTCGCGATGGCGATTGAACACATGCAATGTGCCCCAGCATGATGAAAGGCTCAGAGTTGGTGGACGGGTTGGTGAAAATTCAAGGTCGTAACGTTTTGTTTGTTTGCTCACTTTTGTTCTGAATCACTTTGCAATGTTCGATGATTTTGTTTCACGACAGCGTCGCTTTCCTCAACGGCGGGTAAGTTTGGTTTGTGGACATTTGTTGGCTCGAGTTGCTTTTTGCCATGCCACTCGCTCACTGTTTGACTTTTGCTCTTGTTCCGGTGTTCAGTCCCGGCTGCTCGTCCCTCGGTGGCGGCATGATGTCCGAATGCGTAAGAACACTTGTCGTTCTTTGCATGTATGCGTGTTTGCTTCAAAACTTTTGCATTGTACAAACAGGGCCCCTGTCAGTCCTTCCATTTCCTTGCATTCAGCGCTCATCCCACAGAAAACTCCGGCTCTCTCACCTTGCTTGTTTGTTTGTTTGTTTGTTTGTTTGTTTTGTTTGTTTGTTCTTTTTTTTCACCTTCAAAACTCAAAAACAGTCTTCCCCGATGCCAACGGAAACCTCCTGGAAAACCCCAACAGCTGGAACAAGATTGCCAACCTGCTTGTCGTCGAGAGCCCCTCTGGCGTCGGCTTTAGCACCTCGCAGAACACAGCCGACTACAACACTGGCGACGTCCAGACCGCCCAGGACTGGCTCGCCTTCCTGCTCATCTTCCTCGCCAAGTACCCCCAGTTTGCCAACCGCCCCTTCCACATTGCCGGTGAATCGTACGGCGGACACTACATCCCCCAGCTTGCCAAGGCCATTCTCGACTCGAACGCTGCCGGCATCAACCCCAAGATCAACCTCGTCTCTTACATGGCTGGCAACCCCTGGACTGACACCACCATTGACAACATGTACACTGCCCAGAGCTGGTGGGCCCGTGCCATCAACTCGTACGAGACCTGGAACGGCATGGCCACCTACTGCGATTTCGGCAAGATTGGTGAGTGTTTGTTTTTGTTTCTCGGTCGATTTTTGCTGCTGCACGCAAGTTTGTTCGCATTGCATCTCGTTCATTTATTTTCTCACGCTTTGTGATTTTGATGCAGGCCCGCTCGCCGCTCTGGAAGTCGCCCAGTACAACGCCCCCGACCCGCTCAAGTGCCAAAAGTTCGTCACCGCCAGCACCAACGAGATGGGCAACATTGACATTTACGAAATCTACCAAGACGTCTGCCTGGCTGGCCCCGACGGCCGTGTCGGCGCTCGCAACAACCACGGTGCTCACCTGCTCAAGGCTCTTGCCAAGGGTCCCGACGCCCACCTCACCATCCTCGGCCACCTTGGCCGCCGCATTCTCGAAGCCGAGAAGAGCCGTCCCCAGAAGCTCCGTCGCGATCCCCCGGTCGAGCCCTGCATTGACGACTTTGTGCAGACCTACCTCAACCGAGCGGACGTCCAGGCTGCCATCCACGCTCCCACTCTCTCCTACGGCTGGATGGACTGCTCCAACATTGTCAACTACTCGTACAACGATCTGCTTGCGTCCGTGCTCCCCCTGATCCAGACGCTCACCAAGTCTGGCATCCGCATGCTCATGTAGTAAGTAGTCGAGTGTTTTGGCCATTTGGGGTTGGGCACCGTCGTCTGATTTTTTTTTCTTTGGTTTGTTTTCAACTCATTTTTTTGTTGTTGTTGTTGTTGTGCAGCACCGGTGACCATGACGGTATCATTGCCTCGCTCGCCACAACCACCAACGTCCGCGCGCTCAACCTGACCGTTGTCCAGAACTGGCGCCCGTGGATTGGCAGCGACCAGCAAGTCGCTGGCTTTGTCGAGACCTACAACGGCATGACCTTGGCGACTGTTCGCGGTGCTGGGTAAGATCGCGAGAGAGGGAGAGAGATGGAAGCAGGTCTCTTTGTGCTTTTTGGCTTGCTGTGATGTGGCCTCTCACTCCTGAACCTTGCCCGTCTTTTTTGCTGCCGTACAGTCACATGGTTCCTTACATTCAGCCCGCTCGCGCCTTCGATCTCTTCAGCCGCTGGGTGAACAACAAGCCGCTGTAAATCGAGCCAAGCCCTGATGAGCATTGCGATTTTGCTCTTCCCAGCACACCAGTGTGTTTTCGTTTGTTTTTCGCATTCCAAAATAAACAAGTGCTGCGTCAGTCCGTTTTGTTGGTGCACAGTTTTGCTCTAGTCTCAGTCATATTTTTTCGCACTCCTCTCTCATCCGCTCAGACAATCAGACTTTTGACAATTCTTCATCAATTTCGCTCATAATTCAGCTCTCTCTCTCTCTCTCTCTCTCTCTCTCTCTCTCCCGCTGTCTCACTCGTCTTCTTCTAATCCAATGAATTCGATGGAGCTGCAGTCTGCGCTCGCGTCGTCGTCGTTCGTGGCGATCGTCGAGCAGGAGCGACTCCAATCCCAGGCTGCCATTCTCGTTGCCACCCTGGCGCTGCTCGTCCGCGCGGCCGTCGGACTCTATCCGCATTCTGGCCAGGCAACCCCGCCAATGTACGGCGACTACGAGGCCCAGCGCCACTGGATGGAAATCACGCTCCATCTGCCTCCCGCCGAGTGGTACCACAACTCAACCTCCAACGATCTGCTCTACTGGGGCCTGGACTACCCGCCGCTCACTGCCTACGGCTCGTGGCTCTGTGGCGCAATGCAAGTTCTCACATTCGCGTTTTCCTTGCTCTGCGCGGAGAACTTGACGTTTTCGTCCAACTTTGCAAATTTTCTGAGAAATTTCAGAGTTTGGAAAGTCACTCAATTGTGTTATTTCCGTTCTTGTTATCCAAAAATTGCTGTCTTTGTACGACAGAGCGCACTTCTTCGACCCGGAATGGGTGGCGCTGGACACTTCGCGAGGGTTTGAATCGAAAAGCAGCAAGGCGTTCATGCGAGCCACTGTGCTCGTGAGCGATTTGCTCATCTTCTTTCCAGCAGTGTTCCTGTTCTGCCGGCAGATTCTCGCCGATTTCACAAGGTCAAAGCAGGTATATTTTTTTTTTGTGGCGGTTGCTCAAGTCTCTACCTGGTGAATATTTGAGTGCGCTAACCGCAACCACGTCGTCGCTCTTCTCGGGGGTCAGATTGCAATCGCCTTCATGATCCTGCTGCAACCAGGGCTCATTCTGATCGATCACGGCCACTTTCAGTACAATTGCATCAGTCTTGGACTCGCACTTCTGGCAATCGTGGCAGTCATGCGAGACTGGGATATTCTTGGCAGCGTTCTGTTCTGCCTGTCTCTCAACTACAAGCAGATGTCGCTCTACTATGCACCCGCTTTCTTTAGCTTTCTTCTTGGCAAGAGTCTTCAGTCGGCACATCCGTAAGTGATTTTTGCTTTGTTGGGTTGTTTGATGTGACGAAACGTACGATGGAGTTTGGCTCATCGCACCTTTTTCTCGAAGAGTGTTGCGCATAGCAGCGCTCGGCGTTACAGTGATTGCGACATTTGCTCTCTGCTGGCTGCCCTTTTTGACCTCCATCGATTCGGTGGCCCAAGTCTTGCATCGCATCTTCCCAATTGGACGCGGGCTCTTTGAGGATAAGGTCGCAAATGTATGGTGCGCTGTTTCCGTTCTCATCAAGTTGCGAGCCATCTTTGAGCAAGCGCTTCTTGTGCGAATCAGGTATGGTCGCATGGTCGCATGGCTACTCCGTTGTCGAAGCGAGACTCGCGAAATTTTTGTGCTCACCTTGTCACCACCACTCCAGTGCGATTTGTACTCTCCTCGCAATTCTCCCAAGCTCTGTCAATCTAGCTCTGCGGCCAAGCCAGACTGGATTTCTATACGCTCTGGTCAACTCTTCGCTTGGATTTTTCCTGTTTTCGTATCAAGTTCACGAAAAGTCCATCCTGCTCGTCGCGCTCCCAGCTTCCTTGCTATTAGCCTCAGATCCTCTCAACGCGGTCTTCTTTTTGCTGCTTTCCACGGCAAGGTATGTTTAACGGGATGCAGATGAAAGGTTGAACGGAATTCGATGATTTTTGTGTTTCCAACTTTTACCTCTTCTGTTTTTTTGTTTGCCAGCATGTTCCCGTTGTTGCACAAAGACGGCCTGGCAATTCCATATGCAATTTGCATCGTCTTCTTTGTGATTGTTGTGCTGCACATGCTGAATGTTTCCCTGCAAGCTTGTCAACACCTCACCACCATCGGCAAGCTTCAGGTAAATCGCCAACACACGCACACATACCCGGAAAAAAGTGATTGGTTGGTTGGTTGTAGTTTGGCTCACAGCGAGTGACTCGGTTTCTTGTGTGAATTTGCAGCTTGCAGCAGTAATTGTGTGCTTTTCAGGGCTGCACTTGGCGTGGTACTTTTACATTCCTCCAGCACATCTCCCTCACGCAAACTTGCTCCTTTTCGCCGTCGTCTCGTGTGCAAGCTTTGTTCTATTTGCCGTGTATTTCAACTGGCGGCAGTGGCAACTCAACGGCGTGCCTACCTCCACACACAAGCTGAAACACTCCTGATTGCTGCGTTCTTGCACCAACAAATTTATGAATAAAATCAAAAATAGCACAATTTGATTGCTCGTTGATGATGATATTTACGCAGGGATGTATTTTTTCGTGTATCAAACACGCAGGCATTCGCACGGGGTGGAAAACAAAAAGATGATGGCTGGGGAGAACATACAATGCAATCCGGAGTCAGACATAGAGATGAACACAGATGGAGGAAGGATTAAAAACAACAAGATTTGAATCAAATGAAGAGATGAGGAAAGAAGGGGCAATTGGAAATCAAGAAATGAGAACGTGAGCGCATCACGCAGAAAGAACTGGCTCACTGGGAGGAAGCACTCGTTAAAGCCTCGGCGGGATACGTAGGGGACTGGTCGTGCCAGAAGAGATTGTTAGGGGACGTGCTCAACGACAGCAGGGCCATGGTTGCATCGCTGGCTTCTTGCACAACAGGCTTGCCGATGGGCACAGCTTGCGTCTGGCCACTACTGGACGAGTCACTGGAGGACACGCGGACGCGCTTTGGCGAGGAGTGCGTCTCTTGAGCCTCGCGGTACTGAGCAATGTGCTCCTGTTGCGCGTTGGCGACAGAGTTTTGCTGGAGCTGTTGGGCTTGGGATGGCTGCTGCTGCATGACAAACTGCTGCTGCGGGATCACTTGCGTTTGGTACACGGGCATGGGTGCGTATGCAAACTGCGGCTGCAGCGGGTGCGGAGCAGCAGCCATGGGCACCAGATGCGGGCGGGTTTGCTGCTGGGCTTGCTGTTGGAAGGGTTGCACCTGCATCACTTGGACTGGGTGGTAGACAACATCCTGGCTCGGACGAGGTGACTTGGTGTACAAGTCGCGAGGGCTGGTCGCGGGCATCGACAACGGGGATGGGAAGGCAGAATGACTAAAGGTGCCGACTGCCTCCGTCGTTGGGAAGCTGTGCATTTTCATCACAGGGCGCGGAGCTTGCTGCTGCTGCTGCTGCTGCTGCTGCTGCATTTGCATCTGCAGCTGTGGCTGCTGTTGCATTTGAGATGCAACCATGGGCTTTTGATGCTGCACGAGGCTGGGGTAGCTCATGTCAATCATGTCTGCAAACGAGGTCGTCGTTTTACTGCCAGAGGAGGGAGTTTGCGCCATGGAAGGGGCCGGCGCCGTGGTGACAAAGCCCAAGTTCGAGCTGCTTCCTGACGAGTTCAGAAAGCCAAGGCTGGAGGCGCTGTTGCTCGAAGGCGTGAGCAGCGTCACGTTGGACGGAAACATGCCGACTGCTTGGCCTTGGTGTGCGATAAAATGCGTCTGGCTTGGCACTTGCACCACTTGTTGGAAAGGCATCACACCCTGGATGAATCGTTGTTGTTGTTGTTGTTGTTGTTGTTGTTGTTGTTGTTGCTGCTGCTGCAGCTGCTGTGGCTGCTGCATCTGCATTGGAAGAGAAATCATATGTGGTTGAGATTGCGACTGGTGAGGACGGAACTGTTGTTGTTGCTGCTGTTGTTGTTGCAGGAACACTTGCGATTGTTGGGTGGCGAGCTGCGGGAATTGCTGCATGCTGTTGTTGTTGTTGCGGCTGATGCTGATGCTGATGACGATGTGGCTGCTGCTGTTGCTGCTGCTGCTGCTGGTCAGACTTGACATCCGGAGATCGTCCCATGGCAGCCGCCGCAGTGCTGATGTGCGCTTCGCTGTGGCGATAGAGGCTGGCCACGTCAGAGTAGCGGCGGCCACACCCCGGGTACACACAGACAAAGGGCTTGTCTGCCGCAGTGTGCGACGTCGAGTGGTGTTCGAGGGACTTGGCCTCGGAGAAGCGCTTGCCGCAGCCTTGGACGGGGCACGCAAACGGCTTTGCGCCGGAATGCGAGCGCATGTGCTTTGTGAGAATGTCGAGGCGGGAAAAGTGCTTGCCGCAGTTGTTGATGGTGCATTCGTATGGCTTCTCGCCAGTGTGCGTTCGCAGGTGCGTCACCAGCTTCTGGCGCGTGGTGAATGCACGACCGTTGCGGACGCAGCCAGTCCAGCCGCAAAAGCCGTCCCAGTTGTCGTGGTTGTTGCGTCGCGACTTGACATGCTCAATCATGAGGTGCTCGACCATCATGTCGAGTGTGGCAAAGTCCAAACCACAGCCAATCCACTGGCAAATCGATTTGGCGTGGCTGACCAAGCCGGCAGCGACCGTCGACGCAGCCGCAGCCGCAGCCTGCAAAAAGGACGACGAGGTGAGGATTGGCGTCGACAGCGATTGCATGCCACCGACAGCAATGCTGGGTGGTGATGAAGTGGAGACACCACCGCGCGAAGCGAACTGCGCGGCGGACGCAAACTGTCCGTGGTTGTTCTTGGAGCCAGCCGCGCCGAGGCCACCATTCACAAGCATTCCGTTGGCACTGTGCATCACGTCGCCAAACATGGCATTTGCAGAGGTCGCAAATGTTTCGCCAAATCCCACCGTGTCGGCTTCCTCGTCACTGCTGACGCTGCTGCCGGCATCACCCCGGTTTTGCTGGCTGCTCGACATGCTTGGTTTTTTGTTTTGCAGAGCTTTCAACTGGCGCCTTGACACGTGAAGCAGGTCCAAAAAGCACAGTCGAGGAGATCTAGATCGTTGAAACGGGGTTGGGTTGTTGACAAAAGGTGTGTTTGGAAGATCTGAGATCTGTTTTCACACACAAGGACAAGATGTGAGTCAAAGACCGAGGACAGCATCATGATGGCATAAAGCAGGGGTCGCGGATGGACGATAGAGAGAGACAGAAAGAGAAAAGGAGAAGAGGAAATCAACAATAGACTCGCTGCTTCTGAGATTCGCATCAGATCGCGCCAAATTTCGCGTGGTGGCTTGCACATGCGCACAATCCCATGCGTCTCGAAGAGTGTGTAGCTGTATGTTGTTGTATGTTGTTGTTGTTGTTGTGTGTGTGTGCAACCTTCGACCGCAGTGTAAGCAGCGTAAAATGGAAAAAAAAGACAGGAAATCAAAGAAGAAGAAGAAGAAAGAAAAAAAAAAAAACCGCAATATTAAAGGCAGCGTGCAAAAAGTGACACGCAAAAAAAGGGGGAAAAAAAAAAAAAAAAAAAAAAAAGGAAAAAACGAGTTTGAGAGTCAAAACAAGACCACAAGAACAGAAAAAAAAAACCATGAATGCTGCTGACGTTGGATTTGGATGGAGGCGTCAAACAAGATGAGCAACGAGGAAGTGGGAAAGGGGGAAGGGGGAAGGGGTTGAGGGGCTCAGGAACATGACATTGGACGGATTTAGCAAAAAGATGGAAACATCAAAAATCAAAAAAAAAAAAAAAAAAAAAAAAAAAAAGATAAAGGGAGAAAAGCCAGCTGCCATCCGCGTGTTGAATGGCCGAGTCAACCACTTTGTCCAAAAAAACCACAGAGCAGATCAGCAGAAAGCAACGCGTAGAGAGAGTTGAACGAGAAGAAGGAGAGGGGTGCAGAGAAGGACGACCGACTACATGCAGGAAACGGGGGAGGTGTTGCATCAAAAGCGATGAAGAGGGGCGAAGGCAGTTGGGACAACGATGACAGCAAAAAAAAAAAAAAAAAAAAAAAAAATACCGCTGGCTGCGAAACAAAAAAAAAAATAAAAAAAAGGATGGATAACCGCCGGTTGCAAAACCCTGGCAGATGCGATCGCACACGACAAAACAGCCAGAGAACAGGGAAGGACGCCAACGTGCGATGCTAAAAACCGAAGAAAGACAACAAAGCGATCGTGTCAGCCAAAAAAGACCACCCGGACACGTTGAACGCTTTGAATGGAGAGTTGGGAAAACTCTGCAAAGGGCGGCGGGTTTTCATGTTACCTCAAAAAAAAAAAAAAAATGAAATAAAGGGGGGAGGGTCACACACACAAATGGAGCGAAATGACACGAGAATGGAGGACTGGCCAGTTGAGTTGAGAGCGAGAGAGCGAGAGAAGAGTAGTCAAGGTGGAGTTGTGCAAACATTGAGAGAGCGATAGAGAGAGAGAGAGAGAGAGAGAGAGCAAGTCGCGATAACACACACACTTTGGGGGGAAAAGCGGCAACAACGCGCGTGTGAGGAGCAAAATATAGCGGGTTAATTTAAGGCGAGCTGGGGGGCCAAGGACTGGACCCATAGACAAAGGAGAAAACAGTCAACGATGATGAGATATGAAGGAGATGTTCGCTCGGGGTGACAGCCCCGTGAGCAGCGCGCGAAAACAAAAAAGAAAAAAAAACTTGAAAAAGCACAAAATGTTGAATTCGCCGAACAAAAAAGGCAAACACCTTACACGAAAACCAAGACCTTCGGCAAATCCGAGTCAGGAGCCGATGGCTTCCAATTCGCCAGCCAAGAAGCAAGGAAAAATAAAGGAAACAAAATAAAGTCGGCGAGCGTCATACTCGCACTAAAATGATCAACTGTTGAAGTTGAGACGCGTATCCGATGTTGCGTGCCTGTGTGTGCGCGAGTGCGTGTTGCATAGAGTGTGTGTGCGCGTCCGCAGGCTCCCTCATACACACAAGAGAGTGCCCCAGGTTGTTTTTGCGGTTCCACGGTGCGAAAATTTTGCGCGTCACAACAAAAGACAAAAAAGAACAATGCGCCGCGAGAGAGCTGCAACCGCCCACAACCGCTGCACCAAGCAGAAAAAAGACTCAAAGCTTGGCACCAGACTCTGCACCAGATCCCATGGAAAGAGCACGAAAACGAGAGTGGAAATTTTGCACTGTCGAGGGTCTGTTCACCTGATCTGTTTTTGTTCTTCTTTTTCATTTTCCATAGACTCGAGCGACCGCCGGTTCAAAACCAAACAGACAAGGTCTCCAAGCACGGGTTGCTACATTGACAACGCTAACATGACTTTGTGATGAAGGCGAGCGGGCTGTGGGTCGTTGAGCGAAACACACAGGTGCTTTTTTTGTTTTGTCTTTCTTTTGTTGTTGGATCGAATCAAAGAGTTTCCCCGCTTTTGCCAGCTGTGTCACACTGGAAAATGTCAACCCGACCTCACAAAAACCGCACATGCCCCTCCGTGCCACCTTTTTTAAACTTTGCCAACAGACAAAAAGCCAAGCGACAGAGCCAAAGGTGGTGCTAGAGAGCGCGGAGAATCCAAAGGATGTTTGTTTTGTTTTGCAAGTTGGGTTCAAGGCGATTTTCCAGGCTATGCAGTGGTGTGAGGAACAATGCACAAGACGCAAAAAACAGACCACTTTACGGCTGATTCATAGCTGCGCTCTTATTATTTACCCATCAGCCAAAGCGCAGCTGTCAGATTCGCCACCAAAAACAACCCCCTATTCGCACGTGAGCAACCTGTCCCCCTGACCTCGTCCGCGAACGTGGCGGCGGTTGAACAAAGTAGAGCGGAAGAAGAGAGCTGGTATAGGAGAGGAAGCGAGAGAGACAGAGAAGGGAGACAGAGAAAGAGACCTTGATCTCAGATTGTCGCACTTTTCACAAACGAGAAAAAGCAAAAGAGAACAAAAAGCCCAACTCCGAGCAAACCATAGCGGTTTTTACACCCCAACCCACATCCGCGAATTCAGCCTCGCAGTAAAGCTTGCTGTTCTCGACTTCCGGGTTGAAACACACGAGCACTCAGACCGAAGAAGGCAGAGCAAGAACAAAGACGTCCAACCGAATTTTCAACATCCGAGTTCTTGTTGTTGTTTTCGCACATGTCATTGTTCTCAGGCGGAAGCGAATATTGCAGCAAATCGAGATGCATGGAGATGCAGATGCAATGGAGAAAAGCGTGAGGTGTTTGAGGTTGGGTTTTGCGTTGTACGAGTCTGGGAACTCGCGGCTGCGGGACGGGTGGAAATGCAAAGTGGATCGGAGAGACGCGAAAGGAGCGAGATTGAGACGCGCCGCCGGGTTTTGAAATGAACAAAAGTTACAGTGGATGTGGCAGGTTGGAGCAGCAACAAACAGCAAATGTGGCACGAGCTGCTGCTGCTGCTGCATCGACTCGCCCTTACCTTTGACACGGCGCGCCCAACCAGACTTGGGGTGCAAAGGTTGGCAGCAAGGAGAAAGAAGGACTGCAAAGATGTTGCGGACGAGGCCACACTAATGCAAGAGTGAGAACAGAAAAGACTGGTGTCAACTGACCCATCAACGAGAGCGTTTCCAACTCGCAAAACAAAAATCGAATGCATTCCAGACAAAGCCAAAACACTCGCTTCCAAAGGGTGCAGGTCGGAGGGTATCGAGTGTTGCGGCGCATCTGCACTCCAGGCGGGACAACAAGGGGCGAGAGGAGAGAACAACGAGACGGGGTGGAGTGGCAACGAATTAGCAGCGTCGTTTTGTGGCAGCGTGAGCATAACGTGCCTTCGCCCAAGAATCCTGGTCTGTGCTCATTGGTCAACCACACACGAACAATTTGCATGCGGCAAAAAACGAGGTTGAAATCCAAATTGGCAAGTGGGTCAGCCGCCCTTTTAAACCGCAGCAAACCTCTTTTGATCGAGCGTCGGTAGTCCGGTCAGTTTAGAGGACGTTTTTGGAAGCCTGGGGCTCACCAGGGGAGAGGGACACGATACAAAACCAAGTGAGGCGTGGACAAAAGAAAATTTGGATGCAACCGTGCGCAAAGTTGGTCTCGGTCGGTCTGAATGAGCGACACACGCACACGGCACACTTAGTGACACACATCACACCCATCCACTTCCATTGCAGGCAAGGAATGTTGTCTGGGGTTGCTGCATCACTGCCGCTCATTTTTGTGGTGGGAAACCAGTGAACTGTGAGAAAATGTTGGTCGAGCGTCGCAATCAAGTTTCAGCAGCACCAAGGCTGTTGTTGCACTTCTCAACTCTGCCGACGGGATGACTTCTCTGCTTTGCTGCTCAAAGTCCAGCTCCCAAACTTGCTGCCGAACTGGACGACACTCTGGAAGAATTCACTCGAGCCAATGCAGTGACAAAACAACAGCGCTTCCAATTAGGAACAAGTAAACACACACACGTTTTTTTCGCAACAAAACACAAACACTTGAATTGATTGTTGGAATGGGACCGCCTGTCCCCCCTCCCCTGGTTTGTTGTGGCCGCTTTTGTACAGTTGAGGGGACTTTGATCAGAATGCCAACGGACAAGACTCCCTCATCGTGGCTTTCTAGCAGTTAACTGAACACCTTTAGGTGCCGGCTCGGTTGAAACTGGCTCGGATGCAGCTATTGGGCTGGCGGTATCTGCCTTTGGTTGGCTATCAGCAATGAGAGGAACTTGAGCGCCGAACGCAGCCCAATCGTTCGGGTTGATTCTTGCTGCTTTTCGTCGTGCCGTTGCAATTCGTGCTAGCTGTCGACGGTGATACTCGACTGCCGCAACTCTACTTTTTCTTAGTGTACCTGCGGAGACCAAAAAGCGGAGAGATGCATGTCAAAATGAATGGCTGGATATTGACCCAAACGCCCGTTAGCAAGCACTTACCGCTAACGTGGACTGTCTTCCATGCACATTGTGCTTTTCCAATCGTCCCAAGCAGCGTTAGTGACGAGAGCAAGATCTCGACGTAGTCGCGTGGCGCGCGAATCATGGTGAGGCCGGTTTCCGTGTTGTAATGCTTGACTGTTTCAAAACGCCATGGCCATAGATGACAGTAACACCAGAGCATTCGTGAGCAATCTTTGTGAACTTGATGTAAGACAGCGACAGGGATAGAGCGAGGAGAGCAGGACGCTCACCGTTGAACGAGCCGAGGACGCACGCGAGGCCGTAGTCGCCGTGTGCCTCCTGCACGGCGTCCTTGAGCGCATTGACCAGTGGGCCGATGCTGACACCAGCTGCACCGGGGCCCGACGGCGGGGCGTCCGAGCCGGCGATCGTCAGCTCGCCCAGCACGTAGCGGTTCTTAAAGCGGACCATTGTGGCTGAGCAATGCAGAATGTAAGAAGGACTGAATACAGACGAACAATAATCTTGATATATAGTGCAGGATAGTATTGTATAGTGCTTGCCATTATGATTCAATTCGGGTTGAACAACCAGTCATCCATTTGTCTGAGAAAACCTTGCGAAATTTGACAGCGGAGGATGACAGCGAGTGCAACGCGAGCCGCGCGCATCCACGCACTTCAGGATGAGATTGGCAGTCTCAAAGCGCTGCTGGCTGCGAAAGAAGCGGCGCTGGCACGCGAGGTCGCACTGGTCGAGCAGGACCACGAGGACAACCAGGACGAGGTTGACGCGACTGCAGCAGCCACCGAGCGATTGAACAAGAATGATGTAGCACGCTTCAGCAGGCACCTGCTGATGGAAGAGATTGGCGTCACAGGTCGGTTGTTGCGCACCAGCGTCCATGCACAGCGGCCAATTTCGCATTGCGTCACTGACTCGCCTCTCACAATCTCCCCATGGTTCAAATCATGCGAACATACTGCAGGACAGCTCAAGCTCAAGCATTGCCGAATTCTGGTGGTCGGTGCTGGCGGACTTGGATCCCCTGCGTTGTTGTATTTGGCGGCAGCCGGAGTTGGTAAGCAAAAAACAAAAAACCGAAAATCTCAGAGAAGCTGAGACATGAGTTGCTGTATGGCATCTGGACGAGTGCTAAATCACTGCAACAACATTGGGAACTTGTGTTGAAGGAACGCTTGGCGTCGTGGACTACGACGTTGTCGATTTGAACAATCTGCAGCGCCAAGTGCTCCATTCTGAAACCCGCATTGGGATTCCGAAAGTGACATCCGCTGCGATAGGGATTGCCCAGTACGTTTGTTGATTCTTGAACCAGTTGTGGAAGGTTGCGAGTTGTCTTTACTTGTTTTGACTTCGTCCGACGACTGACGATCGGGCATTGCCAGAATCAACTCTGCCTGCCAAGTTCGCACATTTAACTGTGCGCTGACTCGCGAAAACGCTCTGGACATTGTTCAAAAGTATGCTCACCATTGATTTGATCGAGATCGCTTGATTTGTCATGTGAAGTGCTCACTCATGAGGTTCTTGGTTGTTTTGCAGCTTTGACATTGTACTGGATGCGTCAGACAACCCAGCAACACGCTATCTCATCAACGACGCATGTGTCCTGCTTGACAGGCCTCTTGTCTCTGGCAGTGCCCTTCGCATGGAAGGACAGGTCGGTTTTCGTGTTTTTTTTTTTTTTGTTTGTTTGTTTGTTTTTTTGTGGTCGCACCGCTTTTCCTCGACTCTTGCTCATCTCGATGATCTGGCTCTCTTCTTGACGCTCCAGCTAACAACATATCATATCAATGGAGGCCCGTGCTACCGGTGCATTTTCCCAGCTCCACCAGTTGCCACGACCGTGACAAACTGCTCGGACGGCGGGGTGCTTGGAGCAGGTACATCTTTGCAACTCCATGCTGAGATTGCCGCTTTTTGCCGATATTGGTGCTCATAGGTGACGTTTGTAGTGACTGGCATTATTGGCGTTCTTCAGGCGCTCGAGGCTGTCAAGATTGCCGTTGGACTGCCAGGTGCGAAACCAATCCCTGCTCGTTCGTATTTTATACTTTCTGTGTCATTCACTTGTGTTGTTGTATGATAATTGCAGCGGCTTTTGCGCAGCAGTTGCTCTTGTTTGACGGGACGCTTGGAAAATTCCGCTCCTTCAAGCTCCGCAATCGGCGGCCTGACTGTGCTGTGTGCGGTGATCAGCCGACCATCACGCGTGATCTGATCGACTATGAGGCCTTTTGTGGAAGTGCTGCTTGCGACAAGGTGGGTGGTTGCGAATGGCAGCGAATCTGGTGTGTTTGTCAGCTGACTTTTTCATCCCCCTTTTGTTACTTTTCTTGCAGACGCCGAGTTTGAAGTTGTTATCGCCTGACGAAAGAATATCCTGCAAGGTTGGTCGTGCTGTTTGCGTGCTCAGTGCTGCCATTTCGGATTGATTCTCACGCTTGCTCGGGGATGCCTTAGGATGCCGAGAAGTTGCTACGTGCAGCAACCTCCACAAATCCCCTGCTCATTGACGTCCGACCGCGGTTGCAGTTCAACATTTGCTCGCTGCCGCAGTTTATCAGTACGTGTTGAACGGGATGAGGGTTTTTGTTCGCATGAACGTAGCTCATCGAGAACTGCTCCATCTCTCATAGACATCCCCTACGCACCACCAAACACGCAGGATGCAGATTTCATTGCATCAGTGCAGGAACTATTGACTAGGCGAGAGAGCGCGGGCCTTCCCACGCGCCCAGAAGGTCAGTTCTTATTGCCAAGGAGCAACAAGCAACGGAATGAGCGCTTCTCACGTCTCTTCTGCACGAAATCTAGCAGTGGTCCTCGTTTGCCGGCGAGGAAACGACTCTCAACTCGCAGCGCGCTTGCTCAAGTCAACGCTCGGACTCGATCAAGTTGTTGATATCGCCGGAGGACTCGAAGAGTGGAGCCGGTGTGTCGATCCGGATCTTCCAATGTACTAGAAGCTCCCCCCCCCTCAGGCTCACAGCTGTGCGTTACAGCACGCTCTATTCATCCCAATCGTCACATGTGTTTTTGGTTTGACTCTTAAACTTTTGTTTTTTGTGGCTGAAACAGTAGAAAACACGCATTTGGTCAGATGACCTTGTGTGGTACTGCTGGGAAGGGGTTTTGTTGAGGTTTCAAGACCCATTGCAATACAAAAATTCATAAACCAAACACAAGAAATCAAAACAATAAAACCCAATCCATCTCAGTTTTCTCAGTTTTTTTTTTTCTTGATTTTCATTGGTTTTCCATTGTTTCCTCTTTTTTTTTTTTTTTTTTTTTTTTTTTTTTTCCATTCAAACAAACCAGCAAAACTTCACTCTTTCACTCCTTCACTCACTCTTTTCTCTTTCAAGGGCGGGGGCGTCTGTTCTTTATTCGCAAGTTTTCCTGTCAGCTTCGAAATGGACTGGTTCCGCAGCCGGTTTGCGTCGGGCAGCTCGACGGGTGGCTTCACGACGAGTCTCGCGTCGAGTGGCGGGCAGTCGCTGAGCGCATCGTCGTCGTCGTCGTCGTCGTCGTCCGCACTCCAGTCGTCATCAGCAGCATCAAACTCAGCCTCAGGAACGACGACTGTTGCAGGCGGGTCGCTGCTGGCCTCGGCTGAAGCAGTGGCTGCCGCGCAGGGACTCCACGGCGGGCTCCAGCTGCCCGGCACAGCCCTCGCAGCGCTCCCCTCCGTCCACACAGCCACTGCAACTGGGACCTCTGGGACAACGACCACTTCTGCTGGCAGCAGTGGCTCGGCGGCCGCCGCGTCCGTCTCGATGATGATGATGAATGGGCTCTTGTGCAAAAAGTGTTACACGGACATGTCCCTCTTCCAGCACCGCGTCGCCGTCAGCGCGTCGTCGAGTGGTGCAAAGGCATCTGCAGTCGCATTGCCGGCCGTCGGGAACGCGGCGTGGACGGCGTTCTGCTGCTCTCAGCCAGCAGCCACCAATGCAAACCCCAATCCGACGTCGCCGTTGTCGTCGCCCGCTGCTGCTGCTGCTGCTGCTGCTGCTGCTGCTGCTGCTGCTGCTGCTGCTGCTGCTGCTGCTGCTGCTACAGCCACCGCGTCGCAGCCAGTCATCAGCGCGTCTGCGACACTGGCAATGCTGTGGCAACGCTACGTCGAAGCGCTGCGAACGGCGGATCTGGTCGCCGTCGACCCGCTGCTCGACGACTTTCTGGTCGTCCTGCTCGAGCAGAACGCGAACGTCCGTGCATTGCGCGAGCCTGTCAACCTCTCCGATGCGGCAACACTGTCGTCTGCGCCAATGCTGGCTTCGCTCGTGTCCAACCCGGCGTCGGCGGCCACTCGTGCCCCGATTCGGCGCGCTTCCAGCACAATTTCCACAAGTCGCTCCAGTGGCGCTGCTGCTGCTGCTGCTGCTGCTGCTGCTGCTGCTGCGACACGACAAGACTCGTATGCACCAGACGAGCCATTGTCACCGGCACCGCTGTCTGCCACAGAAGCCACCGCATTAGCCACATCGACCATCTCGACCGGCACGATCGTGCCTCCAATGTCGGTTGGCGCCTTCCCTTTTTCGTCTGTCGGTTCCAGCAGCGGCACCAACGGCGGCGGCAGCAGCAGCAACAACAGCACTGAGACGATGCGACCAGACCCGATGGGCTCTGGCAGCATGGGCCGAATGTCGGGCCACCCGTACGAAGTTGTCGTGTGTGTCGCCATCGCCCTCAACGAAACGGCGCGAAACCTACCAACAGCCTTTGAGGGTTTGCAATACTCGGCCACCGGCGAGCTCGCCAGCCAACCCCCATTCCGCTACTGCATTAATCTCGTCAAATCCGTCATTGTCTTGGCCCGTTATCCGCGCAACCGTCCCATGCTCATCCACCACGATGTGCTCGGCTCGCTGATCAACTTGATGCGCTTTATTCTTGCGCGACAAACCGGCCTGGCCAGCTTGCTGTCCTCCTCTTCAAACGCCTCGTCGGCGGTCGGGACACCGACAGGGAGCATGCGCAGCAACTCGAGCATATCGGTCCATCATCGCAGCCGTCAGAACAGCGTCAACGGTGCCACCAGCTACTTTGCCGGCATGAGCGTGCCCAGTTCCAGCTCCTCATCGAATGGCCTTTTGGGCGTGGGTTTGGAGACGCAGACCGCCAGCGAGCGGATTGCAGACTTTCTGGCCGTGCTCTTCTCGCTGTGCTTGTCGGCTGTGGAGCATTTGGTCGACTCTGAGTTTGCTTGGCGCCGCTACATGCTGACCTGGGACTCGGCTTTTGAACACGAGGTGGCTGGTACTGGCAACAGCGGCAGCAGCAGCAGCAACAGCGACTCGTCGTCAACGTCGCTTTTGACGCCAACCCTGTTCACCCCGGTCTCTCTTGCAAGCTCAAATATGGTGGCAAATGCAGCCGCCACAGCTCAGTCCTTTGAGCAATGGGGCGAGGGCTTGCTGCCGGCGCTCCTCGAAGTCGTCATTGACGGCCTTAAAATGCTGCAGATCGTCCTCGCGCGGAGCAAATCCCTGTCCGATCGCGACTATGCACTGCAAGAGCGATTGCTCCATACTCTGGCATGCGTCTCGCTGGGCAATCCAACTGCCCAGAATTCGCTCCGTGAGATTGGCGGCCTCGAAGCGCTCGTGTCCTTCCTCGGGTGGAAGGCCGGGTTCCAGGCCCTCAATTCCAACACTTCGAACGTCAACTCGGCAGCCGATGACGCGCTTGACATGACTGCTGAAGATGATGCGCTCGAGTCTGTCGTACCACTTGGCCTGACAATTCCACAACCTTCTGCTGCAGTAGCGTACGGGATGTCCGGCGACTCGTCGCTGTCGACGTCTCCCTCTGTAGCCATCTATCCAACCTTGAGCAGTACTTCTTCTAAATCGAATGCCGGTGATTCGCTCGAAAACGGCCCCGCCATGCGCATTCCGCTCACACAGGACGTGCTCTTGTCGCAGTTCGAGCAACCTGCCGCGTCGCAGCCGCCAGCAACACCCCGTCTTTCGTTGCCATCCCCCGGCATCGTTGTGCCGCCCTCCATGCTCCACTGGCGTGCCAATGTTTCCCAGACATTTCTGCGGAATGAGTTCCGGACACAACTTCTCGCCTGGCACATTCTACGCATTGTCACGATGGCCAATGAAGTGAACGCCAACAGGCTCGAAAAGATGGGCGGTCTTCAGAAGGTGGTGGATTTCTTCCTGTGGGTGATTGTTCACTCGTCGCGCCTCGACACCTTGGATGAGGACGCCTTCTTTGGACTGAACACGTTTCCGCTCGCGCGCAGTTTCCGGACATCGGTGCTGCCCACCAAGCCTGCCTCGTCGTCCAGCAAAGACTCGAGCACTGCGACCAGCACCAACTCCAACTCGTCGACCCTGCTCGCTGCGGAGCGGTTTAACGCTCTGTTCAAGCTGGACGTTGGGCAGCAGCTGGCGAACGCATCGCGCGATACACCACACCATCGCGTGTATGCTCCAACGGTGCCGCTCACCTTGTCTCTCGATTCGCAGCACGCTCCGACGCGCAGCCGTGCGATGGATTTGCTTTTGCAAATGCTCTTTTCGTCATGCGTACAACGCTACGATGCGTCCTCCTCGGATTGGCTCTCTGGGGGCCACCTGTTCCCACAGTACAGCGAGGGCAATGCTGGCAAAGCAGGCTCGCACCACTCTGAATCGGGTGCTGACTCCACGGCCTACGGGCTCAACTGGGGCGCGTCGCCATCGACTTCCTCTGTCGAATCAACGCCAGCCAGTCCCTCGAATACCAACAAGTTCTATCGGCCCACGCCTTGCTCGTCCGAAAGCTGCCTGGAACTCTTGTTTTGGGTGTTTGATCCAAACGTCCGACCAACCCAAGAAAATGAGCTGGCGCGCTCCTACTTGTTTGATGTCAACCGCTCCAAAGACTTTCAGTTCCTCGTTATTGAGTTTATCGCTCGCATTTTCGCGCAAAACAATGAACGTCTCATCGAGATTTGCGCCAACCATCGCTGGCTGGACATCCTCTTGTCAGAGTACTTTTCCGGGCTCACCTTCCCGCTCCTGTTGAGCACAGACCCGTCGCAACGGGTCCTTCGCGTGCTAGCGCAAAATGTGGTTGAGCTAATACTCTACACGGGCACCCTGCCAACGACGATGGGCAACGACCTTCAGTGTGACCGCATCCTGCAGCTTTTGAGCTTCCTGTCGGACTATCCCCTTTCGCTCGCGGAAGCCTGCACCGCTCTCATCAAGCTCCTGACGAACGCACGAGCAGCGACGCATGCTGCGCTCGAGCAGCTCGATTTTCTCTCCACCGTGACGACGCTTGTCTTCAAGTTTAACGAAACGCTCAGCGTCCTATCCCGCCCGCAACACGAGGTTTCGGCAACGAGCGCGGAGGCAGTGTTGGCCATGGACGCTGAGAATTCAATGCTCCAGCAAGGTGGCTCGCTCTTGTCGGTTGCAGAGCTGCCAGAAGACGATGACACGATCAGCATCAACACGACCGCAACGGCAATCACGTTGCAACCTACCACCACCACCCAGTCAACCCGCGCTCCTTCGCCCACGCCATCCTCCGTGTCTGGTATCTCGACCACCTCCGCAGCTCATCCGCAAACAGTTGTGCGAATTCACTTTTCCATGAACGAGCTGAGTCGTGCTCGGCAAGCGCTTGTCGCAGTCATCAACGAGTTTATCTTTGTCGACAATCCGAGCGCCCTGCACTACGTGTTTGCGCACAAGCCCACGCTGCATTTGCTACACTCGTTCCTGTCCGACGTGGACATTCCGTTCGCCTTGTGGAAGTGGTCGCTGCGTCGATCCAGCGATCTTGTCCGCGTTATCGTGCCCGGCGACTCTGTTCGTGCTGAAACGGTCGAATTCCTGCGATCGTACTTGGAGGTGCTGAGCCTGTCGATGAACTTTGTCCAAAAGCCAGACGCTGCAACAACAGCGGGCGCAAAAGTCGCCGTCGCGAACGAGTCCCCCTCTGCGACAAGCGCATTCCACGCAGCTCTGGCCGGAAGCACTACCAGCTCGTTACCTGCGACCCCACACATTGGTGCAACGTCGGGCGGCTCCCGCAACAGCAGCCGTCATCGTCATGTGAGCACGGCCGAGACGATGGCGCAACCTGTGCATGCAATGGGCATGTCTTCCCTTCGGATGCACTTGTTGCAAGGCATTCGACGCATGCTTCAAGGCGAGAACAACCGGACGTTCATCCAGAATGCCTTTGTCGAAGCAACGTGCTTTGTCAAGATTGTCAGCGTGCTGAGCGTTCCCATCGTTCCTCCAGAAGCCTCTGCCGCCGCTGCAGCCGAGCAGCAAAGCATTGCGATTGGCCTTGGACGAGGCAACCCCCCGAGCGCGCCAACGAGCAGTGGCGGGTCGCCGCAGACACCCGCGCCAGCCGCGATCGCAGCAGCACTCAGTGCCGTTCTGAGCGATCCCACTGGACCGTCGTCGCAGGCATCCACAGCCGCCACCTTGCGGGCTTTGGCCGAGAACAGCACTGCTCTCTGCGCCGAAATCCTCCGGACGTTGACTGCGCTTGTCGCTGGTTCCAGCACAAGCAAAGAGGTCTTCCGCGAGCAGGTGGGCTTTTCAAACCTGCGCGAGCTGTTGCTGCTCACGCTGAACGGCACCATGCCTCGCGAAGTCCTGTCTGTTCTGTTTGACATGCTCGTCGACGGCAACTTCAACCTGCAACACCGCTTTGCCATCCAGCACCAGCACGTCATCTTTCTGCTCTTTGATCTCCTCCCATTCATGTCTCACCGCGACCGCCTCTGGACGATTGACACACTGACCGAGCTGGTGAACAAGTCCTTTAGCAACAAGACGCGCTGCTGCGATGCTGGTTTGATTGGCGTCGTGCTGACCACCATCGCCCCGTCCGCATTCACTGCCAGGGCATATGGACGCCGTCCCGAACGACCACCAGCCGAACCGGCGGTGGATGATGCTGCCGTCGCTACAGCAGCCGCTGGGCAGTCGCCGGAAGCATCCAGCACCGAGATTTTGCCTGCCATGACTGCCGACGAACACAAAAAGCAAATGTCCTTCATTGAGCGTCTCGTTCACTTGATTGAAGTGCTGGGTGCGCACTCCATCTCTGCCGGCGAGCTCAAGCAACTGGTGGGACTGCTGCGGCCATCCGAGTCCTTGCTGCGTCCGCTCTTCTGGGTTCGGCTCCAACGCGCGTTGCAAATCATGACCGCCAAAGACGGACCGCTGCTGTTCTTTGACTTTCCACAAAGCCGCAAGTCCGGCCTGAATGTCCCGGCCATTGAACGATGGGGTAACAGCAACGGCTACACCTTCCACACATGGATCCGCCTGGAGTGGTACGATGCCGCGATGCAGGACGGTACCATCTCATCGGCCTCTTCATCGGGCTCTTCCTCGCGGTATGCATCGCTGTCGTCCTCCACAGTCACCTCTGGACCTGCTGGCGTTTCTGCGCCTCCTTCTTCTTCTTCTTCTTCTGCTTCCTTTGGATCGGCCCTCGGGAAGCAAAAGGACTATGAGCCCCGTCTGTTTAGCTTTTTCACAGCCAGCGGGCTGGATGGGTTTGAGGCGTATCTGAATGACGCACACCATTTGGTGTTATCAACCTGGCACCATGGCGATCGAAAGTCCATCGAGTTTACCAAGCACTACTTCCTCGAGCATCGGTGGTATTGCATTGCCATTTCTCACCGTCACTCGCGCAAGCCCTGGGGATCCAGCGACGCAATTCTTTACGTGGATGGTCAAATGGTCCAGCGAGAGCAGTTCCGCTACATTTCTGTGAGTGAGCCGCTGACCAATTGCCACATTGGTGCCGGCCGCAAGGTGGCCCCTGGAACCGCTTTCACTGCCGAGGCATCGTCATCAAGTGCTTCAACACCTCAGCAGCAGCAGCAGCAACAGCAACAGCACCAACAGCAACAGACGGGAGGCAATCGCATCACCAGCTTGTTCGGACAGATGGGCGCCTTGTACCTCTTCATGGACGTCCTCACACCCGCCCAGCTGGCCTCCATCTTCACCTTGGGTCCCAATTACATGTCGACCTTCCAGCCAACGGATGCCCCCAACCACCCCGAGCGATTCTCTGCCCTGTTTGATGGATCGCTGGCAAGCCGAATTCTCTTCAACTACAATGCCAAGGCATGTCGCGGCAAGCTGTGCTTGGATCTCGCCGCGTATCGACGAATGGATGCCCGGTTGCTGGGTTACCAGTGTGTCACGCATTCGATTCGAGATGTGACCAACTGTCTGGGTGGCGTGCAGCTCTTCTTTTTGCTCATCCCGCAAATGGATTTGCCGCTCTTTGTGCCGAATTGTGCGCCTGGCGTCCTGTCCGAGTCGTCTCGCACCTCCACCGCCAACTCGTCCACGCACTCCCTTCTCAATCTCACTGCATCCGTCCCAGCAACTGGCTCCGGCGAAGCTGGGAATGGGCCGTTCGAGGAGCACATTGACGCCCAGGCCTGCCCGCACTTTATCGATCTTTTGGCGGACCTGATTTTGGGCAACACTCTCAACCAGGAAGCCATGCTGCAGTGCGCCGGCTTTGCAACCATCTCGATGTTGCTTCAGCAAGTCAACCCCAAGCACCTGTCGCATTCAACGTTGCGCTCCATTCTTCGTGTGCAGCAAATGCTGGTTGCGTCTGGCAGCTGGGACCTGCTGCATGACCTCAACATGTCGCTGACGTTTGACTTTCGTCTTTGGATGTACGCCGATGTCAGTGTGCAAATTCAACTGATGCAGCTCTTGCTGTCGACCATTGTCGAAGAACCCGTCTGGGCGCGTCGCTTTTTGGGTGTTCAGTTTCTGCTGGATACGCTCAGCACGTGCTACTGGTACGCGCCGACCGACCATCGTCACATCATTGGCGCCTCGTCCACAATGTCCATCCATCCTTGGTTTATGCCCAATGTCGGCCGTTCCACCACCGGACCAGCAAGCGGCGGAACAGCAGCAGGCGGTTTGACCTTCTCGTTGGCCGGCTCGAGCGCGTCGTCTTCCTCCTCCTCCTCCTCGTCGTCGTCGTCCCTGCCCAATGTGTTTTCATCGAGCGGGCCCCAAGTTGTGCGACGGGAGCGCCTTCCTCCGGATCAGATCAAGCGTGTGCGCCAGCAGCTGTTCGTTGCGCTCCGCCAGTATCTCACCAAATCGCCCACCCGAGATGAGGTTGCTGCGTTGGTCGGATTCCTCGCCAACTGCCCAGACCACGCCCAGGTCTCAGAGATGCTCGAGTTTATTGTGCGAATCGCCTCCGGGCCCGACCAAAACAACTTGCTCGAATTGTTTGCCACGACGGGTGGCTTTGAAACCTTGCATGGCATTCTTTCCAGCCGCTTGGAAAGCACTCGTATTTATGCACTCCGACTGATTGCAATCTTCCGAAGCAACGAGTACGTGTCGGAAAAGACGCGCCGCCGTTTCCGCATGGACGATGTCGGGCCACACGGCCTGGCCGCAGCGCTTGCCGTGCACGAACTCACAGAACCCATTTGCAACCAGCTGCTGGAGATGAGTGTGACAAAGATCACCACGCATTCCACCGTGCCGAGCGCCGCTCCGACTCCCGCCTCAATGTCGCCGCCGTCGTCGCCGCCTCCCGTTGGTGGGCCCTCGGACTCAGCTTACCCGAGCCGAGCCGACGATGATGCTGCTGACCGCGAAAGCATGTTGGGCTCGACCGAGTCGCTCGCTGTCACGACGACCGTCACGTACGAGCTCAAGAACGTTCCGATGCTCTGCTGCGTCCTGCGCCTGTTGCGACAAGCCGAGCCGGGCCTCGCGTTCAAAATTGTGCAAACAGTCATTCTTCCGCTCTTTTCTCATCCCTCCTCGTGCGCCACCTTTGTCAAGCAGGCGCAAGGCTGGTCGGAGCCCTTGTTCAGTTTGCTTGCTGCTCGAAACGCCGATGCCGTCTCGTCAGATGAGCCTCGATCGCCCCCGTTCGGTCGCACGAGCTTCTCAGGCGCAGGCGGTCTAACATCCACGACCTCGTCTGCCGTTAGCATGAGCAGCGTCGCTGCACCGGCCTCGCCGGCCCCGCAACGCCCAGGAGGTGCCGCTCCTTTCGAGCGCGAGGCACTTCCACCCCAGTCGCCCTCCCCGGTACCTGGTGCTCCCTCCGGTCCTTCTTCTTCCGTGGGCTCGGCGTTGCGGCGGAGCATGTCCTCGCTCGGCAGCTTCAAGCGCCATCGCAGCGGCACTTTCCAGGTTGGATCCGCTCACAGCACTGCGGCCATCACTCTGCGCGATGCAGTACTCGACACAACGCACAATCTCGTGTGGGCTTCGTTCGAGTCGGACAAGAAGGCGTGGAAGCAGCTCGAAGAAGCCCTGCTCATGATTGAGGTCGTCTTCCCCTTCGACACGGAGCTGGCAGTCGTGTTGAAGCGCAGCCTGCTCATGCGCATCCTTCAAGCTTGCACGTCGGCGGTCGCGGCCGCCAGCGCGCCTTCTGCATCGTCAACCGCAACCACTACTGCTTCCAGCATTGCCGACCCCAACGCGCTCGGACGCGTGAGCAGCACCCTTCTGAACAACTGTGTTCACGTCTTGCATGTGTGTGAAGAGTTTTTGTTCTTTATTCCCCCGCCACCGACGCACCACATCATGGGGCGCCAGTCTTCCGTCACTTTGACGCAGACTGAGCACGACCAGCACTCTCGCGCTGACGCGCAACAGCAAGTGCAGCAGCAGCTTGCAGAGGCCACCTCTGGCATTGCTGGGGGCCAAGCTCTGCAGTCCAACAATGCTCGTGCATCCCAAGTCGGTCTTGGGAACATGAGTGGACTTTACGCAGCTGCAGGTGCCACGTTCATTCCTCCTGCGACGACGACCTCCGCCATCGCCTCTTCCTCTTCCTCCTCCTCCTCCTCCGCTTCCACGACCGGCACTGGCCAACCAGGATCTGCGACCACAATGACCATCGCGCCCAGCACCGATGGAAAGACAGTCACGCTGGACATTCGCTTGGATGCGAACGGCGAGTGGGAGGACACGAACGTTGCGCAGGGCACGCTGTTGTTGCTCGAACGAACCGGACTGTTTGGCCTGTCGACGTTCAACTCGTTCGACCTCGCAAGCGGCGGTAAAACGCACGTGCGTGCTGGCGGTGCAATCCGCCTTGGTCTGCGCATGTTGCTGTTTGCTTTGAAGAACAGCTCGCGCGTGGTGTGCGAGCGCGCGTGTGACCGAGTGCGCTATCTACTCGACCGGCATTTGAACGAGCCTTCGTCCATCGATCGTGTCTTGTACATTATGTGGCACTTGTGCGATGCCCTCGGCCTGTCTCTCCGCCGCGATCGCTGCTCCAACTACAAGCCCATCATTGCGGTGCTTCGCTCGCTCTTGCGCAAGTGGCGTCCGGCTCTCAACGCCATCCTTCGCATGGATTTGCCTGCCACCTCGTCATCGACCTTCCCGCAGCAGCAGCAGCAGCAGCAGCAGCAAAGTGCCGTTGCAAACAACATGGCGGCTGGCCTAGTGTTTGACGTGGGCATGGGCGTGCCCTCCCCGTTCGTCCCAGTCACTGGCGAACCACTGCTCTCGAACGAAGCGCTTCTGGAGGATGATACTCCGACGGATGTCTTCCTGTCGTTCATCCTATCTCCTCCGTGGATTCAAGCTCTGACTTGTTGCGTGCTGCCGCGTGCTCAAACTGTGGACACGACCGACTACTTGTCCTACGCGCCCTACCTGAGCAAGCGTCGGCCGCGTCGAATTGATGCCGTGACCAACAAGCTGGATAAGCAGCGCATTGCCGAAGCAGTGAGCGAAAACAAGTACAAGGAGATGATTGTTCAGCCGCACAAGGAGCGGCGGCTCGAAGAGGAAGATCGTCGCGACGTGCTTGTGCAGCAACGTGAAAGCGACCGCCGCGCCATTGTCCGCCAGTGGAAGACAACCCTCCAATTCTTCACCAGCGAGCGCGGTGTGCTGGCGTCGCGTGTGGCCGCGCCCGTGTACTGGAAGCTGGATCGCACCGAAAACGTCAGTCGCATGCGCCGCAAGCTTGTGCGCAACTACAACTTTGACAATCACGCCGCTGCCAGTCTCGCGCGCGATGCCGGCACGCGGAGCGAGTCGGTTTCGGCTCAACGGCGCGCCGCAGCGTTTGCCAGCCTCCAAGCCCAAGAGGTGGAGGTGATGCCTGGCATCACCAACATGGAGGTCAAGGTGCGCGTTTTGGACGAAGACGCCATCGCCGACGACGAATGGAGTATGCTCACTCAGAGTGGAACTGCCGCGTCGTCTTCGTCGGCTTCGTCATCGGGCGGATCCGGGGCTGGCAGCAGCAGTCTGCGAACGGCTGGCGAGACTGGCAGCGGATCCAGCACGAGCGCGTCCGCCGGCGGCAGCAGCGCATCGGGCACAGCCTCTACTCTTGCCAGCTCGTCTGGACAAGGTGCCGGAGGTGCAAGCTCAAACAACAGCGCCATTTTGCTCTCCGTCCCTTGCGAGTTGGTCTCTCTGATGGTGTCTACTCCTGGTCGCCTCGATATCACGGCGACACATGCGCTGTTCTATGCATCCAAGCACTCGGAAAGCATGAATGCGATCAGCGTCGAGTTGCTTGAGCTGGTCGACACGGCGCCTCGTGATTACAAGTGGCCGCTCGGACAAATCGTTCAGGTGCACTTGCGTCGGCACTTGCTCCGTCGCTCCGCCCTCGAAATCTTCTTGGCGGATCGCACCAACTATCTGCTGAACTTTGCCAAGAAAGACCGCAACCGCGTCTACGGCAAAATTCTCTCCCTGCGCCCGCAAAATTTGGTCTTTGCCGACTCGCGCTCGCCCGCAGAAATGCTCCGCAAGTCGAACTTGACTGCGCGCTGGCAGAAAGGGCAGTTGAGCAACTTTGACTACCTGATGCAGCTCAACACGATCGCCGGTCGCACCTACAATGACTTGAACCAGTATCCCGTCTTCCCATGGGTGCTGAGCAACTACGAGTCGGAGGTGCTGGATTTGAACGACCCGCAAAACTATCGCGACCTGTCCAAGCCTGTCGGCGCGCTCAACCCAAAGCGGCTCGAATTCTTCTCTTCGCGCTACGAGCAGTTTATCGATCCCTCCGGAGTTGTGGACAAGTTCCACTATGGCACGCACTATTCGACGGCAGCGACCGTGTTGCACTACTTGGTGCGTCTCGAGCCCTTCACCACCCTGCACGTGCATCTCCAGGCAGGCAAGTTTGATCATGCCGATCGCCAGTTTACCTCCATTCCCGCCGCTTGGAACAGCTCGTACAACTCGACTGCCGATGTCAAAGAGCTCATCCCAGAGTTCTTTTACATGCCCGAGTTCCTCGAGAACAGCAATGGCTTTGATCTCGGCGTCCTGCAGAATGGCAAGCGTCTCAACCACGTCGAGCTGCCGCCTTGGGCCCGCACCCCTGAAGAGTTCATCCGCATCCACCGCGCCGCCCTCGAGAGCAACTATGTTTCCGAGCACCTGCACGAGTGGATTGACTTGATTTTCGGCTACAAGCAGACGGGCATCGAAGCCGAGAAGGCGTGCAATGTGTTTTACTATGTCACGTACGAAGGTGCCGTGAATCTGGACGCCATCACCGACCCGCGCGAGCGTGCTTCCCTCGAGACGCAAATCAACAACTTTGGCCAAACGCCTGCGCAGTTGTTGAAAAAGCCGCATCCGCCCCGCAACGCCGGGGCCTACTCGCTGACAGGAGCGCTGCCAGTTCCGTTGGCTGGCCATTTCGCGTTGGCCGCAGGCTCTGCTGTCGCCCCCGCGAGCGTCACGGTCGTCAACAACACGACGAGTGCCGCAGTCGACTCGTCGTCGTCGTCGTCGTCGTCGTCGTCCACGAGCCAAACAACCTCCAACAACGCAGGCAGCAACCGACCGCGTAGCCAGGTCATGAGCAAGGCAAATGCAGAGAAACTGCGCGCTCTCGGCGCCGGGGTTGCGACCGAGCATGATGGCAGCGCGCCTTCATCTCCTGGTCCTGCTTCGCCGAGAGCAGCAGCGGCTCCTCCTGCAACGCCCACCTCAGCGACGGTCATTTCGACGAGCGCGGCACCACCGCCGTCCTCGGCAGGCAGCAACAAGCGTGTGCTCACCTCCGCGTGGTTCTCGCCGCTTTCGGCCAAGGAGAGTGGCATTGGTTCGAACGCCGTCATGTCCACGTCCTCTTCGTCCTCGAGTCAGGCGATCGTCGATTCCCCCTTCGCAGCCTCCGTGTTTGCCCAGCTCGACCACTTGAAGCCGTACTATGTGACGCTCTGCGACGAGCCTGTGGCGTTTGTCAGCTTGCCAGAGACACCATTGTACGCGTTCATCTACAACGGGTCGATGGACAAGGTCGTGACCATTACCGAGGAAGGCTTGATTGGCGCGCACTCGTGGGTCCCGACGCCGACGGCCGAGGGCATGCCATTCTCGTTCGAGCGCGACATGGTCGATCGTTATGTTGGCGGCCCGTTTGCTCAGCAGCTCCAGGTCAATCCGCGCCTCTTCCACCTCTCGCTTGACGGTCGCGTCATTTTCAGCGGTGGCCACTGGGACAACTCGCTGAAGATGACTGCGACCGACTCTGGACGCATCATCCAGTCGTTGATTGGGCACTCGGACATTGTGACGTGCATTGCGCTCGACAATGACAGTGCCATCTGGGCGTCGTCCAACACTTCTCTTGGCAGCGTGTCCTCAGCTGCTGGATTTATGAGCGGGGCCGGTGGCAATGCAGGAGCTGGCAGTGGCAGCGGCAACAATAGCGGCCCCACCAGCGGTGCCAACGCGAACGCAAGCACGTCTTCGGTTGGCTCTGCTGGGTCCAGCGGCGCCATCGGTATCATCGGTGCCTCGGGTGGCGTTGGCAGCAGCGGTGCAGGCATTGGCTCAACCCAGCTCTCGAGCGGCCTGAGCAGTGCTACTTCGTCCGCCATCGGTGGAGGCACCGCCATGTCGACCCTGTCTTCCACCATGGCTCCTGTATCCTCCATGGTCACGTCGGTCGTTGGTGGTGGTACGATCGTCGGTGCCAGGTACCTGGTCACAGGCTCTCGCGACACCACTTGTATTATTTGGGAGGTCTTGTACTACTCCAGTGGGACGATCGCAAAGATCAACGAACGGCCGTTCCAGCGGCTGCACGGTCACGACCATGAGGTAGGGTGACGTTTTTGTTTTGTTTTGTTTTGTTTGGTTGTTGTTGGAGGGTCAAACAGAGATGGAATGTACTGATTTTCTTGAACTCTGCGTGCGAAACAAACAGGTGTGCAGCGTCGCCATCAACACTGAGCTCGACATTGTCGTCAGCGGCTCCAAAGATGGCACCATCATCATCCACACTGTTCGCCAGGGTCGATTTGTGCGAAGCATCAGTCCACCCGTCCCCGAATGGTGCATCATCAAGCATCGTCGCCCGCACATCAAGCTGGTATCCATCACCAACAACGGATCCATCTTGTGCTACGGCGAGCATGCCATGAACGGTGAAAAGGTGAGTGTGCAACGGCGAGGATTTTTTTAATTATTATTGCTGTTTGTTGTTGTTTGTTGTTGCCGTTGTTGCTGTTGTGCTTCTGCCTGCATTTGTTGGCTCACAATGGCGCAATCGGTGTTCGTCTGAGCAGGAATCCCACATGCTGTACCTGTACAGCATCAATGGAAAGCTGCTGCAGTCACGCTCGTTCCACAACCGCGTTCGTGATTTGACATTGAGCAAGAGCGGCGAGTTCTTTGTGGCGGGCACATCCAAGGGCGAGCTTTTCACCTGTTTGCTCTACAAGTAAGCATCACCTGTGTTGTGTGTTCATGAGACGCTGGAGCAAACGACCCGTCGCTCACTTCTGCTTTTCATCTGAAATAGTTTGCAAACGCTGCATCAGCTGCCGCTTGACGTCCCAATCAACGTGGTGACCTTGACTCCGTCTGAAAGTCATATTATTGTTGGTCTCAATGACGGAAAGTTGATTGTTGTCATGCCTGGCAGGGATGACAACACTGGCACCTAACGACCATTCACTTTGGGCGCTACGTCCCGTTCCTTTGACTTTGGCGCTGGGTTGTCACCCCCTATTGTTTGAAATTTTGATTTTTGCTTTCTTGTTTGTTTTGTTTTGTCGTTTTCCTTAACGTGTGATTGCTTTTGAATTGTTTGTACTCTTGAATTTCTACCCCCTTTCGTCGTCCCCGCGTTTCTTCCTTGATCATTTCGAACTAAACTCCAAGTGAAGATTGATGGGGTTTTTTTTTCTTTTGCTTACACTCTTGCTTCCAACCACAACGAACAACAACCGAAAAACAGATACTGCTACAGTTTAGCCCTTCTTGTTCTTTTCTTTCTCGGCCTTGAACTTGGCCTCGATTCCGGTAATATCAAGAGGAGAAAAGTTGCCTGTCGGGCGGTACTCGTTATAATATGGGGACTTGTCGCCAATGGCCATAATCTGATGTCCTTCCAGCCAGAAGCGGAACAGACCCTTGTGGTGTCCACGCACATCTAAATCCCAGACGCGGAAGCATTGAGCCAGACGCATCCAGTTTTCAAACTCGGTTTCCGAGTTCTGCTTGAAAAAGATGAGGTAGGGCGGCTGGTCGAGCTCGGCGGCCGAGAAGCCAGTCTCGATTTCAGGCTTGTTAATGCCAATGCCAATGCCGGGGTGCTTGCCCGTCACGCCCAAGGCTTCGTTCAAGCCGTAAATGAACGGGAAGGGGAAGAAGCCCTCCTTGCACGGATTGGTGCCGCGCAATGGCACACCCTTGGCCAGCAGCGCGCGCAAATCCTCTTCGTACAACTTGGCAGTCATTCGCTCGGGCTTGCGCAAGTCCACGTCGGCCTGCTTGTTGATGCGGTGGTTGCCAAAGTAGGCCTTCTGGAAGTAGTAGTTCATGTTGACGCCGCTCGCGCCAAAGTGGTAGGTGCGCGAAATGTCCGGGATGATGCACTCGCGTCCCTTGCGGTTGGTCGGCAGGCGCATCCACATGTCCCAGTCCCAGCGGTTTTCCGGTGCGGGCCACTTGGACTCGAGCTCGTCCTTGTACAGCTTTCGCGAGAGGAGCCAGCCCAGGCCGGGCATGGTTTCAATGCGGTACAGCAGCGCGGCATCCTTGGTCGAGTGCATGTAGCCGTTGTCGTTCCATGCCGAAATGCAGTACAGGGTCGGGTCCAGCTCCATGAGCGGGAGTGTCTGGTCAAAGTACTGCAAAAAGTCGGGCGAAACCTCCAAATCCTCTTCGACAATGATGGTGTAAGGCGCGCTCGGAGCAATCTCGTCAAACAGACGTGTCAGCGAGTACTTGTAGTGGTAGCAGATGCGCCCGTTCTTCTCGCCCTGCGGCTCGTGCATGACGCCGCGCACGCCCAGCAACTCGGTGACGTCAAACACCTCCTGCAGCATGCCATCGATAAATACAATGATGCGGTCTGGTGTCATGCCAGCAGTGGCCAGCAGCGAGCGGAGCATGCGGTACAGGTACTGAGGGCGGTTGCTTGCCATGACAATGACGGGAACGTTTTGGAGGTTTTCCAACTCGATTCCCGCAGCTGTTGGGACAATGTTCAAATCGTCGGGGTTGTTGCCTAGCAGGAGAGGAGAAAATTATTGAGGGGGGGGGATCGGCGGGAAAGGTGAGGCGAGATTGTCAGGAAGGCATCAGAAAACAAAAAACCCTCCTTGCACAGCTCTCCTTACAGTCACACAACGTGCCATAGCCCTCGTGAGCATTGCAAAAGACGCTTCGGCGAGCATTTTCGGGAGTGGGGTCCCACTTGCACTTTGTGACTGTTGAGCAATACCCAGCAATGAGCCAAACGTTGACATTTTCGGGAAGATGTGATGTGGGGGGGGGGTTGACGTACCTTCAGCCGGGTTTTCGAGCGCAATAGTTGCCTTGGTGGACACATTTTCGCCCCAAGAGTCAAGGTTGGGAGAGCGCGACACCTTCTCGGATGGCGGAAAGCTCGGGACGCCCTTTCGGCCAATGATGGCGTACATGTCGCGCCAGTGCAGTCCCTTCACCATTGTGGCACCGAGATGGTCTGCGATGGATTTGCGCGCTTCGTCGTGCAGCATAAATGTACCTTCGTCCTGTTTGTTTGGAGGAGGAGCCGAGGCGGTGGTGAGTGACGCTGAAGCGGAAGCTCGTCGGAGCGCGACCAAACGTTACCTTGATGGTCATCACGACAATACGACCAGCATGAATGCCACTCAAGAACGGAATCAAGGCCTCTTCAGCACCCTCCAAGTAGGTGTCAAAGGTCCGTATTGCCATGACTTTACCCTGCAGCAAACAGTAACAAAGCAAAGGAACAAAGAAGCGTCAGGTTGTTTTCGTTTCATTCCCCGATGTCAAAGTCAGATGCATGGGTCTCAGCATAGCGCAGCGAGCTCGATGAGTGTTACATTAAACTGGTTGACGATGGCAACGTTAAATCCTCGACCCTTGTCGTTGGCTTCCTTTTCCTGGAAGACCACTTCCCCGTTGATCGTGATGCGCCCGATTTGCTTGCCAGACTCGGCTGTGATGTCCAGTGTTCCCGGCACCCAAGCTGCGATCGAAGGAAGGACGGAAACCCAACGTGAGCGAACGCACACTTCAATGAGGCATCAGGGCATTCTGAATAGAATAGAGTGTTCAAGACTGCAAAACGAAGATTTTTGCTCAAAGGTTGGTGTTGTCTTTTCTGAGATGTTCAGGTTGAATTGCAAGCTTCTCTGCTTGTGCCGTTTCTGATTGTGGCTGCCCCGATTGTAGCTTCTCGCATGTGCTACTTTTTCAGATTTGCGACCTTTGCTCAGATTTGCGACCGTTTGCTCAGATTTTGCTCAGATTTGTGACGACGTGGCCGTCCCCTCAACACAAACCCTTTCTCTTTCCCCCCCGCTCCGATAGACAACCAGACACCGGATGGCCAATTGTCCTGACCCCGACACGACGAGATCTCCTCACCATTCTGCGCAGCCTGCAGCGCTGCAGCGACGGCAGCTTCGGCGGCCTTGACCTCGGCCTCAGCGCGCGCAACCTGGGCGTCCTGCACCTGTGCCTGTTGCCCCTGCGCCTGGTCGTTGCCGCTGCTCTGCTGCTGCGGCTTGACTCTGATCCGCTGTCCCACGCGGCGGTGCTCCTGCTGGTCGTGCAAGAGCGCGGCGAGGCGGATTCGTCGCTGGCGGGCGTCTTCGTTCTCGCCAGCCACATCGAGCTCGCCCAGCCCGAGCCGGTCGTTGCCATTGCCATTGCCGTTGCCGTTGCCATTGTCAATGCCGTTGTCGGCGATCAGGTTCTGCAGGAGGTGCTCGTGCTCGTCCTCGAGCGTCTGCTGGTCCTTGCGCATGTGCACAATGAAGATGACGTTCACCACGACCACCGTCAGCGCGAGCAAGCCCACGAGCACCTGCCACGTCTTTTGCGTGCATCCGCCGGGAACGCCTGCCCCGATCGAGCGGCGGCGCGGTCGCATGAAAAAAAAAAAAAAAAAAAGTGAAAAGACAAGAAAGAAGAAAAAAAAAAAAAAAGGAAGAGTGGCTACCAAATCGTAAGGTGCTGTCGTTCACTCGCAGTATAACAGCACGCTTTAAAGGCACAACCTCCATACGCGAGACCTGACTAACGAACGCTTTTTGGTTTTTTGCAATGTCAACCCATACAAACGTCAATTCAATGCAAAGCCAGCAATCAGACGAACGACGTTCTCTAACCCTGCATAAAGTGATGCACTCCAAACCCATGCCAGCCCACTTTGTGGGCCAGCACGGGTCCGGGTGCATCACCCCCTATCTCCAAAAACCATTGTGATTTATTGTGATTTTTGGGCCCTCGGTCTTCTCCCAATTCTCATTCATTTTCAAAACCTTAAGAGAGCCGAAAACAGCTTTATTGAAAGATCACTCGATCACAGTGTGTCGCGCTAGAGACAAGCGTAAAAAACAGTCAAAAAAACGATGTCAAGAGCAACAGCACAAATTCATGCAGAGTCACGCAGTGGTGTCCATGTCGGAGTCCTCGTCGTCAGAGTCGTCAGAATTGCTCCTAGACGCAAAGCGCGTAGAACGCGCAGAGGCACAAGAGCTCGCAGCCAGAGCAGAACCCGCAGAGCCGCCAGACAAAGCACTCATCGCCGCCAGGTCGTCAGCAACTGCAGCACAGAGTCTTCCTTGAGTTTCTCGAGCTCAAGCGTGTACTGGTCGTGCTTTTCCAGAGCCCTCTCGCTGTTGAAGCTGTCGACGGGACCGAGAGGAGCAATCTTCGGGTTGCGAAGCTTGAAGTCAAAAACCAGCTGAGGAGCGAACTGCCAGAACGTCTTCTGATCACGCTCAGCCACGTGAACGATGAAGTCGTACTGGAAGCGAGCAAGCTCCTGGAAGCAGCAGTTGGCGTACTGGAGAGCCGGGTACGCAAAGACGAGCCAGTAGACTTGAATCTGTGCGGTGATGGTGCTGAGAGTGTTCTTGCCGGTGTCACAGAACGCACAAAACTCTCCCAAGTTGCAGGGTAGCCGTTTGTGCCCACGTTCCGCTCAAACGCGGTCTTGGCAGCTTGCCACTGGAAGCCAAAGAAAACGTTCATCAAAAACGCATTCAGCTCAACGCCGTCGACAACGTGCTGCCAATCTTGAAGGGTCTTGCGCACTTGTTCTGCAGTCATTTCCGCAGTGATGTCGACAGACATCGGTCGACAGACATCGGTCGACAGATCCAAAGCTCCTTGGCTTGAGCACGCTGAAGCATCCCGCGTTCAGCCGCCTTGTACAGGTCGAAGTAGAGCCCAGCGAAATCGAGGTCTTGTTCTTGGCCGACATCCGAGTCCTCACCCGCTTCGCAAAGGTGCCAACCAGCTTCAGAAGCTGGTCCGACTTCTCGAACGAGTAGAGAGCATCGAGAACGCCACTCTCGCCGGCTTTGGTGCTTGAGGTTGATCATGAGGGCAGTCGCAGTCTCAAGTCGATCCTGATCGTTGTCAGACATGGTTCAGTGTTGTTGGTGCAGTTGCAGGGCATAGTGACGACTGAGCTCGTTGCACGGGTGCCTTAAATACCCTGGGTGCCATCACAGTGGCGTTTCAGTGAAAGGAGGCAGTTGGCGACAAAGTTGGTGGACGAGCTTCACATCGTTCGACTCGTCTTCTTTCGCTCAATCTCCCGGTCCTAGTGCCTCGGCCGTGTCATCGTACTATGTAGTGTTGGTGTTCAGAGGAAAGGTCTTCTGAGAGCTGATGGATGTTTCAAGAATCGTTAATATCCATAGCATAGAAATGAGCATCCTTTGTTTGAAACAGAGTTGGCTGCGGAAAGCCTCCCAAAGCTCAAACTCTGGAACAACTCTACCCAGACGTGGACTGCGCACATGGCTCCTTGAAGAGGACAGCTGTTGTGTGTGTTCGGATTATCTTTCCACTGACACTGCCTTTGAGACCCCCACCGGTGTCCAATGATCGCGATTGGAGCAAACGATTTCAAGCATTCCATTGAAGAAAGAGAAAAAAACAGACAAACAAACAACAAACAAACAAAAAGCGGCGGAAACAATAAAGCACTACGCCAGTGCTTGCGCCCGCTGCTCAATGGCGTGGATCCGCACTCCGTGGTTTGCAAACTCGGCAGGCAAGCTCTCGATCAGATCGACGCCGCGACCGAGAGGAGGATGTGCCTGCCTGTTTCGAACATCACGAAGCCAGAACGCAACAACGAGCGTCTGGAACGTGATACCGACGCAAGTTTCTTTCAGAAAACGGATCGCGTCAGTGTCCTCAGTGCGGGCCACGTGAACAGCCAAAAAGCCAGTCTGATCGGTGAGCAAAGAGCTTGGATACAATCGAGCAAAATCCAACTCCAGCCCGTTCCAGATCTCGTTGTGAGTCAGACTTCCATGGGTGGCAGCACGTCCGACTTGAGCCGCGAAAACCATCCGGGCAGCTTCACCAAACATCGAAATCGCATGAATGCGCCTGGCGTTGGCGTTTTGGCGATCAATGGTGTCCTGATGGGCTTCGTCCTGCTGACGTGCAGCTTGGCTGGCCTGGTCCATCCGCTTTTCCAGACGTTTGAAGGCGTTAGACAGTTCCTCGATTTTCTTGGACTTCTCAGAGTCTTGGTTGCGCAAGGCGTGCAACTCTTGAGCCTGGTTGTTGATTTGCTGCGTCTGGTTGTTGATTTGCTGCGTCTGGTTGCTGATTTGCTGCGTCTGGTTGCTGACAGCTGAGTTCAGTGTGTTGATCTCGGACTGCAGAGCGGTGTGAAGCTGGTTGTTTGCTTTGATGGTGCCGGAGAGTTCAGCGATGGTGAGTTGAAGCTTGGTGATGGTTTCTTCATGCTTGGCAATGGCAGCTTCCTGCTTGGCGGCATTCTCACGCAACGTGGCGACTTGTTGTTGCTCGAGACGAAGCAGCTCCTTGGCAATAGTGAGCTCGGCTTGATACTTTGCGCAATGAGGACAAGAAACCTGTGGGCTCAGGAGATGCGGGTGGGCATCGGTGGAGGGTGTTGGAGGCGCAGACGAGGAAGAGCTCGAAACTGCCAGCAAGCAAAAAAAAAAAAAAAAAAAAAAAAAAAAATTACGTCAGTGCTAGCAAACAGCGAAGAAGCGCACACCAGAGCAAGCTGTCTTACGATGCACGTAGGGAGAAGCAGTTCCAGAACTCATACTCATACTGATGACTTGGTGAAGTCAAAGCTGGAGTCGTGAGCAAGCAGAGCGAGGGAGCACAGAAAAGAAAGAAAAAAAAAGCAAAAAAAAAAAAAAAAGCGAAAGAAAAAAAAAAAGCGAAAGAAAAACCAAAACTGAGCTTTTCTTTTTCGAAAGTATGTTTTCGAAAGTATCATGATCGTGAGACACACAAGTCCTACTCTAACCCTGCATAAAGTGATGCACCCCCTATCACCAAAAAGCTATTAAAAACCATTGTGATTTATTGTGATTTTTGGGCCCTTGGTCTTCCACTCAATTCTCATTCATTTTCAAAACCTTAAGAGAGCCGAAAACAGCTTTATTGAAAGATCACTCGATCACAGTGTGTCGCGCTAGACGTTCACTCAAAAACTCGACGAGTTGTGTTTTTTTTTTTGTTAAGAAGTTTGTTTCGAAAATTCAACAATTCTGAGCAATCGTTTTACTTTTTCCAATTCATTCTTCTTTCGTCCTTTCTTTTCTTCACTCTTCACTTTACTCTCTTCTTCTTTATCACTCTTTTCTTCTTCTTCTTCTTCTTGTTCTTCTTGTTCTTGCTGAATGGCGAGCTTACTGCGGCGCGCAGGATCGGCAGCGCGGCATGCGAGCAGTGCGCTCCAGTCTGGCCTCGCGCACCAGCAGGGCTCCTCCGCCTCGGCCACCAACTCGACATTGTCCTCATCCTCATCATCTTCATCATCGCCGTCGTCAGCCTCCGCGCTGGGATCCGGATCGGCGGGTGGATTCTCGTCCGACTTCCCAGCGCCGCCCGTTGCCGTTGCGCCAATGCTCGCCCCGATGCCCTCGCAGTCGCAGCTGGACGACGAGGACGACACTGCCCAGCAGGCAGCGCTCAAGGCGTCGCTTGCCAACAAGCCCGTCGTCGACCTCATCCTCGCCATTGAGGACGCCAAGTCGCCCTCTGCGCAGATTGTCAGCGCGCTCTTTGATCTGGTAACCCCCTTCCGTCCATCACTCTCCGTCCCATCTCCTATTCTCTCTTTTTCTCTCTTTCTCTATAACGTTGAGCTTGCATCTCAAACGCTGACTTGCTTTTTGCTGAACTTTTTTCAATCGCAATGCTTCGTTCATACAACTTTTTTCTTGTTTTTTTGAACTTTTTTTTTTTTGTTTCTCGTTTTTGAGACTCGTTCAATGTTTCGGCTGACAAAAACTCACTTTCAAGAACACGCAGACTTTTGAAGGTTGGATGCGCAGGCGGAGAGGGGGGGGGTAAGGAGAGCGGAAGGAGCTGAACGGGGAATTGGGGGAAAAAAGAGCGAGCTGGTTGTGATCGGGGGGAAAGCCGGGGAGGCCGTCGATCAGGGATGGATGTTGGACGTACCAGCATCTTGATCATCATGGATGAAAAAACGGGCGGGGCGGGGAGTGTGGGGGAGAGAGAAGCGCGAGTCGGATTGGAGTGAATCCAATTCACTGAAGAAACGGCGTTAGAGACAATCAACCATCGCTCAGTCATGATGAAGAAGAAGATGGGATGCTTGGGGAATACTTACTGTGCGATTGTGATGTAAAGTGGCGTCTGAGAGAGAGAGAGAGAGAGAGAGAGAGAGAGAGGGAGGTGATCCGACGTAGAAACGCAACATTCTGAGAATGTGTGCAAATCTGAGCGTCTGCGAAACGGCTGATTTTGGTCATGCTCACCTCTCATCGCTTGTCTTTCAATTCTGTCATACTCCCCCGCAGCTCGTCGTCGGAGAGTTCCACCTGCACTCCAACTATGAAATTCGCGCGATCGATGCGCTGTACGTCCTCCTGGATGTTGCGCCGCACTGCTCCGTCAACGTGCAGGCCGAGATCTGGAACACGCTGATAGCCATTCTTGAAAAGAGCATTACGAATCTCGAGCTGTGCTCGCGGTGGGGTTTGATTGAGAAGCTTCTCGGTCGTATTCACGTCTTTAAGGACGACATTGCCCTCAGTAAGCGTGATTGGAGCGCATTTTTGACAGCGTCAACATGTGCCTTTCGAAACACACACACCATTTTGTTTTTGCGCTGACTACATTTCTATTTCTTGTTGTTCTTCGCAGCCAAAGTTCTACAGCTGGTGGAAGTGCTCGGTCGCTATTGCATTTCCGTTCGCGAGCTTCGCAGCATTCTTCGTACCCTGAAGAGCTCCGACCAAAAGCTTCGTGTAAGTGAAGTGCAAAAGAGATGTAGCCGATGAAATTGATGCTGACTAACCTCGTTTTGTGGCTTTTTTGTTGCATTCGCAGCCTCGTTTCTCTGTCAAGCTCATGAACGTGTTGCGTTCGATGGCACAAGAAGAGCGTCCAAATGTCTACTTTCACTTTTCAGGCAACCAGTCTGTAAGTGTGCAATGGTCGTGTCCATAACGCACCGTTGCGACTCAACGTTTTTTTGTTTGTTTGTTTGTTTGTTTGTTTGTTTGTTTGTTTGTTTGTTTGTTTGTTTGTTTGTTTGTTTGTTTGTTTGTTTGTTTGTTTGTTTGTTTGTTTGTTTGTGTGTTTGTTTGTTTGTTTGTTTTTGTTTTTGTTTTTTGTTTTTGCTCCGACACATCCAGGGCATCATGCTGCCATGCGTGACCAAGTGGCCCTACCAAACGGGATTCACTTTCTCGACATGGTTCCGAATCGAACCGCCGGATCCAGAGCTCCTGAAACAGCGACTCGAGAAACCAAAGCCGTATCTCTACTGGTAACTACTTTCGTTGAACGTGGCTGCTGCGCTGCTGGACAAGCACTTCCCTCCCCCACTTCTCCTTCCCCTCGCTCATCGCATTTGATCCAACAGCTTCAAAACAGACAAGGGCTTGGGCTACTCGGGCCACTTTGATGGCAAGAAACTCACCATCTCGTTCAAGCTGTCCATGGGCAAAATCACGTCCGATTGCGATGTGCCGTTCGACTTTGAGCCGCGTCAGTGGTACATGTTCACTGCCGTTCACAACTACCGCCGCATCGGCAGCAGCGAGTTGATGTGCTACGTCAACGGGCAGTTGGTGTTGAAGTGCGACATCAAGTTTGTCACCACTACGGATGTAAGCGGGGGTTTGTTTGATTCGAATGGCAGGCTCGAGGCGCGAAGCGGAGAAAGCTGAGAGCTCATTTTTGTCCTTCTTGTGTTTTGTCCTGTGCTTTTTCCGTGTTTTTTTTTTTCTTTCTTTCCCGTCGGTTTTGGACAGCTCTTCACCCATTGCTTCCTCGGAACAAGCACCACGCCCTCCGTTCGCACATCCTTTTGCGGCCAGATTGGTGCCACGTACGTGTTCAACGACGCCCTGTCCTCGGCGCAGGTGGCTGCCATCCACGCACTCAAGTCTGATTACATGAGCAACTTCCGACAAGCCACGGAGAGCAGCGTGCCGCTCACGACTGTCCACCGCAAGACCCTCTTTGATGGTGGGCGCTTGACGAGCGCCATCATGTTCACCTACAACCCAAAGGCGGTTTCCGGCAACGTGTGCTTTGAGTGCTCTCCCAACGACGCCAACCAATGGTTTTCGGCAGAATCCTCTGGTGCCATCCTGCTGAACGGCTCTCGCACCGTCGTGACGCACTCCTACCACCATGCGCTCGAGTCCATCGGCGGCATCCAAACGCTCTTCCCGCTCGTCTCTCAGTTCGACCATGCCGATCAGCCGCGCGATGGCGCGCTTGGCATTGTGTACGAGCCCGATCCCGCGTACAGTCTCACGCTGCTGTCGCTCTTTGCCGAAACGCTGGCAGCGTCAACCACGTCTCAGTCCCAGCTTGATCAACATCGCGGGTTTACCGTTCTGGCGCATCTCCTGGACGACGTGCTACCGACCAACATGTCGCGTCAGGTGCTCGAGGTGTTGCTGCAGCTCGCGCAGTCGCTGCGCAAGGCCGCCGAGACAAACAGTTTGGCGGCGCAGTCGCTCTTCCGCGACTTGTTTGATCAGGTGCTCTTCCGCTTCAACTTGTGGATTTGCTCGGATGTCGCCGTCCAGAAGCGTCTGCTCGGCGTGCTCGCCAGCGACCTCGTTCGGACTGAATCGGTCAACGTGCGGTCGCTCATTGGCGTGCAGCGTCTCATGGATCTCATTTCCAATTTCTTCTGGCTGCCCGATCCAGCAACCGCAGCAGCAGCAGCGGCCATCAGTGCGACAACAGAGCCTCCCGCCTCCCGAGCTGAACCAGCGCCCGACAATGAGGATGAGACTCAGTCACCGACAGGCGCGGCGCGCTACCAACTCGCTGGCCAACCCGTCCTCCATCCAGTCACGAAACGCGCGGTGGCGCAGCGTCCCAACACGTCGGATATCGTCGAGCTGCGCATGATTGTGCTGACCATCATCAAGCAGCTTGTGCTTGACGGCTCTGGAATCACTGCCGACGAGCTGAGCGCCATTTTGAACTACATTGTCGCCAACTTGAGCATCAACCAAGAGTGGCATGTGATTGATGCGGTTGAGCTCATCCTGACCCTGATGTGCGACCACCCGGAGCCCATTCTCGGACTCTTTGAGCAGCAGAACGGCATTCAAGTTGCGCTGTCACTCTTGTCCGCGAAATCCGTGCCCGTCCGTGGCTTTGGCCTGAAAATTCTGGGCAAGCTGCTCAGTTGGCTGCCCACCAAGCGCGCTGACAAGCTCATTCAGCAGCACCAGCTCTTCTCCCTGATTAGCACCACCCTGAGCATGTACTCGACCGAGCTCGACAAGACCACGTACAATGCCCTGTTTGAAATCATGCTCAATCAAGTCACCAAGCAGCTTGTGCCAGACCGCTTCGTGTCGCGCGACGCCACGTCCAGAATTGCGCACCCGGGCGTTCTTCGCACCCTGTTTGATCTCGTCACCCACGATTCGAGCAGCGCCGGCACGACGACGCTCTTCCGGCTGCTGGGCGATCTCGTCATGCTGCTGAGTCACGAACCCGACAACCGCCGCATCTTCCTCGCCTTCCCAAATTGGCAAAACTGGTTTGTCACCTTCCTCAAGTCTGTGACTCGCGTCCAGGATTGCGGATTCTCGGCCCACCACCTCGTCAACCCTGCCGCTGCTCATAGCTCGGTGTTGGTGGTATCCGGAAATCGCCAATCAGCAGCGCCTGCTTCGGCCCGGCCAGCCTCGCCAACGCCCCCTCCTGCCGATCCTTCCTCCAGCTCTGACGCCTCTCTGCCGCCCACACCGACGCCGCCCGGTGCTGCTGCTGCCGCTCAGTCCTTCTCGGGCTCTGCGGCCCCTGCCGCCATTGTCGCCTCAGCCGCCCAAGAAAACCTCCAATGCGCTGAGCTGATTTGCACCCTCTTCCGTGTCCTCTTGTGCCATGCGCTCAAGAATGAGCGCGAAGGCTACCAGGTGTGGGTGGACACCATTGCCGTTTTCAAGCACGAAGATTTGAGCAACTCCGTGCTCACCTTCCCAGAGCTGCACTTCCGCTTCATTTGCGACGTTCTGTTGGCGGTCGAGGCCGACATGCAAGCCTGGCGCACCAACGACAAAAAGTCTGGCGCCGACTTTGTCAACATGCGCGAAAACAGCCTCTTTGTGTTCAACGTGGCCTTTTTCGTTTCGATCGTTGCCGAGAACGTGCTCACGCTGAAGGACGCATACGCGGCGTTACTGACGGTTTGCTCCAAGCCGACTTCAGCCTCACCCTCCGCGGCGAACGCAAACCTGTCGGGGCAGACCGCTCCAGGTTTGGCGCCTCCAGCAAGCGAGCGTAGCGAACGCAGCGAACGCTCCTCTGGCATGTCTGCAGCTGGCGCCATTGTCGGTGCCATTGGCGGTGCGTTGGGCGGTGCGTGGTCGACGCTGGGTGCCGTTGCCGCCAACACGGCCTCGGGCGGCAGTTCCAATACCGTCCCTGGCGTGACATCCGTCACTGGCACCAGCTTGTTTTCGCGTAATCGGCCGAGCAATCTTTTCGAGACGGCTCCCAATTCCGCCGAAGACAACAGCGAAGAGCCCAGCTTCTACGACAGCCGTGCCATGCTCATGGTCAACATGGCAAGCGAGTCTGGCGCGACTGCAGGCTTGATTGCTGGGGCCGAACCCACAGATCCAACAACGGAAGACGCGGACGAACAAGACCTGGATGCTTCCGACAAGACAAGTGCGACAATCGAGAGCGCCTCCTCGCGACCCGTGCTTGATGTTCAGCCCCTTGTCACCCGTCTCATCCATCTTGTCGATCTGCTCGTGTTTGCCAGCACAATCAGCTACGATCAGCTCGAGACACGTCGCGGAATGAGCATTGGCGGCATTCTGCGGCAATGCCTCCGCCTCGTTTGCTGCCGGATTCAAACACAGCTGACTGCCAGCATCAGCACCCAAACCGCTGGCGATGCGACGCCGGCCGCGATGACCAACCGCTACCTCGAGCTCGATGCGCATCTGCTGCGCCTGTCCGAGCTGCGTCGCCAACTGGTCGAGGTCATGATGGGACACGAGAGCGAGCGCTTCCACCGTCTGCAGCACTATCTCATGATCCGCCTCAAGGAGCAAGAATCCAAGATTGACAACCTGCGCTGCGTCCTCGATCGCATGGACGTCAAGCGACTCCGCGCCATCGTCTACCGCGACATGGATGGCCATCTGCGTCAAGCGCAGCAGTTGCTCTTGGCAGAGCTGCAATTCCTCTCGGTCATTATCGTCAGCGAGTACAAGAGCATTCTGGACCCGAGCAACTCAGATCCCAACGTTCCCGATGACGATGGCAGCCTCATGACGTCCCGCATCGAGGCGGCCTTCAGCAGCGTGACGCCGCTCATTCACGAGAGCTGCACGGACTTTAAGCCCTTCCTGTCCAAGGCGTTCGTCACGCCCTCTGGCACTGAGCTGATCACCAAAGAGTCGCCCTGCCTGCGCGCCGCTGCATCCGTCATCGAGGTCGTCATGGCCCTGACGTCGAGCGACTGGCAGCGCTGTCTTCGCGACGTGGCCGAGCAGGCGTACCGCGACATGGTGTTGGAAGGCCAGCACCTTGCCGCGCGTTACGAACGAGAGCTGCGTTTGCGCTCCTCCAATGCCCAGCTGGCGATTCAAGCGGCCGCATCGATCGAGTTGGAAGCCCAGTCGTCGTCCATGTTTGCCATCAACAAGTTCCTGGGCATGACCTTTGCCGACGAAGCGAATCGTCTGGTTGCCGCGCAGGCTGCATTGCGCCGCGGCACCACCACGGCCTCTCGCGTGTACGCCAAGGTGTTTGACTTGCTGACCAACGAGAACGGTCCGTGGGGCTTGCCGGCCGACAGTGCGGAACAGAAGCCAATCACCTTCATGAAGCTCGACTCTACGGAAGACGCCCTGCGTCGCCGTGCTCGCCTGGTCCCCAACCGCTACGGCAGCGATCATCAGGAAGCCATCCTCCTGATCGAGTCCACCAACAACGACGCTGACAACGCGGGCGCGGTTTCTCCCGGCGTCGAGCCCATTACGGTCGGCGGCGCTATGGCTGCAATGCGCGCCGCAACCAAGCTCAAGCTGGCACTCAAAGCCAAGACCGCTACTGCTGCGCACGACGATGACATGCCCTTCGACGACGATAGCATGAATGACTCGATGAACGAGCTGCCCGCCGCCTCGTCGTCCAGCGCTGCTGCAGCGTCGCCCGCGTCTTCCTCGAGCACGCCCGCGAGCTCGCATGGCACTGCGAACGGCGCTGCGGGCTCGGCCTCGGCAACTGCCACCAGTGCACCCCCAGCAGCGACGCCGGCTTTGCCGCAGCTGGGAGGCGCCGACCCGTTGGCAAGCACCGCAGGGAAGCGCGTCTTGCTCAGCGCACCTTGCGAAATGATTACGCCAGGTGGCAAAATCCCAGGCACATTCAAGATTGTCACGGGCATGTTCTCCTTCACGGCCGACGAGGATAGTGCGGCGTTCAAGGAGCTGCAGCAGAATCCGTACCGTGTCTATCTGGACGTGGTTCATGGCCAATGGACGTTTGATGAAGTGACGATCGTCTACCCACGCCGCTACATGCTGCGCCACTCTGCCATAGAAGTCTTCCTGAGCAACCACACCACGCTGATGGTCAACTTTGCTGATCGCCGCGTTGCACGCCGCGCGCTGCGCGCACTCCCGAATCTGGCGAGCGGCACGGAAGCCACGCTGGGAAGCAACTTCCGCGAGGCTGCTCGTGGCGGCCTTGCTGCCATGATGACGACCGGCGCGACTGGTGCAGGTGCTGGAGCAGGCGCGGGTGCGAACGCGACCAACGCCGGTGCCGTTAGCGGTGGCGGCCTGTCGAACGGAAGCTCGGCGTCCTCCATGTGGGCCCGCATCTTCCTGCGCTCGGATGCGACTGCGCGCTGGCAACGCCGTGAAATTTCCAACTTTGAGTACCTGATGCTGCTCAACACCATGGCAGGCCGCTCGTTCAACGATCTCAACCAGTACCCAGTCTTCCCGTGGGTCTTGACCGACTACGAGTCGGAAAATCTTGACTTGAAAGACCCGTCCGTGTTCCGCGACTTGTCCAAGCCTATTGGTGCGCTCAATCCCACTCGGCTTGAGACCTTTGTGGAGCGGTTTGAGTCGTGGGAGGACGAGGAGGTGCCTGCCTTCCACTACGGCTCGCACTACTCTGCGGCTGGCTATGTGCTGTTCTGGCTGATTCGGCTCGAGCCATTTAGCACCCTGTTCTTGAATCTGCAGGGCGGCCACTTTGACCACGCCGGCCGCACATTCGCGTCGGTGGGACAGGCTTGGCGCAACTGCATGGACTCGACGACCGATGTCAAAGAGCTGATTCCCGAGCTGTACTCGTTGCCCGAGATGCTCGTCAACGCCAACAAGTACCCCTTCGGCAAAGACGATGACGGCGCGACTGTGGACAACGTCACGCTGCCTCCCTGGGCGCATGGCAGCTCGGAGGAGTTTGTGCGTTTGCACCGCGAGGCTCTCGAGAGCGACTACGTCTCGGAGCACCTCCACGAGTGGATTGATCTCATTTTCGGTTACAAGCAACGAGGGCCCGAGGCTGAGAAGGCCGTCAACGTCTTTTACTATCTCACGTACGACGGCGCAGTCGACATTGACGCCATTTCCGACCCCGTCATGCGTCAAGCGGTGGAGCAGCAAATTGCCAGCTTTGGGCAGACTCCTTGCAAGCTGCTCAACACTCCTCATCCTCGTCGTGGCGATGTAAGTTGAATGACGACGGAGGAGGAAGGGTTTTTGCTGTTTGTGTTGAGAGTTGCATTGTTTCTCACCATTTTTGTTTGTTGTTGTTGCTTTTTTTTTGTTGTTGTTGTTGCTGTTGTTGCTGCTGTTGCTGCTGTTGCAACCTATTGCAGTTGGACGCTGCCGCTGCCGCCCAGGCTGCTGGAAGCAATGCGACCGCAGGTGCAGCAAAGGCAGTCACTCCCTCGGAAAGCACGAGCCACTGGAACGCCGAGTCTTTGCACAGCCCGCTGCTCAAGTTGCCAATCACCAGCGATGATCCCGTGTGCTTTGTGACTGGCAATGTGAATCTCAAGTCCATTGTGACTGTGAGCACCTCGCGCATGTTTGGGTCGCACACCTGGACCTACAACGCACCTGCGACCATGGAAGAAGGCGATCTGGCCTTCGATCTGATGCTCGATCCAGTGCTGGGTATGTTGGCAACTCAAAGATTGGGGTTTTGTGTGCACCGTTACGTTTGCTAAGTTTTTTTTTTTTTTTTTTTTTTTTTTTTTTGGCCTTCTTTGTATCGTCCGACAATCTCTCATTTCACAACACCCTACAGAGGAGCAGACGTCCGGCGAGCCGGTCGCGCACTCCAGCATTGTGCGCCGTCTGCCAGAACCGCTGGATCAGCGCATTGCGGTGTCGTCCCGCTGCTTTGCCACCTCGGCGGACAACTCGGTGCTTGTGACCTGCGGGTACTGGGACAATAGCTTCAAGTGCTACGCACTCGACAGCGGAAAGTTGCTGCAGAGCGTCCACTCGCATCGAGACGTCGTTACGTGCATGGCAATGTCCGCAGATGGGACACTGCTTGTGACTGGCTCGCGCGACTCGACCGTGCGCGTCTGGCCGTGGAGCACCAAGAAGCAACGGTGTGCCGACCAGCCGTCGTCCACCCTTTTCGGCCACGAACACATGGTTTCGTGCATTGCCGTCAGTACTTCGTTTGACTTGGTTGCGAGCGGCTCGCGCGATGTCGTGCTGCTGCACACCATTGGTGGTGACTTTTTGCGCTCGCTGCGCCACCCGTGCTTCCGCCGCGTTGTGCTGGTGTGCATCTCGCCCAAGAATGGGTCTGTCACCGTTGCTTACTCGGACAAGGGTGGCGCGCTGGCTCTGTTCTCCATGAACGGCAAGCTGCTGGCGACAGAAGACCTGGACGAAACGGTCAACGCCATGTGCCACGACAAGAATGGCGACTTTTTGTTCACTGGCGGTGCCCGGAGCTGCCTGATGGTGAAGCACGCCTTCTCCTTGAAGCACGTTCACATTTATGCTTCCAACCACAGTCCACTCTGTTCGATCGCTCTGACGTCGGATGAGCGCTACGTCCTCTCGGGTCTGGAGTCGGGTCTGTTGGTTGTGAACTCTGTCGATTTCTCGACGTGGCGACGCGATGCGTTCGAGCCGCATTCGGCGCTAATCCCGCAAGAGCAAGCGTCCGTGCTGCAAGACTTGCAAGAGCGTGATGTCAAGCGCAAGAAGCTTCAACACGATCAGCTGTTTGTTCAGCAGCAGAAGCTTTTGGCTCGGCCCAACAGTGTGGCTGAAGTGCGTGCGGCGTTGTGAGCGCGTGTCTCGTGGCTATCTTTTGTTGTTGTTTTTGTTTGGGTTTTGGCCGATATGGATTGTTTGGACTATCCATGTTGTGTTTGTGAATGTCCGGAATACGATACCATTAAGTGGATAAAAATGCATTGATACAACAGACAGATGCTAAGAAGTACATAGAAAAAAACAAACCAACAAAAAAAAAAATAAACAATCACGATTCACAATGATGCGAGATTTTCCAGCCGCTGGCGAGAATTACAGCCGCTGGTTTCTGCGCTGACGCGTGCGCCACCGTCGTTGCGCCGCTTTGACTCCGACGACAGTTGCAACAGGAATCGCGGCAGCGAGAGCAACTGGAATGCCCAGTGTAACAAGTAAACCCTTGCCCGCAACAACGCCAATAATGTGTGCCTTGGCGGCAAACCTGCGCATCGTGCTCATGCTGTCGTTCATTCACACAACCACAACCACAACAACAACAACAAAAAGAGAAAGAAAAAAAAACAGGTGAGCCCACACACATCAGCAACGCTTCGCATCCATAACACTGCAACATGACACTGCAACAAACTCCAAAAAAATTGAAAACCAACCTATCCACGCCAAACTGCAATCCAGGGCAACCGCGAATGTTGTTTTTCGCAAAGTGACCCACGGGAGGGATTTTGTCGCCGCAAAGCCAGCAAAATTCGGTTCGGCACACGCCGCAAATCATGTGATTGCACGAGCCGTCAATCACCTTTTCGATGTGGACCTTGCATGTGGGACACTTTCGCGTCTTCTTGTTGGCCCATTTGACAAACTGCTTCTCGTCGACATGCACGACGTCCGGATTCTGAACGCGACGCGTGAGCGCGCGCTCCGTTGCCTGCATCTCTTCGACCACATGCTGCGGTACACGCGCCATGGTGTGGTCGGGCACCACCAATGGCGCGGCGGCGGTGCTGGTGGGACCGGTGAACGGCACAAAGATGAGGTCGGGACGCCCTTCCAGGTGAGCCAGACCCTGGCCTTCGTCTTGCTCGTCCCCGATCGGATCGACCACGGTTTCTGAAGCGCCGCCAAGCAAAACCTGTGGAGCAGAATCATCGAGTGGCTCGGTCGGGGTCAACGTCGTCGTCGTCGGGGGCAATTCTTGCGCCGCGTGTGCAACCACAGGTGCCACACCACCCTCTGCCGGCGGCGGCATCCCGCTTGTGTCTGAAACGATGACAGGACCAGGCCCGCCCTTGAACAACCCAACCAACCGTTCTCGTGTGGTGCGGCGTTTCGCTCCCAGACTGCCTCCCTCGATGCTCTCTGAGGCGTGGTGGCCTCGCGTGACGAGCTCGTTGTTTGTGGGAGCAAGCTGCTGATCTGTGGCGGTAGCTGGAGCCGACGAAGGCGGGTTGCCATTGCCAGGACTGTCATGCCAGCCTAGTGCATGCTGTTGCGGCGTTGGATGATGACGAGGCTGCGTGTCGGACAGCACGGCCGGACCTTTGCCCTTCCGAATGCGGTTGGCCTGCTTGAGCAAGCGCGCCTGTTCCTTCTTGGCGACCTTGAGCATGGCTCGGAAATGAGCCTCGCAATCGACTCCGTTGTGCCAGCCACGCGAACAATCAAAGCAAAAGCGCAACCCACAACGAGAGCACTCCATGTTCATGCGCGCATTCACTGCTTGCGGAGGTGCGTCCAGGTAGCGATTCACAGCGGTTTCGCAATCAGGGGTTGGGCACCAGCGCGCATTCGGGTTGGCATTGATGCGAGCAATCATCGTGAGCCGCTCAAAGCGTTCGAGCAAGCGCGCAGCCACATCTGGCGTGCGAACCAGGGCAAAGGTCGTCCGCAACGCCTCGACGAGCTCTTCGTGTTGAACGAGCCGACCACAGCCAGGGCACATCATGTGCGCAATGTCACCATCTTCGATGCGCATGGCGTAGTAGCGGACAAAGCACTCGACACAAAAGATGCACGAGCAGTCGTCGTACATGAAAATGTCGTCCAGGGCAAACTGCTCGAGGCACATGCTGCACGAGGAGCGCAGGTACTCTGGATCAAAGTCCAGCCGTCTAGCGCCCGCCAATCCACCAGCCATGATATCCACTGGTGGCACCATTGCAGCGTGAGGCCGGTTGACAAAACGGAAACGCCTGCCGCGCAGCGGTCTGTTGGTGCTGGCAGAATCTGCCGCAGATGAATGAGCCGAGTCGGACTGCGGTTGCGGCCGAGAGCCACTGCCGCTGGCAGACTCGTTTTCACGAAGAGCCCGCAATCTCGTTTGCGCAATCGCTCGCGCAAGAATTTCGCGGTCGTCGCCAATGTCCAACGGAAGGGGTCGCAGAGCATCGTCGAAAGAAAGGCGATAGCCGTCCAAGGCAGCCTTGATGCACTCATCAAGCAAAGAATGCGCCTCCAGCATCATTGCTGAAAGGTTTGCACGGTCCCCTGCGGACAACTCTGACGTGGAAGTCTGCCCGACAACGCTCGATGCTGCAGCTGCTGCTGCTGCTGCAGCAACACCCTCATTGGACGCCGTGATGGCCTCGTGAGCCCGAATTTCTTGCAGGCTTGCAACGATATCGGCCAAAATAACATCCGACTCGCGATGGTGTGCTGAGGTGGACGCGCCAACTGCAGAATGCGAGTGATATTCTCGCACAGCGTGGGCGCGAAGGTCGCTACCGAGAGCGTGGATCGAGCCGTGGCTGATCTGCTGGCCAGCAGCCACGTCTGTATCTCGCTCGTCGACCGCACTCTCGCTGTCAGAAACGTTCTCGTCATCCGATGTGTCGCCAAGCTGGGCGAAATAGCTATGGTGCGTGCCGACGACGTGTCGCGAAGAGAAGCCGCCCAGAGAAGTGACAGTTGCGGCTGCAGCTGCAGCTGCGTCAGCAGACGGATATGTGTGCGAAGGCCGGGCTCCGTCTTCGTCGCTGTAGAAGGAAAGCTCGTCATCATCATCATCTTCATCATCATCGTCGTCGTCGTCGTCGTCGTCATCGCCGTCATCCTCGTTGTCATCGTCGTTGTGAAACTCGCCGTCTTCGTAATCGTCGTACTCTTCTTCAAAGTATTCCTCTTCTTCTTCCTCAGTGTCGCGCTCGTAATCGCTCAGGTTGCTTGAGTGATCGCTGTCGGAATTCGGTGCATTCTGATCATCCTCCTCGCCGGCTTCGTCGCCGTCTTCGTTGCCAGAACCGGCGTCACCATCACGATCATGTTGAGCAGCAGGTTTGTCATCTGTCGGTAGAACGGGCTTGCCCATGGCGATGGGTGCACTCAGTGTGTGCGAGTGCTCCAATGTAATGGTCGTGTCCTGCGCCAATGCCGAGTTGCTCAGCCCAGAGGCGTCTGCTCCAAGCGCGTCTTCCGGCAAAACACTCATGCCAGAGCCGTCGCGAGACAAGGCTCCGCCACTCGCGCCTGCTGCAACGTGGGATTCCAAGGCAATCGTGGCTGGACGACCAACGGCAGTGCTGGAAACAGCCGCGGCAGCGGTGCGTTCGATCGCCTGAGACGACTCTGGATAGTTTTCGGTGAACGAAATGGAGCGGAACAGGTGGTGTTTGGCCGAGGACGAAGAAGCTGTGTGAGAAAAGGCAGGGGTCTGTGCACTTCGAGACGAATTATCCGAATGCTGGCGCGAATATGGCGGGCGTGGTTTGGGCGATGGAGGCGCGCCTGCATGCACGGGCGTAGCTGCTCCCGAGCCGTCGTCTGAAGGCGGTGCACTGGACGAGCTGACATGATCCGCCCACAAGGGTCGACTTGTATTCCGATTGCGACGTCGCTTCTCGCCAAGGCGCGCTGGGACCGACTGCGGTGATGCGGAACCAGGTGACCCGCCGGCCGAGTGACGGGGGCTGGTGGCAACAGTGCTGGACGCTGTCGAGCCGGCCAAGCGGGCCTCGTCGATGGGCGGTCGCTCATTCGTGCCAAACCGCGAAAGCAGGTAGGCATCGAGCTCTGTCGAGGTCGAGCCTGGGACTGGCGAACCATAGTGCATTGATGATGTGAGGGTGACGCTCTGGTCCATTGGGAAGACGGCCTCTCCACGACTGGAGGTCAAGGCGATGGGGGTAGGCTGCTGCGAAAGGAGTCCTTCGTGTTCTGTCGCGGGAGTCGCTGCGGCAGCAGATGAGGATGCGATCGACTTTGATGCATTCGCTGCACGATGTGCCGGTGTCTTGTTGCGCTTGCGAGAAGAAGACGCGGAGGAGCCACCACCACCACTACCACCACCACCACCAACCGAACCTGAAGCTGAAGCGGATGCTGCTACTGCTGCTGCTGCAGAGGCAGAGGCAGCTGCCGCCTTTGCGAGCTTTTGCCGACTCGGTTGCGGGCGACTTTGGGCCCGGCCGCCTCGCATGGGTGATGTTGAGGAAGAGCTGGGTTTGGCCCGCGCGCCAAACGACGGTGCAGGCGAGACACCCTGCGACCTCGAACCAGTGGAGGACGGAACAAAACGAGACCGAGTGCGGTCGCGCTCGTACAACTCGGAATACTCATCACGGTGCACATTGGGATTGTGATGCTGCGAAGCGGTGGAGGATGCGATCGAGACTTGCGAAAGCAACGAGTGCGTGCTCGTCTCCATGACAGCCGCGTTGCGTCCGCGAACAACCACGCTTGCAACACTGGTGCTGTCCGTGTACAGGTTGAGGTTGCTCGACAGGCTGTCGGCGCCAACAGAAATGTTGTCGTCAGCCAATTGAGAAACGGAATCTCCCATGGCGGTCATCGCTCCAGCATCGACGAGGGAGAAGCTGCTGGTCTTGCTGTCGCTGCGCGTGCGCGACGATGGATGAGAGCTCGACAACATGGACGCAGATGCCGACGCAGAAACAAAGCGGGATGCGGAGGCGGTGGCGCCACTAGTTGCCAGGTCTGTCTGAGTGATAGACATGAGCGAACCAGACGGAGACAATGAAGCGTAGGGATGGGAGGAAGCAATCGAAAATGTCGGCGTGTTCGATCGCGAGTTGGCGAGCTGCGAACCATCCTCGTCCACGCCGCCATACATGGAAGCAGACGCAAGCGCGGATGTGGAAGCAAACGATCCGGTGACAGAGCTCAGACTAGAGATGGACTCGCGAGCATAGCTTCGACCGAGACGGCGACCAACGTGAAAGTCGCGTTGTTGACGGTCGTCGTCGTCTTCGTCGTCATGCGCGTGGTCCTCGTGGTCCTCGTGGTCGTCGTCTTGTCCGTTGCGGCTGGCGTTGCTGTTGCTGTTGTTGCTGTTGGTGTTGTTGTGGTTGCTGTTGTCATCGTCGTCATCGTCTGGGTCGCCGCCGCTCTCCGCAGCACTTGGCCCATCGTCAAAATGGGTGTCTTGGGAGCCAGAGTTGCCAGGCTCGGAGTACGACTGGTCGTTGAAATGCACACTGTTGCGATGCTGGCGTGGGGTTGCAGCAAAGCGGCTCGAGCGGCGGCCTTCCGACGTTGCGGAGAGACTCGGGGAAGGGCACGCCGAATCCGACATTGGGTGAGCAAAGAGCGATCCGGCAGTTGCCATGGTCGAGGAGATGGACAACGAGCCAGAGGCTACAGACGATAGAGAGTGCGAGGTCTCGGAGCGGTGCACCCGGGCTACGAATGGCGAGGGTGTGTTGTTGCCAGCCGAGTGGACAGCATCGGTGTCGGCCAGAGGTAAAGGTGTTGATTCGTCTGGCGCCTCTGTCCGTTGCGACAGCTCTGTTGGACTGGGCTGTTCGGGATGCTCTTGCGACTGCTGCTGAGGAAGGCACGCGGCGGCGGCGGCATCCATACGCTCGTGCTCTTCTTCTCGGCGCGGAACCTTGTCCGGCTTGGACTTTTGGTCATTCAGATGCACTGCATGCAGCGGCACTGGATGCCCTCCTGCTCGCGTTACGCCGACGTGCGCGTGCGAGCCGACATGGTGCTTGGGATGCAAAACGTGCGAATGCTGGCTCGTCATGGAGACCGAGTCGTAGTCCGAGTAGTCGCTAAACCCGCACAGCGACAAGTCCAGCGACTGCACGGATATCGCGTCCGACGGCAGTGCGCTGTGAGACGACACGAGCGACCCGGTATTGTTGTTACTATGAGGATGAGGATGATGAGGATTCGCAAACAGCGGGTGGACCATAACGACTGCAGCAGCAGCATTGGCTGGCGTCGCGGGATCGGGCGCTGCTAAAGAAGCAGGTGTATCTGGCAACGGTGATGGAGATGCAGCTGCAGCGTCCTCCTCGGGAGTGACTTGACCAAGTTCTGAATCATCAGAGTCTGCATTGCCATGCTCGTCCTGCTCTTCTGGCTCTTCTGGCTCTGCTGGCTGGAGCTCGTCTGTTCGTGTTGTCGAGTTCCGTCTTGGCGCGTCGTCCTGCTTCGTTGGTCCCTCGGCTTCCTCACTCGTACCACTCGCTGCACTGCTGTCTTGTGTCTGTTTCAGCAGCAGTTGCAGCGGTGATGGTCGTAGTGGCGACGACGGCAGCGGCAGCGGTGGCTCGCTTGCGGAACTGATGACAAGCGCGGTTTGCTGCACCGAGGCCAATGCAGCAGGAGTAGTCTCATCATCACTGTGTGCCAGTGGCAGTAGCTGTGTCTGTGCTGCTTCAGCTTCTGCTTCAGCTTCTGCTTCTGTGAGAGTGGTGCTCGTGGACGAGGTCGCTTCTGGAGCAGCAGCAAAGCCGACCACCTCCGTTCCCGTCCCCGCGGCTGTACGCACTCCTCCTGCTGCGGCAACCACGGCCATGGTGCAGGTGTCCATGTCGAGAGTCGCTGGCTTTGCTTGCTTTTTGTCAATGGTGTTGAGTGCTGAGTGTGACTGCGTCGCTTTCGTTGTCGTTCTTGTCGTTATTCGACTTTGGCTGAGAAAATACGAACAAAAACGAACAAACAGCGAAATAAGATAATAGAATGAAATAAAAAAAAGAAGTGAACGTTAAAACAGTGACATGTTCGCAGTGCGAAGAACAGCATCGATGCAGTGATAAAGTGATAGTATGGAAAAGCTGAAGAGTTGAAGAGTTGTTCGCTCAATCTTGCCCTGCGAGAAACACACAAACTGCGGGTCACTCCAATCCAGGTATCATGCCAATCAAAGGAGCTTGCTGAACTGTTTAAGACTACTATAAACACTACTAGACACAAACAACAACAGCAAAAGACTCCACGACACTAAATCCGAACATTCTCCATGTTGTCGCCAAGATGATTCAGCTTGATATAGACATCGACGCCGTAGCCATGCATCGACTCGAGATGCAACGAACCTCCGAGGTACTCGGTGTATGCGCGCGAAACGGGCAAACCAAAGCCACGTCGAACTTCGGTCGGCTCCGCCACGGACGAAGGTTGGGCCGCGGCACTAGCACCGGTCGTGTTGGTGTTTGTGTTGGTGTTGGTGTCGGAGCTGGTCGTGGCAGTAGGCGTCTGGCGCTGCTCACTAGCATAATGCCCCTTGGAAAAGCCATAGTCCCAGACGCGCGGAACGTCTTCGGGATGGATGCCGCCCCCGAGATCGCGAATTCTGATGGTCAGATCTTGATCGCCTTTGCAGACAGTCACAATGATGGGCGGCAACGAGGGATCGCAGCCAGCGTTTTCCGTTGCAGTCGCGCCAGGCTCGCCGAAAGGCTGGCGGTCCAATCCGGCAAGTGTTGCCGACTGAACAGCAAAGGTGTTTTGCGTGACTGCCGTCTCTTCGCTGGTTTGAGACCAGCGCATCATGGAAGAGAAGCGGGATGCAGCATCAACGGGCATGCTGGTGGATGCGCCGGAGGCGGCAGCCGCGCTGGCAGAGGATGGAACGGATGGTTTCGAATGAGGAGGAGTCAAGCCCAACAGCTCGGGCGCTGCGTTGATACCACGAAGATCAACACTACCGCCGCTGGAGGCATCACCACCGCCGGTCGCCACAGCCACAGGCGAAAACAAATCTGGAGGCTGCGAGCCCGACTTTCCGGCGTGAGACTCAATCACAGCCGTCATGCTGTTCTTGAGCAGCTCTTGCAAAATGTACTCGAGGTGCGTCTGAATGTAGGCAAACGTCGCATCGAGATGGCCCTCGACAATGACTGCGGGAAACCGGCCGTAGGTGCGCCAGGACAGGGTTTGCAGCTGAGCAGCGACCGAACGCACGACTGCCGCCGGCGCGCAGTCACGACGAATAATGCCCACATACCCCTGACGCGAATGCTTGTTGCGGAAAAAGTTGTGCAGCGCAATGTGGTGCTCTGCGAGCGCGCGCCGACTGATGCGCGTCACGAGCATCTTGTGCAAAAACTCGTTGAGCTCGCTCTGCGTGAGGTACTTTGAAATCTCCGCGGCGGCACTTGCCAACGACACTACGACGTGGTTGTGCGAGTCGAGCAGCTCCTTGACCAGCTCGACAAACCTCGCCTCGTCCGCGAGCGACTTGATGGCTGGAAATCCAATCAGCCGGCGAAACGCCAGTGCGTAGCTCTCGTAAACGCTCTGGATGTACGGGTTTCGACCCACAATGAATGGCAAGTGCTGCAGCGACCACAGCCGGTGCGCAAGCCGTGTCGGCATCTCCCGGTGGAGGTACCGCGCAGCCTCAATGAGCCGCGTCGCGTCCACATCGCGCCCAAAGTGCAGCATCTGGCGGATGGACAGCCGCGTGGGCTTCTTGCGGGCGTACTCTTCGATCGTCGTGTCGTAAAAGTTTGGCCGTTGCGCAGCAGAGTCCGATCCGGGCAGCGTGGAGGAGGAAGAGTGCGCAGCGGTCATCACTACTGGCATAGGCGGAGGTGAGGAAGGACTCGAGAACGGGTTGGTCAGCGTGTCGCCGAGACCGCCCACCGCACGCGTGGCAGAGATCGCGCTGGACGTGTGGTACGTCGAAACGCACGGAGGAGCGGGGGCGAACCGAGGCGCGGGGTGGTCATGAAGAACCGTGAACGAGAACGGGTGCAATCTGCCGACCAGCGCAATCTGCCGCGAAGGCACCAACAGGGCGACTGCTGGTGGCTGTGTCGAGCGGTGCGTACCATGGATGGATGGCGCCTGGCTGAAGCGGGCGAGATGGCGATGCGCAGTGCTGCTGCGGCTGGCAGACAGAATGGCAGCGCTCAACCCCATTCTCGCAAAAGTGGTTGGAAACGAGGACTGCAACCCGGTGATGGAGAGCAGCAGGCGGGTTGTCCGGAGGATGGATTTGTAGGAAATATGATTGTGCATTGATTCTGTGAATAATGGGATGGCTGGAGTGCGGGTAGTTGATGGGGGTGGAGGGAGTATGGTTTTGGTTGGCTGAAATGGTTCGGGCTGTTGAAATTACTCGACGGATTGCGCCGTTTCAAGTATGAAAGCATTGCATGTATGTGTTGGATGATATTTTAGATGCGTTTTGTCGTGATTGGCAAGGTTTGTGTCAAAATGGTGAATGTCCGGTTTGACAAACCACTTTTCTCCAAGCTTGAAAATGAAACATCGGTACGAATCACATGGCCGATTTCACAGTGGAAAAATTTTTCCGAATTTCGGAACGACCGAATTTTTTCAAAAATTCGGTTTTTTTCAACTTGCGAATGCTTGGGAGAAATTTCTCAACCGTTTCAAAGCCTGAATTACAAAACAATACACTTTGTGAGACTCCGATTCCCACGGGTTGGGGCTTAGAGCTATTGGCCAGGTAACGTCGATTGATTGATACAAAATGCGCAATGACAGCTATCCAAAAGCATCCAAATACACCAGAATATGCTAAATCCTCATTAACTACCACCGGCTAACCTCGCCGGCTGGACGGCGCTAACACGGGTCAAGAAACACTATAGAGGCGGCTAGTATGGTTTAAATCTTGAGGAGGGAGTGTAGAGAAAACAAGACTGTTGAAATACCAGGTGGTACCCTGCTAGAACAGTTAGGCGGCCAGTGTGCCCAGTTTGAGTCTAGAAGGGATGGGAGAGTTTCAATGCAGTCTGGTGTCGACGGTCATAGCACGAACCACTGGGCAAGACACCCCACCCTCCCCCTAGGGTTTATTGGTTATTTTTTTTGTTTTGCTGAGGTTTTTTGTTTGTGCTCTC